AACTTTGTGTTAAACTTCCTTTGTTTTAACTATATTTTTCTTAAATCGAACTCCTATTTTTTCTTCTAATTGATTAAACACCTTTTATTTATTTCTTTATTTTCCAAAAAAAAGTGAATAATATTTAAAAGAAAGGGAACAATTTATTTTAATTTTAATTGAGAGGAAAGTTAAATTGAAGAGAATATTTTTATTAGTGAAGCTAATAGAAATGAATACTAGGAAAGAAGGCATAAGGAAAGATGATTACACTTATTTATAGGCAAGTGAGCGATCGAAGGTCGCTGCTAAATTTAATGTAAATAAGAGAGATAATGCCTAAGTGTAAAAGGAAATCTTAAAGAGACGGAAATGAATAATATAAAATATAATAAATATTAGAGGGTCAAAGTCTAAAAGATGGGAAATGTATGATTAATTGAAAATAAATATTTTTATATTTTCTTTTAGACTTCTAATTAAAACATCTTTCCGTCGTAAGACTTCCTTACGAAATGAGACTGTCCAGTCGAAACAGATGACCAAAAATTTCAACTCTTTCAATTAACCCCAAAAATCTTTTTTCTCTTTTCTAGTTTTGTTTTAGTCGTTGTTCTGTGTTTTGTTTGGCGATGCTTTTGTGTTAAGAAACAAAAGCCTAAGAAAAAATATAATGTTGCTGCTAGTTCAACCTATCATTATAAACCACCAAAAGCAAAACCACAAAAGACACAACCTTCAGCAGATGTTTACAACAAGAATAATGCTAGCAAAACAGATATGGGCAGCAGCAAAATTGATTTTCCGCTTACAAAATATTCTGCGTAAAAAATTTTTTTTTGAATTAAAAAAAAAATTTTTTCTTTTCTAAAATAGATTGCCACCTTCGCTTCTTACTGATAGTGACAGAGAGAAATCAGCAATCAAGTCAACAATCAAGTAAAATTTTAAAAAATGTTTTTGCACTTTTAAGGAAGATATGAAATTTTTGCGGACAAGTTTTGCGGATTTTGGCTATGGTTTGAGATGGTTATCTCATCTGAATCAGGAATGGCCGGAATTTCGTTGCGTCGGAGACAAACGAAATAGAAAAATTTTTCTACATAAATGGAAGAAAACAGACAAAACCGAGGAAAAATCCGCAAAATTTGTCCGCAAAAATTGTCAAATTTTTAAGAGTGCAAAACTTTTTTAAATTTAAAAAATTTTTTTATTTTTTCAAGTAAAAAATCAAAGGCGCGTCTGCCAGTAAACAAAAGAAACAAAGAAAGTATTTCTATGTTGTGAGAATGAAGTTTGTAATTAAATAAATAAATAGATTTGTGTTAATATTGTGTGATAATAATGTGTTGTATGTAATTATTTAATTGTATATTTAGTAAATACTTTATGGTTGCTGTTTTTTCTTTTTTCTAGCCGAGAGGCGATGCGGGTGAGTAACAGAGCTGGGTCGGAATTTCGATTTCCGACGTTTTAATTTTGATCTCCGAGTTCCGACTTTTGAGCCAGTTCCGATTTCCGGCTCTTCCGATTCCCGACACCTCTGACTGTTCCGACCCTCCTCTGGTGAGTATGAGCGGAAGGGAGTGTAGGCCTTTCTATTCTTGTATACTGCTGGTCAGTAACGAAACTGACTTTCCCGGGATATATGTAAGAGGATTTATTAATGAATAAGCTTTTAGCTTAGGCCGATTTCTCTCTATTGATTACTAGTCGACTAATCATTTTTCCACTATTCTTCTTTTAATTTTATCCTAAGGCCTTATTTGTCATTCTCCTCCCCTCTTTTCCATCCTTGCCAAGCAGGATTCCACATTTACGGTTGTTCACTCAATTGATCATTCTATCACTTTGCGCAGTCTTGGATTTGCGCCTTTTTGTCGTGCGTAATTTTGGCTTTTTGCCTTTTTGGCATGTACCTTTTTGGGCATGCCCTTGTAAATTAGATAAAATGTATTCTCTAATTAAAATATCAAAATTGCATAAAGGTCATTTTTTATTATTTTTAGGGATTGCCAAACAGACCCCTAATTTTGTTTTTAAAAAGCCGGACCGAAAACGGCAACAAAAATAAACTCAAAAATTCCCTCTCAAAATAACTCGTCCAAATCGTCTCGAGCTAACTCAAGGACGACAAGTCAAGGAATGACCAAATCATGGAATATTTTTAAAAATCAGATTTTTTAATTCTGATTTTTTAATTTATTCTAATTTGTTTTCAAATTCTTATTTTTTAAAAATATTCAGATTTTTCAAAAAAAGTTCCGATTTTTAAAATATTCCATAAGTTGTTCGTTCCTTGACTTGTCTTTTCCTTGAATTTGTATGGTCCTTGAGTTAGCCCTCACCTGTCAAAATTATTTTTTTCGACTTTTTATTTAGGAAATTCCTAAATGCGTCGTCTTCGTTTAATGTTTACTTCTAGAGAAAGGCATGGTGGATTATAAAATTCAAAAATAGAAGCCATTTGAAGTAAAAACCAGTGTTTATAAGCTCGTACCAAAATCGTACTCGTCCTCGTCGTACTTCGGTACGAAAGACGAGTACGAGCAAAAAAATAGGCTAGTACGAAGTTACGAGGCTAAAAATAGGCAGATACGACGACTAGTCGAGGCCAAAAATCAAGGAAAAATTAAAAGAAATGTTTAATTTCTTTCATCTCTGACCTAAATGGATAGCACAAATACTATTAGGTCCCGTAAACGAAGAAATATAACAAAACCTAACTTCTACCTTGAAAAGCAAAATTAATATAAAGTAATTTCATTACAAAACGCATTAAGAAATAAAAAAGGAAAAAACAAGTCTAATTTTAAAAACTTTTCTCATTTTAATATTTTTTACAAATTTAAAGTTATTGTTGTGTTTGTTTGAGCAATTAAGTATTTAAAAAATGCAAAGTTTAGAAAAATGTTTTTATTAAATTCTTGTATTCTTTAATTCCTTGTAATTTTATGGTGTTGCGATTGTTTGTTTTTGCTGAAATATTTTCATTATTTTCTCTAAAACATTATTTTCTCTAAAATAAACATACCCTCCTATGTACAAAATGTTGTTGTACAAAATATTGTTGTATTCCTCTCTCTCTTATTGGTCTCATCATTGTTATTACTAGAAAAACAAACAAACATCAAAACAAACAAAACATCAAAACAAACAAACATCAAAACAAACAAACATCAAAACAAACAAACATCAAAACAAACAAACATCAAAACAAACAAACATCAAAACAAACAAACATCAAAACAAACAAACATCAAAACAAACAAACTCAAAACAACCAAACATCAAAACAAACAAAACATCAAAACAAACAAACATCAAAACAAACAAACATCAAAACAAACAAACATCAAAACAAACAAAACATCAAAACAAACAAACTCAAAACAAACAAACTCAAAACAAACAAAACATTAAAACAAACAAATATCAAAACAAACAAAACATCAAAACAAACAAACTCAAAACAAACAAACTCAAAACAAACAAAACATTAAAACAAACAAATATCAAAACAAACAAAACATCAAAACAAACAAACTCAAAACAAACAAACATCAAAACAAACAAAACATCAAAACAAACAAACATCAAAACAAACAAACTCAAAACAAACAAAACATCAAAACAAACAAATATCAAAACAAACAAAAACATCAAAACAAACAAAAACATCAAAACAAACAAAACATCAAAACAAACAAAAACATCAAAACAAACAAAACATCAAAACAAACAAAAACATCAAAACAAACAAAAACATCAAAACAAACAAAACATCAAAACAAACAAAAACATCAAAACAAACAAAAACATCAAAACAAACAAAACATCAAAACAAACAAAAACATCAAAACAAACAAAACATCAAACAAACAAAACATCAAAACAAACAAAAACATCAAAACAAACAAAACATCAAAACAAACAAAACATCAAAACAAACAAAAACATCAAAACAAACAAAACATCAAAACAAACAAAACATCAAAACAAACAAAAACATCAAAACAAACAAAAACATCAAAACAAACAAAACATCAAAACAAACAAAAACATCAAAACAAACAAAACATCAAAACAAACAAAAACATCAAAACAAACAAAACATCAAAACAAACAAAACATCAAAACAAACAAAAACATCAAAACAAACAAAACATCAAAACAAACAAAACATCAAAACAAACAAAAACATCAAAACAAACAAAAACATCAAAACAAACAAAACATCAAAACAAACAAAAACATCAAAACAAACAAAACATCAAAACAAACAAAAACATCAAAACAAACAAAAACATCAAAACAAACAAAACATCAAAACAAACAAAAACATCAAAACAAACAAAAACATCAAAACAAACAAAAACATCAAAACAAACAAAACATCAAAACAAACAAAAACATCAAAACAAACAAAACATCAAACAAACAAAACATCAAAACAAACAAAAACATCAAAACAAACAAAACATCAAAACAAACAAAACATCAAAACAAACAAAAACATCAAAACAAACAAAAACATCAAAACAAACAAAACATCAAAACAAACAAAAACATCAAAACAAACAAAACATCAAACAAACAAAACATCAAAACAAACAAAAACATCAAAACAAACAAAACATCAAAACAAACAAAACATCAAAACAAACAAAAACATCAAAACAAACAAAACATCAAATCAAACAAAACATCAAAACAAACAAAAACATCAAAACAAACAAAACATCAAAACAAACAAAACATCAAAACAAACAAAACATCAAAACAAACAAAACATCAAAACAAACAAAACATCAAAACAAACAAACATCAAAACAAACAAAACATCAAAACAAACAAAACATCAAAACAAACAAACTCAAAACAAACAAAACATCAAAACAAACAAAACATTTAAACAAATAATTGTTTTCAGGGTTGTGCGCCAAAATTTTTGCGTTGCTATTTTTTTTAAATTTTTAAATCACGCCAAATGCCATGGCGGACAACCCTGATTGTTTCCCTTATGTTTTTTTACCATTTACAGCATCTCCCCCAACATCCTGTAATGGAGTAATTACAAATTCAGTTCCATCCCCCCATCCGTGTCCATAAGCAGTCAAAGGATATGCTGCCTCCCCATGTTTAAATTTATCCAATCCACGTATCTCTACTTCTCTGGGCACCCTCATTTTTCCAAATGCTTTTAAAATTAGAAAAGCTGGAGTTAATACAAGTGCTGACCAAACAATTATTGCTACGGCACAAACACTTTGCCAACAAAGTTGCCATAATGCTTCATCAAATTTAACTTTTTCGGGGTCAATTAAAGAGAAAAGAAGCCCTTTTTCAGTAACCAAAAAGCACTAATTAACCCCCACAATCCACCCCCAAAGTGAACAGCAAAAGCATCGAGAGGGTCATCTATTCGCATAATTAAACAAAGCTCTGAGAAGGCTAAGTAGGCCATTCCTGCAATGGATCCGGTTATTGCTGATGTCCAAACAGGCCTAAAAACAAAACATCTGGGCAATGTTTTTGTTAACCAAACAAACATTTTATTACATCCAGCACAGGCGCTAACCATTCCTTAATAATGAGGGAATAATTAATTGTTCAGATTTTATTCTGATTTTGTATGTTTTTCTGTAAATATTCTGCTTTTGTTCTCTAGTTTTATTCTGATATTGTTTTCTTCCTTTATTCCGGTTTTGTTTTTCTTATTCTATTTGATTTTATTCTGGTTATGTTTTAATGTTTTGTTTTCAAATATTCTGATTTTAAAATTTTAATTCTGGTTTTGTTTTTCTTGCTTTATTCGCTTATGTTTTGATTGTTTTGAGGATGTTTTAATTTTATTCTGATTTTGTTTTAACCAAAAACAACAAATCAGAATTTATTAAAAACATACCAGTTAAACAAGCATTAATTGTCAACAAAATTGTCCACTTTCCTTTCCTTATAAAATGGACAAATAAATAAGACAAAGCAGCAAAAGCCCCACACAAAATAGTATTAACCATAACTTTGGCTACTACTTGTCCAACACCTTTAGTTGAAATTTCTCCTGTCGATCCTCCATTGAAAGCAAGAAATCCAAACATTAGAATAAATCCTCCAAGAGAGGCAAACTTGAAGGGGAGAGGAGAGGGGAAATTTTAAGAAGGAAAAGGTGAGAACAACAACTTACAGGTACTGAATGCCCCTTAATTTCTGCAATTTTTGGTAATTTTCCTTCTGTCCCAACATTTCTCAAAGGTGTAATTCGTTGTTTTCCTTTTTTAACTTTATTTTTCTGCCTAGCTTCTTTCTCTGGAAAGCGCCCAATTCTTGGGCCGATAAGCAATGCTGCTATTAAAGAAATTGTTCCGCCACAGAGATGTACCTAGTAAAGTGTATTTAAGACTTAAATTTGGTACAGAATTCATTGTTTAAAAGCTTGTTTAATATTAATTTTTATTTATTATTCTGATTAGTTTTTATGTTATAATACCGGTACCGGAAAAACGCGTTTGCATAACACTAGTTTATTTTTGTTCTCTAGCAACTTTGTTTTGTTTTAATTCTGATTTATTTAAATATTTGTTTTTGTTCGTTTAATGTTTATTCTGATTTTTATTTGTTTTGTTTTAATATTTTTTCCTCCCATTTTATTCTGATATTTATGTAATTACTAAAGCGAGGATTTATAGGCAAATGCCTTTTTTCTGCGAGCTTGGCATGATGTAATACGTTCAAAAACGTGTTTTTAGCTTGGTCCTAAGTGTTTAACATGACTTTTATTTTGCCTATTTCTGTCTACACAGCATCTTAAAATAGGCAGAGGCTGTTACTACCCTTTCATCGCGGTACTTGTGGCTTAGTTGGTAGCGCGCCCACTTTAAGTGTAAGGTTCGAACCCAATCGATCATTATGAATTATATAAAGTGTAAATCCCAATAATATCTTTGATAATTAACATTTAATGTCATTTTAAAGTAAAATGAATTTTTTAAATAAATTTTTACTTTAATTTTTCACTTTTAAAAACTTGTTTATTTAGCCATTCAAAAAAATTTTTTTCCATTCAAAAAATTAATAAATTTGGTTTTAAAACAAAGATAAGACACCGTTTCATTATTTGGGTTGGACAAAATTTTTTTTGAAAGGAGTTCTTTCGAGATTAAGCTTCTCGAAATTGCAAGCCCCAAATCTTTAGAAAATAGCACGCGAAAAAAATAGTGGGGAAAAGAAAAAGATACTGTATTTTTCTTTATTTCAGTGCCACTGAAACGGCTAAAAGTAACAGGTTAAGATGCAGTGTGTCTATTTGACTTTTTGGGCCTTTTTGCCTATTTTGTAATTTTTGGTACTATTTTTGCCTTTTTAGCGATCTTTCCTAAATTTTGCCTAAAAATCAGTAAACAATCTAAAAAAATCAGTCCCAAATTTTAAAAAATCAGTGCCAACTCTCATTTTTAGTTTATAGTTAGACGAATTGAGTATTTTTACTCTGTTGGACATTTTGAGATGAGACATTTTGGTGGTGGGACATTTTGGGTTGGGACGTTTTGTAGGTTCACAATTTTTACCTAGTTCAATGTTTTTACCTAGTTCAACGCTTTTCGTCAAAGGACTTTCCGTCAACGGACTTTTCATCAATAAATGAACGCTTTTAAAAAATTTAGGAAATTAATCGGATTGTTCAAAGCCACAATGGATAAATTATGTGCCCAATTTTGTATACGATTCCTTATTTCTTCAAATAACCATGCATATGTTTTGATCGAAGACATGCAAAGACACATGGCATAGCAAAAGAAGTTACCATAATATGTACATTAAGTTACGATAAAAAACAAAACAACGTAAACCTAGGGTAAACAACGTAAACCTGGGCGAGCGAAGCGCGCCGACGCTAAGGGTAATTTCAGTGAATTTATTATTACGCCGGCGCTAAATTATGACTTTCCGTCAATGGACTTTCCCCGCGCGAAGCGCGGGGTTTTGCAGCACGCGTCTTACGGGGATCAACGGTCGCTGGGTTCTACACTAGTAACATAAACCTATTCCTTTTACCGATTTTCAGCCTTGAAAAGCCTACCTATCCTTCATAGTAACACAATTGCTTATAACTTTGTTCAGAATTATCAAATCAGTCTAATTTTCAATCTTTTACACACGGATATCATCTTCGCTTGCGCTTAATATTAAAAAAACATCCATTCATTGACGAAAAGTCCGTTGACGGAAAGCCCTTTGACAAAAATTCGTGCCACCAATGTTTTTACTTGCCATACTATCCTCGCTTTAGTAATTACCATCCCAGACCCAGCAAAATCAACATAAGTTGTTCTGAATGTTGTTGTGTTTGTAATTGTAGTAATGTTTGTTTCACTACTATTAAAGTCCGTTTCAAAAGTATAGCGCCAGGGGTTTTTCGAGCGTTACTCTAACATCCACTTCTCAACTAGCAATCAAATTTCTGTCAATTATTCGTTTGATCAAATGTTTACATTATATAAATAAAACATTACAGAAAAAAATTATGGGGTAATTTCAGTGAATTTATTTATCCGCTATTTAATCGATGAGCTCTCAATGGTAAGATTTTTCTCCAGGATGGGACCAAGTGTATTTTGTAGTAAATTTTGTGCTCTTTCTGTCGGGCTAAAAAGAAAATTTTTATATAAGCTCTAAGGGGGTCAAAATATTTTTTGAAGTACTGTACCCCTCATTTCCCGTTGATTTTGGTGGTTTGAGATCTCAATGAAGAAAGCGTTTACAAACTTTTTCTTTTCGCTTTTTAACTCGATATTGATGGAAATGTTTATATTAATTTTTGTGCGATTTTGGATCATTTATGGCAGAGGAAATAAGGATTGAAATCTTGGTTTTTATTTATGAAACACCCTATTTTTTGAAATTAAAAAAATATTTTTTTCTGTAATGTTTTATTTATATAATGTAAACATTTGATCAAACGAATAATTGACAGAAATTTGATTACTACTTGAGAAGTGGATGTTAGAGTAACGCTCGAAAAACCCCTGGCGCTATACTTTTGAAACGGACTTTACTGTTTAAAGTATTATTTTCCAAAAAGTGTTGTTCAAGTCCAAGGCTAGGGTCAAACCCTCTAGCCATCCATCCATTTGGAGTCCATCCCCAATGTGTTAGTATAGGGTAACAAAATGCTAGATTTTCTTTTTTTTAAATTAAATTTAAGCTAAATTTACAAGTAATTAAAAGTGAGTAGGTTAAAAAACAAGCAAATTCTGCCCTCTCTGCAACCGCCCCAGAAATTATTGTCTTAAAAATAATTTTTTTTTAATTTTGGAAAATATTCTAGGGTTACAGCAGCTGTAGCAGCAAAAACAAATTGAAAAAAGAATTTTGCATAATTTTGTAGACCAATAACAAAGAATTGACTAAAACCGAAAAAATGGTCTAGAAAATTATTTGAATTAGGCCCATAAGCCAAAGCCCATCCAATTGCCCAATAACCAAGAATTCCGAGAACTTTAAAAAATTTTTTTTTATTTTTTGATTTCTTTCAGTGTAAACTAGGGTTTGACCCCGACCCGAACCCCGCCCCGAAAAAAAGTGAAAACCCCGTACCCCGACCCGAAAATTTTCGGGATTATCGGGGTTTTACATACCCAAAAAATGCCATTTTTGGGAGAATTTTACAAAAAAACTTTCAAAAATTTCCTTCCAATTTACTTTGCCCTTATTATTTTGAAAGAAATATGAAAGAAATATCAAAATCTTTTTCCTGCTCTGTTAAGAGACTTGTGGTTGAGTGGCTTAGTTCTTGGTTTTAGCGTATATTTTTATAAATATAAGATTGGGGTTGATCCAAATAAGCTTGACTTGTTTGTTTAGGGATTTTTCTTTACAAAATCAACATCTCAATTTTAATTTAAAATGTAAATCTATTTTTAAATATTATCAACCATCAAAAACAATGTAAAGAAATTTTTAGCTAAAAAACGAAGACATCCGGCTTTTTGACTAAAAAATTTTTAAAATTTTCGCCTGCGAAGCTGGAAATGTAAGAAATCTGTCTTCTTGGCCTTCCAAGTTTCTCAAAATTTTCGCCTGCGGCGCAGAAAAGAAAGAGATACCCTGATATCCTCCAAATCCCTAATCATACGATAACCCTTCAAATCAATGATATCCCTTGAAACTACCCTTAGTCCCTACAAATCTTCTTATATCCCAGGATATCTGCTTTAATCCCTCCAAATCCTACTTGATCACTTCCAGATCTAATTAATCACTCCAATTTTTCTTATTTCCATTTAATCCCACCTTATTCTAATTAATTTGTGAATAAATTAACTAAAACAGACCCAAAACGGCTTATTTTTAGAGCATTATTTCTTTAAAGAAATTTTTCACTAAATCCCCGTACCCCGACCCGAACCCCGACCATATTTTGCTCCCCCGACCCGAACCCCGCCCCGAAACAATTCGAAAACCCCGTACCCCGACATACCCGCCCCCGAGCGTTCGGGGTCAAACCCTAGTTTAAACATACGCGAATCCAAAACATTTTTAATTAGAATATTTGTACAATTTTTACTTCTAACGGCTCCAGCTTCGAGAAAAGCGAATCCACATTGCATTACTTAAATGTTGAAATTTTTCGAAGAAATTTATTTTATACCATGGGCCTCTAATTATTTGTATATACACACAATACTTTTTTTGGTTGGATTGGTAGCAGTGATGTCAAAGTTCCAGTTCCAGTTCCGGAACTAGTTAGTTCTAGTTCCAGTTCCGGAACTAGAACTACGGAACTAACGATTATCTGGAACTAGTTTGGAACTAGAACTACGGAACTAGTAAATGCTGGAACTAGCTTGGAACTGGAACTACGGAACTAGTAAATGTCTGGAACTAGCTTTGGAACTAGTTCTGGAACTAGTTCTTGGGGGTATATTTTTGACGAAATTTCCTCAAAGAAGTTTACGGGACGACCTTAGAAATTCTAAAAATTTTCGCCTGCGGCGCTGAAAAAGTTAATTTTTTTGGCCTACGCCTTAGAAATTCTCAAAATTTTCGCCTGCGGCGCTAAAAAAGGAAGAAATCTGGTTTTTTTTTGGCCTCTTAATCCTCCAGTTTATCCTTCAATCTCCTTAAATCCTCCGTTATCACTCATAATCCTCTTATAACCCAGATTGTCTCGTGTCAAATGCACACTCCCACAATGCTCCGTGTTTTGTCCAGAGAAATTTTGGAACTTTGACATCACTGATTGGTAGAGCTTCCCTGGAAGCTCCACGGGGATCATATCAAAATTTTTATTCTATTCCAGCCTGGTTCCTATACAGTTTTAGGGTGGTGTAGAGGGAGAACTACCGTCCCGATAGCCTTTAGTGGGTTGTGGAGAGGGAGAGCTGCCTAGCATGGACAATATTTAGGCCCCGAGGAGGGAGTATTCACAATAGAAGTTAAAATTTTCCAAAATTTTTCCTTCCAGATTTGTGATTCCTTTTTTAATCTACCATTATTTTGACCCACAAAATATTATAAGCGCCATAGCACAACTAAAAAAAGCATCGTTGTTGTCGTTTGTATTTAATTTTAATTCGTCTAATATTCTTTTAAGTTCATTTATCTCTTCTGATAAATTTGCTGGATTTAAGGGTTCGGAAGTATTCATTTGGGAGAAATTGAAATATTTTTGGGGGAATTAAAATTTAAAACTAAAAATCTCTCATTTCCTAAATTAAAAACGATTAAAAAGAAAAAGGAAAGGTACGCGAATATTATTATTTTTGTTATTTTTCTTCAAAAATTTGTTTTAAGTTTTTATTTTTTTAAATTTAATTGGCCATTTTCATCTACTTTTTGTCCCTTTCCGCTCTCACATTACAAAAAAATCTATTAAATTTTTAATTGCTATCGCTGTTGCCTGTGTCCTCCTCCTTCCCTCTTTTCAAAGTTTAAAAATTCCGAACTGAAAGAATAATTTATGAGAATGTATGAAGAGGGAAAGGGGTTGTATGTGGGAATGTGGGGGTACTACTGAGGGGGTATTATGAACTAAATGGGCGCCAAATTTTGTAAATTTTTTAAAAAAGATAAGTTTTTAAATTATTTTAGTTAAAAATAGATATGTAAGATTTAGTAAAAATATAGTCACATCTTTTTTTACGTACTACATCTTTAAGGATAAGAGGTCGATCTGAATCAGGACTGGACGCAGTTGCGGATTTTTACAATTTTTACGCAATTTTCACGCAATTTTTTGAAATTTCATCCACCATAAATGGAAAAAATCTGGCTTCTTGACCTTCTAAAATTCTCAAATTTTCGCCTGCGGCGCTGAAAAAGGAAGAGATATGGTGGCTTGTCCTTTAAAAACTCTCAAAATTTTCGCTGCGTCGCTAAAATATCAAGTGATTTGGTTTGGATGGTAATCTATCAATGGACTCCTAATCAATCCAAACCATCTTAATCTCAGTAAATCTCAGGTATTCCTTTTGTCCCCCAAATCATTGACATCCCCAACCGCTCCGGTCCCGGACCATATAACTTATGAAGGGATGGTCACTTTTTTTGCAAATGGTACCATTGGATAGGGCATTAAATAGGCTACAATATACCAAAAAATCAAAATTCCTGACCGACTGGTAAAAACGTTATGATCGATAAAGTGCCGAAAAATAAGATTTATTCGAAAAAGTTAGTTCTTAGATCATAACTTTTTTAGCAATCAATCAAAAATTCTGATTTTTTGGTATATTGTAGTCCATCTGATGCTCTATCAAATGTTATAAAACATTAAAAAAATATCAACCCGTACTTGAGTTATAGGATCGGGACTCAGTTGAGCCGGGACTCCGTTCAGGGATGTGCGCCAGAATTTTCGCGTGGCGCGCCAAACGACAAACGCCAATTTTTCAAATTTTCAAATCACGCCAAACGCCAGAACGCCAAAATCGGCAAAAAACGACGCCAAAACGCCAAAAATTTTATTTAACTAAGGCCCGAAATACAAGTGTTTATCTCTTTTTAGCGTCGCAGGCGAAAATTTTTGAATTATCATGACTTCCAGAAGCCAAATTCATCCTTTTTTAGCGCCTACACCCAAAATCATGGAAATTTGTTAAGAACAAGAGCAGAAATCCTCCTTTTTCTAAAAAATTGCAAGAAAAATGGAAAAATCACGACCCCAGGTTTGTAAAATATCGAAGGGTTTAGATGTCCAGATATCCTCTTTAACCTAGAGTTGGGCAAAACGATACTGGTATCGGCCAACCCGAGACCGAGATTGACCGATACTCAAGAACCCGATACCGAGACCGATACCATCATTTTGAGCCGAGACCGATACCGAGAAACGATATTGACCGAGACTAACAGAAATTTTTATTTTATGTCAAAAAATACGTGTAAAAATAATTTATTCGTTATTTTCATCATCTAAATCATCAGATAAATATTCTACATCATCTGGATCCAATTCAATTGATGGTGCCAAATAAATTTTATCCATATTTGCCTTCACTACCAATATTTTTTCAAGTGTTGCACCAGAGTCTTTAGATTTATTAATAATCTACTGACTTGTCCATTTCTGATGCTATCATTAACTACGAGATTTAAGAAATCCATTGATATCCCCTTAAACACCCAAATCCCTCCAAATAACCCAGTATTGTATTTAAGCCTTTTAATTTTATTAAATTACTGGGACTCAGTTGAGCTAGATAAAAGGGCAACTCAGTCGTGCGAACTCAATCGTGAGGGCTTAATGAAATGCTCGGATTTTGTAAGGCAAATAAAGAAGGATTCACTCTTTTCAGCGCCGCAGGCGTAAATTTTTTCAAATTCAGAAGGTCAAGTGTCAAAAATCCTCATTTTTATTAAAAAATACAAGAAAATTGGGGTCTTTGAGTCAGTATCGTTTCTCGCCGAGTTGCTAAGTTGCTCCGCCATTAATGCTAAGTCCGCCATTAATTGCTCCGCCATTAATTGCGAGTTGCTCCGCCATTAATTGCTAAGCATACAGGCTGAGGTGAACTGTACCGCATCAGTCTGAGATCACCTGTTGAGTGAATTCTTTTTTGAAGCATCACTTAAACTAATTTTTAAAATTATAAATCCTCCAAGAATATTTATTTAATTTCCAACCTAAAAACTAGAGGCCGGATCGATACGATATATCGATGGAAAATATGTATCGATGTCGATATTATCGAACGACCACTAAAGTAGAGTTGGGCCGGATCGGTATCCTGACGTAAAATCGGGATCGGGATTGGCCGAAACCGGGATCGGGATTTGTTCTTTCGGTCTCGTGATCAGAAAAATCGGGATAATCCCGACCGAGATCCCGAACCCACCCAACTCTACACTAAAGTCAGGTCTCTACTAAAAACCGTTTCTGTCTTCCTACTAAAAATTTGTTGTCTCCTTCAATGTTTTACTTTAAAAAAGATTGGATTGTAAAACTTGTTGGAAGAGAGAAAAATCGAAACAAAATAAAAGAGAAAACTTAAAACTTTCCATAGGCTCCCATACAAAATCTCTATTCCTTAAAATCGCTATTCCTTAAAATATCTACTAGGCTAAAAATGCTTAAAATCTCTATTCCTTAAAATAACTGTTCTTTAAAATCTCTACTGGGGTAAAAATAATTAAAATCTCTACCCCGCGCAAATGGACGATAGAGTCTTAACAAAAGTGTAAAATATAAACTTTTCATTTGAAAACCCAGACTTGGTGATGGATACTGATATGGATACAATTAATTTGAAAATGGCTGCGGATATCCGCCTGTATCCGCCGTAAATATCGTAAATATAATACGCGACTGCTTCGCTGCGTCGTGTTCATTTTGCTTGCAGTGATCGTATCGAAGCGGCTGCTGTCGATCTGCTGGACATACCCTGATCGTTCTGCTGGACACTATTCAAGCAAAATAATACCAAAAGATAAACCAGAAATCAGAGCAACGTTTCCGCACTGAAAGTTGGCACTGTAAAGGCTTCCGAATGAAAAAATAGACATTTTATCATATTTTTGGCCGTGTAGAGATTTTAAGGCATTTTACCCTTGTAGAGATTATGAGGAATAGAGATTTTAAGGAATAGATATTTTCATCATTTTTAGCCGAGTAGAGATTTTAATGCATTTTACCTGCGTAGAGATTATAAGGCATTTTAGCTGCGTAGAGATTTTAAGGAATAGAGATTTTGAGGGGATACGCTTTCCATATAGTTAGAGAAAGTGTAAAAAGAGTGTGGGGGGGGAATGCGCAAAACACAAAACATTTTTATCATTTCAATTCGGGAAATTCTATCTTTCCATGGGGCAGTTTTTTATTTTATAAAAATATTTTTTTAAATGTTTCTTATTCGTTCAATTCTCTCATATTTTTTTTGTTTCTATAAGGCCTCCTGCACCAACCAAAACATTTTTCTGTTTGAAAAATAATTAAATTTAGGTATTATGATAGGCCAGTAATTTTTTAATTTTCGTAAGGTATAATTTCGGAATACTAAACAGACTCCGATTGGGACAAATTATATGTCATTCGACTCAGCTCGGCGAGCTGAGTCGAATGACATCAAAAAATCGATTGGGACGTAACTATGGGCCGAGATACAGGGTTCGAAATGGTCAAAAACCATAGGGGGGACCAAGCATTTTTTCGGGGTGAAAAATTCGAATATGCAATTAATAGCTCATTTGAAAGAGCTCTACAAGCTGAGTCGAATGACACCAAAATCAGCGAAATCCGACTTGATTTGACAAAGTTATGATCGTTTGTTTTAGCTCCTTACCCTTGTTCTCTGTGGATGTTCTTGCAGCTGCGGAGGAAGCCGGGCATGCCCATCACAGCGATAATTGGAATAGGATTAAGTTACGAGCCCAGACCCAGCGCCCGTAGACTCCCCGCGAGGCGCGTGCCGCAAAACCCCGCGCGAAGCGCGGGGTTTTGCACAAGCGCCTCGCCGACGCCCCATAGGTTAACGTTGTTTGTTTTTTCTTTCATAACTTCGAACAAACTTGACCAATCACGGCGATTTTGGTGTCATTCGACTCAGCTTGAAGAGCTCTTTCAAATGAGCTATTAATTGCATATTCGAATTTTTCACCCCAAAAAAGTGCTTGGTCCCCCCTATGGTTTTTGACCATTTCGAACCCTGTATCTCGGCCCATAGTTACGTCCCAATCGATTTTTTGATGTCATTCGACTCAGCTCGCCGAGCTGAGTCGAATGACATATAATTTGTCCCAATCGGAGTCTGTTTAGTATTCCGAAATTATTCCTTTTCGTAAATTCGTCAAAAATCTAAAATTATGGAAAACAAAATTTGATCATCCGAGTCCTTAGTTGTATCCCCTCTCCAAAAATTTTTGTTTAAGTCAAACACCTCTATTTTATGTAATCTCTCAGAAACACCTCATTTTAATTAATTATTTCATCCTTAACAGAGGTCGATCGGAAATGACAAAGGTGCCGGAAATTGGAACTGTCGGAAATCGGAAATGGCCCAAAAGTCGGAACTCGGAAATCGGAAATCAGCCTAGATTTTCGGAAATCGGAAATTGAAAAACGTCGGAAATCGAAATTCCGATCGACCTCTGATCCTTTTAAGGACGTACGTAAAATAAAGGTCTGACTATATTTTTACTAAATTTTGTTTATTTTTTTCAACTAAAATAATTTTAAAAATTTATCTTTTTTAAAAAATTTATACAAAATTTGGCGCCCATTTAGTTCATAATACCCCCACAACCCCTTTCCCACCCTTCATTCACTCTCATAAATTTTCTTCGCAATTTTTAACTTTGAAAAGAGGGAGGACACAGGCAACAGCGATAGCAATTAAAAATTTAATAGATTTTTTTGTAATGTGAGCGGAAAGGGACAAAAAATAGATGAAAATGGCCGATTAAATTTAAAAAAATAAAAATTTTAAAACAAAATTTTTGAAGAAAAATAACAAAAATAATAATATTCGGGACGCCCAAATCGGCGCGCGGCCATACCGGCGCAAAGCTGTAACTTGCTTCAAAATCATCGGAGCTTAACAAATTTAGTATCAAACGATTCCACTCATCGAGTTAAAAAGATTGGTACAGAAATTGACTAGGGCCAGAAATTTTCCAGCAAGTTATGGCTTTGCGCCGTTATGGCCGCGCGCCGGGCTGTACACATAATACTCTCCACACACCTACACATTCCCCTCTTTTTTTAATCGCTCTTTAATTTAGGAAATGAGAGATTTTTAGTTTTAAATTTTTTTAATTCCCCCAAAAATATTTCAATTTCTCCCAAATGAATACTTCCGAACCCTTAAATCCAGCAAATTTATCAGAAGAGATAAATGAACTTAAAAGAATATTAGACGAATTAAAATTAAATACAAGCGACAACAACGATGCTTTTTTTAGTTGTGCTATGGCGCTTATAATATTTTGTGAGTGAAAATTGAAAAATGTTAATTAAAAAAGGAATTACAAATAGGGTTGCCGTTTTAGAGTCAGACCGACGGTTGAGTCATTTTTTTCGACTTCATTTTTATCGGGTCGGGCCGAGTCTTTTTCGGGCCATATATCTTAGGCCCGACTCAATCTTTCGGTCCGAGTCGATCCATATTTGCAACCCTACTTACAAATGTCTATGATAAATACAGTCGAACTTCCATTATGAATACACCCGCAAGGCCTAAATGTTGTCCATGTTAGGCAGCTCTCCTTCTCCACAACCCTCTAAAGGCTACGTGTGAACCGGGGGCCGAAAAGGAATAAAAAAAATTTCGATATAATCCCCATGGAGCTTCCAGGGGAGTTCTACCAATATTCTCTACTTAATGAATAGAGGATTTCGCTTAGATAGCTCTCCTCCTCAACCACCCGCTAAAACTTTGTCGAAATCGGGTCGGAACTAAAGTTTCTACTGGAACTTTCCAGAAATCTCTACCTCCCCAACCCTTCCTCCCTTCAATGACTACCCGAATTTTAAATTGGAATTTCTTGGTGTTTAAAGTTTTTCCTAACATTTAAGTAATGCAATGTGGATTCGCTTTTCTCGAAGCAGGAGCTGTTAGAAGTAAAAATTGTACAAATATTCTAATTAAAAATGTTTTGGATTCGCGTATGTTTACATAGAAAAGATTCAAAAAATTAAAAAAAATTTTTTTAAAGTTCTCGGAATTCTTGGTTATTGGGCAATTGGATGGGCTTTGGCTTATGGACCTAATTCAAACAATTTTCTTGACCATTTTTTCGGTTTTAGTCAATTCTTTGTTATTGGCCTACAAAATTATGCAAAATTCTTTTTTCAATTTGTTTTTGCTGCTACAGCTGCTGTAAATCTTTGAAAAAAATTTTTTCCAAAAATTCTAAAAAAATTATTTTTAAGACAATAATTTCTGGGGCGGTTGCGGAAAGGGCAGAATTTGCTTGTTTTTTAACCTATTCACTTTTAATTACTTGTAAATTTAGCTTAGATTTAATTAAAAAAAGAAAATCTAGCATTTTGTTACCCTATACTAACACATTGGGGGTGGACTCCAAATGGATGGATGGCTAGAGGGTTTGACCCTAGCCTTGGACTTGAACAACATTTTTTGGAAAATAGTACTTTAAACAACAATAGTAGTGAAACAAACATTACAACAATTACAAACACAACAACAACATTCAGAACAACTTATGTTGATTTTGCTGGGTCTGGAATGGTAATATATAAAAATCAGAATAAAAACAAAACATAAAACAAAACAAATAAAAATCAGAATAAAATATGAACAAAAACAGAAAAACAAATAGAAACCAGAATTAAAACAAAACAAAACAAATAAAAATCAGAATAAAACATTAAACGAACAAAAACAAATATTAAAATAAATCAGAATTTAAACAAAACAAAGTTGTTAGAGAACACAAATGGACAACAAAAACAGAATAACATAAAAACTAATCAGAATAATAAATCAGAATTAATACTAAACAAATATTTAAACAATGAATTCTGTACCCAATTTAAGTCTTAAATACACTTTTCCAGGTACATCTCTGTGGCGGAACAATTTCTTTAATAGCAGCATTGCTTATCGGCCCAAGAATTGGCCGTTTTCCAGAGAAAGAAGCTAGGCAGAAAAATAAAGTTAAAAAAGGAAAACAACAACGAATTACTCCAATGAGAAATGTTGGGGCAGAAGGAAAATTACCAAAAATTGCAGAAATTAAGGGGCATTCAGTGCCTGTAAGTTGTTGTTCTCCTTTCCTCTTTTCCTAAATTACCCTCTTTCCTCTCCCCTCAAGTTTGCCTCTCTTGGTGGATTTATTTTAATGTTTGGATTTCTTGCTTTCAATGGAGGATCAACAGGAGAAATTTCAACTAAAGGTGTTGGGCAAATAGTAGCCAAAGTTATGGTTAATACTATTTTGTGTGGGGCTTTTGCTGCTTTGTCTTATTTGTTTGTTCATTTTATCAGAAAAGGAAAGTGGACAATTTTGTTGACAATTAATGCATGTTTAACTGGTATGTTTTTAATAAATTCTGATTTTGTTGCTTTTGAACAAAACAAAATCAGAATAAAATCAAAACATCCTCAAAACTTAATCAAAACATAGGAGAATAGAACAAGAAAAAACAAAACCAGAATTTAAAATAAAATCAGAATATTTTAAAACAAAACACTAATTCAAAACCAGAATAAAATCAAAACATTTGTTTTGCTTGGATAAAAACATACCAGAATAAAGAAAGAAAAACAAAACCAGAATAAAGGAAGAAAAGAAAGAGAACAAAACCAGAATATTTTCAGAAAAACACACAAACAAAATCAGAATAAAATCTGAACATTTAATTATTCCCTCATTATTAAGGAATGGTTAGCGCCTGTGCTGGTTGTAATATAATGTTTGTTTGGTTAACAAACCCATGTTAATTACTTTGTTTTTAGGCCTGTTTGGACATCAGCAATAACTGGGTCTATTGCAGGAATGGCCTATTTAGCATTTTCAGAGCTTTGTTTAATTATGCGAATAGATGACCCTCTCGATGCCTTTGCTGTTCATTTTGGGGGTGGATTGTGGGGGTTAATTAGTGCTTGTTTGGTTACTGAAAAGGGGCTTCTTTTCTCTTTAATTGACCCAGAAAAAGTTAAATTTGATGAAGCATTATGGCAACTTTGTTGGCAAAGTGTTTGTGCTGTAGCAATAATTGTTTGGTCAGCACTTGTATTAACTCCAGCTTTTCTAATTCTAAAAGCATTTGGAAAAATGAGGGTGCCCAGAGAAGTAGAGATACGTGGATTGGATATTTTCAAACATGGGGAGGCAGCATATCCTTTGACTGCTTATGGACACGGATGGGGGGATGGAGCTGAATTTGTAATTACTTCATTACAGGATGTTGGGGGTGATGCTGTAAATGGTAAAAATAAATAAGGGAAAAAGAGCAGGGCCGTGCGCCATGGCATTTGGCGTTTGGCGTGATTTAAAAATTTGAAAAAATTGCGTTTGACGCGCCACGCAAAAATTTTGGCGCACAGCCCTGAAAACAATTATTTGTTTTGATGTTTTGATGGTTTTGTTTGTTTGATGTTTTGTTTGTTTTTCTAGTAACAACAATGATGAGACCAACAAGAGAGGGGGGAATACAGCAATATCCACACCAACAATTTGAACATCCCGAACATTTTGTGCATAGGAGGGTATGTTTATGAATGTTTTAGAGAAAATAATGAAAATATTAAGCAAAAACAAACAAGCGCAACACCATAAAGAATTAAAGAAACTAAGAATTTAATAAAAACATTTCTCTAAACTTTGCATTTTTAAACAATTTATTTGCTCAAATAAACACAACAATAACTTTAAATTTGTAAAAATATATTTAAATTGAAAAATTCGATTTGTTTAGTAAATAATTCTTTTTTATTCCGAAATTACTTCATCAAAACTGGATTTTCTTTAGTTTCAAGGTAGAATTTAAGTTTTGTTATATGTATTTCTTCGTTTACGGGACCTAATGTTTGTACTATGCAGTTAGGTAGAGCCAGTCTAGTTTTATCAAACTAACATGGCTAGTAATCTCCTTCGTCCAGTTCAACCCCGACCTAACTATTTTGGATAAAGTGTTATTATCTTGCTGGCTAAATAACGCCTATTCTTGAACAAACCTAAGCGGTCTGGGCCCATCCATTAGCAAAGTACTGTTACAAACCCTACCTCCAAACTTGAAAAACAAATAAAATTCAATATCCAACTATGGGTAGATTAGGGGTAATAGAATAAAATGAACAAATTCTCAAGGGAAATAAAAAGAGACTTGCCATTCACTTTACCCAGCAAATTTAGGGCATTTTTGCTTATATACAATGAATAAAAGATTAGTTTAGATAGAAAACAAAGCTTTATTTTCTTTATGTTGGCTAGTAAATTTGTGCCTTAATTTTTTAATTCATTAATTACATACAAAATATTAACTTTCTTTGAGATACCTAATTTATTGAGGTCCGACTTTTTTGCAGACTTAGTAATAAGGTTGTCAGATCCGGATTCGAAAAAAGGCCGGATATCCGAAAATTTCCAATTATCCTACAACCTTACTTAGTACTGGACATGGATTTTGGCATCCGTATTTGGATATTTACGGCGTATACAGGCAGATATCCGCAGGTATATTGAACTTAAATACATATATCTATATAGCCATTACCAAGCCTCCTTTTTTGCATTAAACAAAAAATTTTTTAAAATATTTTCTAGCTAATTTTCAAAATGCCCACCTATTTCTATTTTTTATTAACGATTCTAAAGTCAATAAATTTGTCATTTGGTGATGTTGATAGATCACATGAATTAGAAACTGTCAATACTAATTGCCCAGTAACTACATTTCCGAGACCCTCATTTTGTAGAAAACCCTGTAGCCATCAAGAACAATGCCGAAGAGGGAATAAACTTTGCCTTTGCGATGGAAAATGTGGACTTAGCTGTATTTCAAAATGTTTGTATGTTGAAATATTTTGTTAGAGTAGGACTTTTTTGTGAGTGCACCTCAATTTAGGGTACATTTTAAAATATTAGATTGAACTCTGGATGTGAGGTGGGTCGGGACAGTCAGAGGTGTCGGAAATCGGAGAGCCGGAAATCTGAACTGGCTCAAAAGTCGGAACTCGGAAGTCAAAATTTTTTTTTCGAAAATCAAAATTCCGCCCTACCTCTGCTCTGGATGTGAGGAGCTACATATCCCAAATTGAGGATACTTATATTTAAGATAAACCTAATTATAAAAAACCGGGGCTGAACATCATGAAGCTTTTGGTTTCTGAAAAATTGATGGCACAGCCTTGTGATTTAAATCCTTCCAACCCCAGATTGTGAGGTCCATCTTTATAACTACATTTATAGCAATTAATTGTCACCCGCTTGTGGATCTTCCAAATGGATATATTCAGACGCCAACAGGATTCCTGTTCAACTCAGTTGCCGAATATGGATGTGATTTGGTTCTCTTCAAAGAATTTTTTAGTTGAAATTATTTTTAGGGTTATATTTTAATTGGCCCTTCACAACGTAGATGCCAAGGAAATAAAGAATGGTCAGGTTCTCGACCTATTTGTCGGCCTCTTTGTATAATTACTTCTGAGAAAAAATTTTTTTAAATAAATTTTAGTAAAGTGTGGCCCTCCACCAGAAATACCCTATTCAATTTACAAACTTTCTCCAACCTCCTCTATTAATGAAGAAAATGAATTGGATTCGGAAGCTCATTATAGCTGTATTTCTGGATATAGGTAGGTAGATAAATGATAGAGACAGGACTGAGAGTCGATCTCGATTGTAAGGTTGGCGGATAGTTGGAACTCTTCGGATATCCGGATCATATATTCAAACCGAAAATTTCCGGATATCCGGCCTTTTTTCGGATCCGGATCCGAAAACCTTATTCAATAGCAGAGTTTTTTTGATCGAGATCTTGTCTTGCTTCGGTCTCTAATACATGATAAAAAAAAGATTTTTTCATTTTTCCAAGGGATACAAGTCAATCGAAAAATAAAATTAAATGTTCATTAAATAATAAAGGAATTGCTTTTTGGGAAGAGCCAAAAATTGTATGCAAAGGTTCTCATCCTTTTTAGGAAACCCTCTCTTTAAATTTAATTTTTCAGCCCAAGAATGTCAAGATCCTGGAATTCCTCTAAATGGATTCCGGTCGGGTGATAACCTTCAATTTCCACATACAATCGAGTTTTCCTGTGCTCCCGGATTTAATTTAATTGGATCGGCACAGAGAATGTGTACAAGTGTTGGGGAATGGAGCGGTGATTTTTTAATTTTAGTGAACAATAAAATTAATTTTTAGGGGAACAACCATTATGCAAACGTAAGAAAATTTTTAATTTATCTTTACTATAGTCAAGCGTTATTATATGATACGCCTTTGGGGCTGAAGAGCTTGTAAATTCAATCTTATAGGTTGACCTCGATTAGTTGTACCTTGGATATCCAGTAGTGGGCAGGGCTGAGTGAAGGGACTTTAATTTCTTTTAGGGCACCCCTCTACTATGTATTGCCTCATTCACCAAAAATTATTATATTTTTATCCCGTGGAAAACTAATAGTATGTAGAGGAAGCGAGCCGTCTCGCTTCCCGAAAATCGGGAATTTCTCTGTTTTTTGGTTGGGAATTCCCGATTCCTCAAATCGGGAATTCTGTTTTTTTGTCGGCTCGTTCCCTGGTACATATGTATGTAGTGCAACGAAAAACCGTCCTTATACGAACTAGAAAATCAAAAATCTCCTAGAACTAGATACAAGAAAAACATTATGGAAAGAGCAGCAATTGTTAGCTCCCCCTTTAAATTTAGCTATTGAATGTCCCAGGCCTACCGATCCTCTACATGGTGCTGTCATTGGTTCTTCTTTAAGTTTTCAATCTGTAGTTACTTACTCTTGCAATGATGGTTATAGACTTGTTGGGCAGGCTAGTTGAGTAATTCTTAGAAAAACTACTCCTGACACTTCTTAAGGTTCAAAGAATTTGTTTAGCGGAGGGGGTATGGGCCGGACAGAATCCTTATTGTGAAGAAATCAAGTGCCCCCCATTGCCAATAATTTGGAATGGTTATGTTGAGGGAGACGATACTAGCTATGGATCTATTGTTGTTTTTAGATGTTTTGAAGGGGTTTGGCTTTTCTCCAACAACTAAATTTTAAGTTTTAGATGAGCCATATTGGCGCTCCTTTTGCCAAATGTGAAGAAAATGGGAAATGGAGTTCGAACGTTCCCAAATGTTTGGGTAATTCTCAAATGATTTTTAATTTAATTTACAATTAAGCAAATTGCAAGGTTCCAAAAATTAGAAATGGTCGATTGGGTCAGTTCTCTGATGGGGAATTAATTCCACATGGAAAAAAGGTTAAAATTGAGGGTTGGCACCAGTGCTGGGTATTTGCCATTTGTTGGCTCCGGGCTTTCAAAATCTTGGCTCCGGCTCCGGGCTATCACTCTCTCATTATCATTTGCTTTTTAAACGGAGCAGGCGGAAATTTTTCTCCGGAGCTAGCTAGCTTCCGGAGCACTGGTTGGCACGGTGACTGAGTTAATGGTACATATAGGGCCAATTGAAAGAGAAACTGAAAGAAGATAGATCAGTGAGCAGTACGTGATGAGCGAAAGTACTTAGAACTAATTATCAAGAGGTCGACCTGTACTAACCCTTTATTTCTCCCGTTACTCTGCATTACGATTACCGAGAAATAACGATTACCGCCCTAATATAGAACAATTGTCTATAAATTAAAATAATAAAATTTTCGGTTCAAATCCTCTGCGATCCAAAACACGACACAAAAAATCGACCAATGGTTAATTGTCTTAATGGAACTTGGTCACATGTGCCTCAATGCACTCCAAGTATTTTTTAAATTAAAAAATAATTTAACAAAAAATTAGTTCGCTGCCAAAAATGGCCAGCGAAAATGCCCAATTCTCAATTAGTTTTTACAAAATCAACTCATGGTGCAGGTGTTTCTAGTTGATAAAAATTTGTTTTACTAAAAATTTAGTTGCAAAATATCATTGTTTGCATGGATTTCGACCTTCTTCGCCCAACAATTTAATTAAATGTCTTTATGGAAAGTAATGAAATTTAATTTGGCTAAGCTATAGTTGACTAGGGATTTTAAATTTAAATAAATTTATATGTGTCGGTCCAACTTCAATTAGGCCGGCCGAATTGAATGTGGACTAAAATTGAATTTGGACGCCGACATATGTCATTTGAAAAAGAGCTAGTTGTTTAACAAGGGAATATCGTTTACTGTATACAAAATTTTGGTATTGATCTTGGCGCCCTTTGATAGAGACCCCTGACTTCTTATTTAAAGTGACCTTTTTTACAAAATAAGTTTATGACTGGTTAAAGTTGGACTGCTATAGTTTGGAGTAAGGTAGCAACCCGACCTTCGGCGTCAGGTATGTCGGGGATCGGGGTTTGCTGGGGAAGGCATGCCGGGGTTCGGGGGTCAGGTTGCTACCCTAGTTTGGAGTTAAAGGGTAATTGAGCAATTTCTCTTCTTTTTTCCTTTAAATATAAAGTTTCCTTTAAATATAAAGTCCCTTTTAATTTAATAATACGTTGGTGTGCGCTGTGTTTAAACCTTTTTTTGTTTTTAGGTGGATTAGAGATGGCCCGCCATTTCGATGTCTTGCAAGTAAATAAAGATTTAATTTCTGCTTTTAACTCAGAAATTCAGTGTCTTGTGACCACCCAACAAAAGTTTTTGACAATTTGGAGGGTGGACGTATTTTTCTTGAGGGGCAGATGGGTGGTTAGTTAATTAAGTTGCTGAAAGTTTTAAAAGAGATTTTTTTAGCTTATGATTATTCTGATTATATTAATCGGTAATTCTTTTAATTTTCGAAAATTTTCGGATTTTTATTCAGCGTTCCAGAAGGACGTTCAATTTCGTTTCAATGTGAAAAAGGGAATCTTTTAATTGGTTATTTTATTCACGATTAATTTTTGCAAAAAATAGATAACGGGGGTGTGTCTAAATAAACAGAGTTAAAAACAGACGGAAATTGAGAAACGGAAAACACACCAATCTATTAAATATGTACAGTCAACCTTGTTACCATATACTCCCACTATTAGAGATCAGACCGAGACGAGATCTCTATCGAAAAGTTCGGTTATCGAGATTTTCGTACGACGCTTCAAGTCCGGTCTCTACCCGCTATATTAGGCGGTACGACAATTGCGGATATAAAATTTTTAAGGTTTTCAGTGCCACATCTGTCTAAAAATGATTCCGAAACCGTCAGAAGTCTGAAGCTGACAGCATTCAAAAAAATCTTTTAATCCGCAATTGTCGCATCCGCACGTGCGTATCCGCAATTGTCGTAACACCCTATATTATACATTTAAATTTTGTAAGGGTATGGGGGAGGGGGGAGATGCCGCTAATTGATGAGAGGGGAGACCTAAGCAATGCCTCCACCTTATTTGTTAGTGTACGATTTTTTAACGCAAAGGGCGTACACCATAACAAGGGGCGGTTGTATTACCTAATTTTTTAGGTCCTCCAAAGGCAACTTGTCAATATGGAAAGGTGACCCAAATTTTTCAAAACAAAAGGAAAGTTTTTTTGTTTATTAAAGTGGCGTCCAGATATAAAACCAAAATGTGTATTTCAAAGGCATCCAACTATTGAAGGGCAAATTTTGTGGAGTAGAGTTAAACGTTCATTTAATTTAACTATGGGGGAAGAAAAAATTGAAAAATGTCAACTCCCAACAGAAGAAAAATTGAAAAAGAATGGGTGGAAGTTGATAATTAAGGAAAGCAAAGAATTAATTGTTGGTGGGTGTTAATTTTAAATTTAAATTTTTTAAATGCCTTTTTAGTTTGTAGAGGGGGTTTCGAATTGTTTAATGAGTTAAAAGCGAGTACTCCTTTGGAGCAAATCAGTCGCTGTGTTAATGGGCAGTGGACACCTAAATTAATTGAATGCAGACCAAGTAAACTTTAGATTTTTTAGAGTTTAGGTGCGCCAAAAAAAATTTTTGCTTTTGGTATAAATTAGGGTTGGGCGGGATCGGGATTCCGATCGGGCGGGATATCCCGGTTTTTTTGAATCCCGATTTTGGCCAGTCTCGACGCCAAAATCGGGATCATTATTCCAAAATCCCGATCCCGATTTTATGTCAAAATCTCGATACGCCCAACTCTAGCATAAAATAAGGTACAAAAATGTTTGATTAGGTATTGATATTAAGTGATAAGCTTATTCACCAGGGTTATCTCGGAAACCCGAAATCCTGTCTTTTTTCGAATCTAAACCCGATCTGAAAAAAGTTTTTGAGAAATTCGACCCGACTTTTTCAATCAGAGACATCCTAGTTATTCATAATGTTATGTCCGAGGTATGTCCGATGTTTGTTGACGTGCACAAGAATAATAGTATCTGTAGTAGAAATGTAACAATGTAGGCGAAGGGATTAGAACTGGAACAGACGACAGAGATCAGGGACTAGTCAGGCAAGTATGATCCAACTAGACTGACGCTTTCATTGACTTTTATATTAAAGTGGCAACACTACACAACACATAACAATATAAAAATCTGACCATTTTGAGCCTTATTTTCATAACAAAAAATCTTTTGGCAGCCTAAACTCTATAATTACATACATCCACACAAAGTAATCACTTATTTTCTTAGAAAGCTGTCTACTTCCTTCCCGTCTAAACGCAATATTTTTGCGTCTTTCGGTAAACACAAATGGAGTTTTTGAATACTACGAAAGAATGCCCCACGGACACAAAGTCCGTATTCAATGCCTTCGCGGATTTACAGTTGTCGGGGAGGAATTGAGTGAGTGTTTTAGAGGAAGATTGCTTCAACAATTGGGGCAGTGTGTTCCAAGTCTATTCAGATTCCCTTTTAAATTCCCTTTAAAATTTTTCTAAAAAAGAACCCTGCTCCTTAAACTCGACATCACTACAACACGGAAACACAGCAAAGTTGATATGCGCAAAACAACTCCCAGAAAAAATAAAATGCCAATTTGGGCGAATATTTAAGGATTCGAATAATTTAGAAGTATTTTCGACCAAAAATTGTTTTGTTGTGGAAAATTTTGGTTGGGAAAGTTGAGTGACTTTAATAAATTCAAATTAAATTTTAGTCTCCCCCTTAAATTCCAATTCTTGCCCAGCCCCATATCACGGAACTACTTTAGCCTCTATACAATTGGCAAATGAAGATCTTGAGCATTTTTTGCCCTCCTATCCAGAGGGAACGATTATTCGTTATTTGTGTGAAGTAAACAAATCGTTGATGGAATATAATGAAGCGGCGGCTATACAGGCAAAGTTTATGTGTTAGACCTTGTAGATACACCCAAAAATTGTATCCTAAATCGAGTGTTGGAGGTATTTGTTATGTCCCCTAGATTGTGGTCCGATCTAAGACTAAAAGAATAACAAAGAATAAAATATCATGCTTATCATAAGAGTAAATAAAGGGGATAAAAAAGTGGAAATAAGCAAAAATAAGGTCTGCCATGGGCCTAATTTGTGGAAGTGCAGAAGAAGAAATTCTGTGGGCTGTGCACAGAATTCTATCTACAGAATCTGTGGAGGTGAGAAATGGGCCCCAGGTGCCGACCAAAACTGCTCGCCAATGTCTGATTTTATACAAGACAAAGATAACAGTATTCTCAGCTCTTCCCATTTAATGATCAGTCAACCTTTAATTAGAGTTCAGCGGTATCAGGATTTCGCCATAAAAAGGGATCGGGGGATACTGATCCGATAACGGTCCCGATTGGGGATCGGCTGAAACCGGTATCTGGGTTTGGAATAATTACCCCGATCCCATTTCGGGATGGGGATTGAAAAATCGAGATCGGTATTTAAAAAACCCGGGATAATCCCGCCGTTTGGGATCCCGATACCTCTGAACTCTACTTTTAGAAAACCGACCATGTATAGAGGAAATCTATTTTTGGGTGTATCCTATAATTAAGTTCGAATAAAAGTTTACTTTTATTGTTAGTGTATAAACGGCGAATGGACGGCTCTTCTATTACCTTGTGTAGAAGAACGTTCAAAAATTGAGAATAAATCATTAAAAGGGAATAAAAATATGGATGAATGTTTTCCTCTAAACCTTCCAAAAGGAAAGGAATTGCACTTTAATTTTAATTATTCGCTTGCGAGAAATGATCAACAACTAAAACAATTTGGGAATATTTTGAACAAGTCTGGTATTAGGTTCCCGGCCAGTACTTCTCTTCTGGTTTTTAAAATTAATTGTATATACCCTCGATTTTACGTACACCCTTGGGGTTGGAAAGGGTGGATATAAAATTAAGAGGCCAAATCCATCCCAGAAAATAGCACTGGATTAGAAGGGACTTATCCTCTTTTCGATATAAACTAGGGGGATCCCGACGTAAAATCTGGACGTGATTTAAAAAACCGGGATAATCCCGCCCGATCCCGACCGAGATCCTGATCCCGCCAAATTCTAATATAAACAAGGTTGTCTATCGCTCAACCACCACCTACCACCGACGGATTGCTTTCGTTTTTCATTTATTTACTGGGAAACTTCACCGTCCTTACTGTACTACTGACAGCTCCCATCTCTCCTTCTCAACTCTATGACTAATCAAATTTAAAAAATCATACCTAAAATCGAGGGTATTTGTAAAATAGAGAGGTCACTGTAATCAAATAGTTATTTAATTTTTAAAGGTAAAATGTACAGCCCCTCTTAATCAACTACGTTTAGACCATTTTGAATTGTGGAAGTGTAAACAAGGCAGATGGCAAGTCTACAACCGAATTGAATGCCCCAATGGTCTATTAAAAATCCCCAAAAATTTACCCCTAAATTTTCAGTTAATTTATCAACTAATTGTCAATTCAAATTTACCCCTCCTCGAGGCTCTCTGAATTTCCCTCGAGACGTTGCACGTTTAAATGTCTTTCACGAGCAGAGTCGCCAATTCGTTCTTTTCAATCAAAATTTCCCTAATGGGTCCAAGCTCCTTTTTTCTTGTGCTAATTATTCGATGGATTTATTGAGAGGACCTAGCCTTGTAAAGACAATTTTTGATTTTATATGAGTTTGTTATCTTTAAGAGTGTTTGCCGTAATGGGGAATGGCTTCCTCCACCTCCTTATTGTCAGAGATTAGATCGAACTAAGGCTAATGACCAACAGCCGCCGCCAATCGACTTTCAGGTTAACACTTGAATTGGTTTTAAAATAAAGATGGACCTCAGTATAAGATACACCCTAAACTAGATACACCCATTACTGTAGACATTAATGTTAGATAAAAGTACAGACAGGTCCGAGACGAGATCTCGATCGGAAATCTCGATTATCGAGTTCGAGAATTTTTCTAGATCTCGATTCTCGTACGACACTCCCAGCCCAGTCTCAGATAAAAGTATGTTGATCCTTGGGTTGTTTGTTGTCCCCAACGATTCTCTCCAACGACCTCATCAACTTTGTTCTTTTGACAAACTTGTGTTTGTGTCCTGGTCTGCTTCAGTAAATCTAGACATAACATTGGTGGAACTAGACATAACCCTTATTTAAGATAATCTCATTATAGGTAGAGGTGGGTCGGAATTCCGATTTCCGGCTCTTCCGATTTCCGACACCTCTGACTGTTCCGATCCACCTCTGATTACAAGGCACAATTTATCTGCCCTACGGGTGTATCTGTCAGGGGTGGGTTTAATCTCGTATCTCGTGACTCGTATTTTGTGGGACTAGGCACATCCCTGGTATCTATGTATAAACGAGGTCTATCTCTATTTTAAAAATGGAATCCACTTTTAAGGTTTCCGGCCAATGGAGTATTTCGCCAACCGGTGTTCTTCTAGTCAGTCGGTATTATAGACTTTTCTATTTAATTTCCTTATAAACAAGCTCTTCTACAATCCACCTTTTCTGTTTTTATCAAATGGACAATGGAAAGCCACGATGGGAAAGTTTCTCAAGTTATCGAAGTTATCCACAAGTATATACAGATATTCAAAATTAACATTTTGTTCTTTCTTTAGGAATGGATTACAGAAGTAAATCAACACAGATTTGCAAACTTCAGCGTCCTCCAAGTACATTTTTAGTATCTATTGAGTTCGGCATTTTCAAATTACAGGGACTTCACTGTTTTCTTTTAATCAGACACGGACCGGATTTTCCGTGCTAATATCTCGAAAACCTGAAACACCGGATTATCAAAATAGGTTTCTGATCTACCGGGTCCCGGCCCAGTGTCGAACTCTAGTAACCATAAAAGCTTATCTAATTTATATTTTTAGTTGACCATTCTAATTGCACAACCTGAAGATAGTGGTCCATTTCATTGTATTCTTCCAAATAATAGACGTAATAGTTTACACCTCCAAATTAGAGGTGTGTCCATTTAAATCTTCAAAAAACTTTTTATTCAAAATTCTTTAGATGAGTACTGTGCACCTATAGCCAATAGTTCCCCAACATTAAATATTCATTACTCGTCAACTGCTGGCCCTCATCTCACAAACAAATCGCATCTATTTTTGGGCACAGTTGCACAGTTTTCTTGCTCTTCAGGATATCAAATTCTCAATCAACGGCCTCTGGTACGATAAATACTTTCCTTGGGAATATATCCTTAAGGTTAAGACTTGTACGTAAAATAGAGTATCCATTGGGAATCCAAGACCGAAAATTTTCCAAGACCGCAAGGTTCGAGACCAAAATCGAAAAAACCTTAAGAACAATAGTATTGGCAGTATCCATTAATGGAGGTACTAAATTATTTCCTCACATCCCTTGACCAACCAAATTATACGTAAAATAGAGGTCTATATGTATTGGGTGAGGCCGAGAAGCGAGATCCGAGGACAGTTTGAAAATAAATTTGAATTTAAGATTTGTTTGGAGGGCGGCCATTGGTCTCAGTTAGCTCCAACCTGCACTCGTTAGTTCCTTTCCAAGTAATTATCTGGGAACAAAAAACATTACTTTTAAGACATTCAATGTCCCCCGCTTATTCTTTATCATCCTCAATTACACTGTCAAGTAAGCAGTTATAGACCTGGAGGATCTGCACATTGTAGTTGTACTCCAACACATGAATTAATTGGAAGGGCTACTCTTAAATGCGGTTTAGACGGCCTTTGGGAGGAGGAATTGCCTAAATGTAGAGGTATAATTGCTGTAAGGACAAATTACCTTATTATTCAAAGAAATTAAATGTTCAATGCCTTCATTACCTTCACCTATTTCTGTTAAATCTCATATTCCTTCGTTCTCATCGACTTCTGTGATGAATCCTATCACGTTTAGTGTTGGGCATTTATTGTTGCTTCAATGTCCACAGTCTTATTTGTTAGCTGGTTCGTTAATATTTAAAGTGTCACTGATAAGGGATAGGTGAAAGCAATTGGTTTTAGCAATTTAAATGCTTATTAGGCGGGGGTTCAGGATCATTAAAAGGAAGTATGAAAGCAGCCTAAGTAGCTCAGTCGGTAGAACATTTGTATCGGGTTAGCGAAAGCGCTTAGCAAAAACTACCAGAGGTCTTGGGATCACGGATGTGCGCCATTGCATTTTGGCGTCCGTTTTTGGCCGATTTTGGCGTTACGGTGTTTGGCGTGTTTTAAAAAATTTGAAAAATTGGCGTTTTGCGTTTGGCGCGCCATAAAGAATTTTGGCGCACGCTCATGCTTGGGATCAATGCTTGCCCGTGACTACACTTTTACCTCTTTTTTCTTAAAGGTTCTGACTTTTTACTCTGTCAACCAGATGGATATTGGAGCGAATTGAGGTAATAGACTTCCTTTTTAATTTAATATCCCCAAATAAACTTAGAACACGATGCGAGCAAATTTGTCGTTTCCCTGGACAAATTAAACACGGAAACACTATCCACCCTCCAAAGGATCATTATTTGGTGAGGTTCTAATTAAATTAAATAAAAATTGAAAATAAAAAGGTTGGCGAACGGATATTCTATTATTGCGATAAAGGATATAATCTCAACAGTGAAAACATTCTTGAATGCAAAAATGAAAGTCTTTGGTCAAAATCTAAACCTATTTGTAAAAAAGATTAAATATTTATTGATAAAATCTTTTATTTTTTAAATACTTTGTGTACTAATCATTCGACAATTTTAAAGATTAAAAGGTGAAAGTTACGTTTGCCCTTTTGCGTTTCCAAAGTTTCACGTGAGAATTTCCATCTTATGTCCCTTAATCCTTCACAACAAATCCACCTTAATTCCGCCCAAATCCATCGATATCCTTTTTGATAGTCACAATTCTAGTAAATACGCACAAATCCTTCCTTATCCGCCCAAATTTTTAGAGTTGACCTTTTTGACCCACTGGGTCATTTGTTCAATATGAAATTGACCTTTTAGGGGAAGACCTTCTGATCAGCTTGATTCAATAATTCCAAATAAAACTACGCAACTGAATTATCACTGAAATAACTGTTTCCCTACGAGCCCCCAAAGGCACGGGGAAGTCGGCCTAGAAAAGTTAAAATATAAACAAAATGCTCAAAAAACCTTCTCAATTTTACCACCTCAAAGAAAAACAAAAAAAAAATAAATTTAAACAAACAAAATTTATTTATCCACTAGCCACTTCTTCCCTCTTCTTGTACAACGCCGCTCTAGGATTATACCTTTTAATATAAAACCAACTTCCCGGCTGCATTTTGTATTCAAGTCGAAACATTGCAGAATCATCATCCCAATGTCTATTAAAACGTTTATAGCCAGAACGGTCAAATTCGGGAATTGTACGGTCAGGGAAAAGTCCAGACCAATGTGCTTCCATTACACAACGTTCTAAGCGTTGTTGTTGTTCAAGACATAAACCTGAAAAGAAAAAATATTTTTAAAAGGAAATCTTATGAAAAATGTTGGGGATAATCAAAAGAAAATAAAAGTTTTAAAATTTGCAGACAAAAAGTTAAGTTGCGGACAATTTTTAAAATGAAATGAAAATTGCTTAATTATCTCTATAATATTTAAAAACGATCACAAAATTTTTGGAATGTCTCAAGTTTTAAAAAAAATGAAGGAGATTAGCCAACAAATTTTCCGAATATTAAAAAATGCACACAAAAATCTTTTAAAGGGATAGTCAAATTTTTCCAACACACCTATTGTTAGGACAAAATTTAACCGACATATGAAAGTTTCTAACTAGGGTTGTTGGCGACCGGTTTTAAAACCGGAATTTTTGAAATTTTTTGCCAAAAATTAACCGTTTTTAGAAAATTTTAAAAACCGAAAACCGGAAATTTGTGAAAATTAGTGATTTTATTTGAAATTCCCCCAAAAATAAACCGGTATTTGCCTAAAACTCAAAACCGAAAACCGGGTTTCTAAAATTTAGCAAGGGCGTATCCAGGGGGTCGGTTTCGGGGGGGGCTAACACTGGGTGGGCGCAAAAATTTTTGGCGTTTACCTTGTCTTCCGGACGCAAATTTTTTTGTACATAAATTTTCATCTTTTCAGCGCCGCAGGCGAAAATTTTTTGAATTTGGAGGGCCGTAGGCCAAAAAAGTTCACTTTTTAGCGCCGCAGGCGAAAATTTTTTTGAATTTGGAGCCCAAGAAGCCAGATTTCTTCCTTTTTTAGCGCCGCAGGCGAAAATTTTTTTGAATTTGGAGCCCAAGAAGCCAGATTTCTTCCTTTTTTAGCGCCGCAGGCGAAAATTTTTTTGAATTTGGAGCCCAAGAAGCCAGATTTCTTCCTTTTTTAGCGCCGCAGGCGAAAATTTTTTTGAATTTGGAGCCCAAGAAGCCAGATTTCTTCCTTTTTTAGCGCCGCAGGCGAAAATTTTTTAAAATTTAAGGGTTGTAGGCGAAAAAATTTCACTTTTTCGACCACCCTTCTCCTAATTTTTTCCCCCTTTCCCCCATTTCGGGGGGGGGGGGGGGGGGGGGCTCTAGCCCCCCCCCCCCAGCCCCCCCTGGATACGCCCTTGAAATTTAGATCAACCGAAAACCGGGGGTACCGGTTAATAACCGGTCGCCAACAACCCTATTTCTAACCCTTAAAACTTGCTGTTTACATAAAAATGGGAAGAAGATGAAAAGCCCGCGACTGGAATATTTTGTGTCCCAAAACTCGAGGCAACTTTTATATGAGCATAACATTAGAAAAGTTGTAACCTAAATTTTCTATTTCTTATTTCTAAACTCGTTTTTAATGAGAAAACTCTCAATAAAAATTCAATCAGAAAAAAAAACAATTAAAAAACTTAAAAACCTGTCAACTCTCTTGGAAGAACAGTCCCATCCAAACGCATAAATTGCTCCAAAATGAGAACATCTTGGTAGGAAATTTTGACAGAAATTTTGCACAAAGGACAACTACACGTCTGAACATCCTAAATTTGTTTTTAAAAAAATTTAAAAATAATTTTATAAAAAATACTGATTGACAAGCAGCGGGGAGCTTGGAAGGTTTAAATTTGAAGGATTTTTGTGTTTCAGGCAAAGATTCCAATTCGACTATAGTTAAATCACCTTCAACCGATTCTTTTACTAAAAAAAGGAAAAAATAAATTTATTAGATTTTTAAAAAGTTTTTTAATTTAAAATAAAAATAGATATCTCAAACTGAATTTTCGAAGCGGAAAATATTTTTACAAAGGGATTTCCCTCAAACATTAAAAAAAGGGTAATATTGAACCTGACAGACCCCATTTTTTCCTCCCCAAGTTTCTTCATATATATTAGCAGTCAGACTTCTCACTTTCTTCCATCCCACTTGAGGAAGAAATAAGGGTCTGTCAGGTTCAATATTACCTAAAATAGGGGAAAGAATTATTAGAAATACCAAAAGGAAATAGAAAAGACCATACAAAATTCCCAGGCAAATTTTGACCGTATCTGAAAGGAGTGCCTGGTTGAGTTTTTTTTCCTTATTTCCTTAGACTGCCTAGGAATGGTCGATTTTCCTTTATATTTTATATTTTTTCGTAAACTAAAAATGTGTAAAAGGATTAATTTTTTCATTTTTTTGCTAATTTTGTTTAACTTTTCATACATTCTATGTTTATTTTTCAAAAAAATTCTGGTTGTTTTACCTAAAATGGCTTCGAAAAATACAAATGTTGGTGATCCTAATCGTGGCAGGGTAAAACACGGACCGGGCACGACATTGAACGACAAAACATGGGCTTGCCAACATACGGAACGACCAAAATACAGAACAATCAAAACACGGACCAGACCGTGTTTTCTGTTCCGTATTTCGGAATTCCTTGTTTTGCCCTTCACACACGATCTTAAAGAAGTTAGGAAAAATAGGAAAGGAAAAAAGGCCATTCTAAAAAAGAAGGAAAAAAGTCAACCAGGCACTCATTTCAGATAGAGCCCAAATTTTTTTTTCAAAGAAAAATCTGCGGACAATCCCTAGGACGAAAACCCCTTTTACCAAATTTCATTTTCTTAAAAATTAATTTTCTTAAAAATTAATCTCAAAAAATTTTTAAAATGAAAAAAACAAACTTCTTTTTGCCAAAAGTTGACTTGTCCTTGAAAGAAAGCGTAAAGCAACAAGGGGATTATTCGTCTTTAACAATAACATCCTAAAAACTTTAATAAAAAATTTAAAAAAATTAATATATCAAAATTAAATAAATACAGGACTATATCTAAAGTCAATTTAATAAAAAAAAATAAAAAAATTAATTAAAACATTTTTACAAATTGAAAGCCAAAAAAATTTTTTTTTAATAAATTAATTAATGAATCATTGGATATCTTAAATTTGGATTTTCTTTCTTAATCATCTTTTCAGTTGTGGTGGTCTGGACCTGGACTCCACTAAATTTAGAAAAAAATATTTAATATTTGGGTGAGGGATAACTCACCTTCTGACCAAATACCGTCCGGGCGCTAGAGTAAAAAACACCGTCCACTTTTACTGATAACAAATTCGATTTATGTCGATATTATGTATATCTTTGGATACCTTGATTAGTCCTATAACATGTATGCCTGAAAATTTTATTTCAAAAATTTTTGCTCAAAGCAAACTGGACGGTGTTTTATACTCTAGTAGGTGGACGGTATTTGGTCGGACGGTGAGCTGTCCTGACAAGGAATATTTTTAGTGAACAGAAAAAACAACCTCAACTCTTGAACTAACTATACTATCAGCAAAAATTGCCTACAAAAACGCGAAAAAAATTAAAAGCCTTTATAAAATAAAAACTAACCGAAAAATAAATTTTTTCCCCATCTCTTTCAGCTACTTTAGGGCGTGCTCTAGTAGGTCTACGTGGTTGTTCTCCACGCTGTATCGCTTCGAGTCTCTCAGCTTCACGTTTCCGTCTATACTCTTCAATTCTACGCCTGTCTTTATCTTCATGATAGCGTACAGCGTCATCAACAAAAAAGTCAAAATACGGAGGTTGGTCAGCAGCCGGATCGAAATTTGAGTAAATTAAGAGGAAACGATCAGAAGTAACACCAGAAAATAACTAAAATTTTAAATTTAGAAAATTGGGTACTTTTCCATTATCCCTACCCCCTTTTTGCGCACATTTTTCGCAGACTGCCTTATGTAAAGAATGGGCAGACTTTCACCTTTCCTTAATTTCACTCAATTTTTCTGTGGCATGTTCACTATGAGAACCATTCTTTTGTCTGACCATTCTCTACATAAAGTAGTCCGCAAAAAAAGTCCGCAAAAAGGGGTAGGGATAACGGAAAAGTACCGAAAATTATTTAAAGTTTTACAATGTGAAGAGTTGATTTCTTGAAATCCTCAAGTTGTTCTATAAGTTCATGTAACGTCATAATTCCACTAAAAGGTGGAGGATCTCCAGGATAAAGAAAATATCCTCCTTCCATTTAATTAGAAAAAAATATTTGTCTTAAAATTAGAAAGATTGAGAAAATTGAAATACCAAACTCAAATCTCTTCAAATTGAAACGCGCCACATTTCGTTCTACCCTAAATCGTCTTAAAACATTTCTTCGGACTTTTGTTCTGATTTGTGTGTGAATTAGTGACAGGTAAAGTTGTACTTTCGGGATCCCACGTGCGGGATTTTTTAATCTTTGCGGGACAGGACCCCGCGGGATAAATCCCGCACCCCTGCAAAATCCCGCAAATCGAAAAAAGTGCGGGATTGCGGGGCGGGACCCCGCAAAATCCCGCGAAGGATTCCGTTCCGCGCCTTGCACCAGTCTGAATCGACTTGTATTGGCTTATTATGAATTGGCCATTCTGAACCGGCTCCCCTTTGCTAGTCTCTCAAAAATCAAATTTTAAATTTTTTTCAAATATTTTCTAAAATGCGATTTTGCTCAAATAAATTACTTGTTCTGTCTCACGAAATAAAAGCTTTATCTACTTCTATTCGAACAAATACAACAACATCTACACATTTCGGGTTTGAAAAAATTAAAGAAGAAGAGAAACAACAAAGAGGTTTTCCTTGGTTTAAGGGTACAGCCCAAAACGGCGCGTGTCCATAACGGCGCAAAGCCATAACTTGCTGGAAAATTTCTGGCCCTTAATAATTTTGGTACCAATCAGTTTAGCTCATTTAGAGGACTCGTTTGATACTAAATTTGATGAAATTCGGAAATCTTGAAGCAAATTGTGGCTTTGCGCCGTTGTGGCCTCGCGCCGATTTGGGCCTGTCCCGTTTTTTGAATAAATTTAATTCCCCCCTCTAATTTTTACAGTCAAAACAGTTTTCTCAAATGTAGCAAAGAAATATGATTTAATGAATGATGCAATGAGTTTATTTATTCATCGATTGTGGAAAGATTATTATGTCCAAAATTTGCCTTTAAACAAAAATTGTAAAGTTGTGGATGTGGCTGGAGGTACTGGGGATATTGCTTTTCGAATTGCCGAAAGGATGGGGGCAAATGGAAATGGGTCTGTTACTATTGTGGATATTAATGAGGTTTGTAGTGATTTTGTATTAAGCACTTTGGGGGCGTTTAAGTCATCTTTGATTTAGTGGGTTAGATTTAGGTTTCGCAACAGATAGGTGAGGGGTTCGAGTCCGACTGGGGGGAAATATTTTTTATTTTGTTTCTACGGAAAATAAAAACAATTTAGACCATTTGGAGTGTGTTGATTTTTCATTAAACAGTTTAGGGAGTGTTTAAGTCATCTTTGGTTTAGTGGGTTAGATTCAAGTTTAACAACAGATAGGTGTGGGGTTCGAATCCGTTTGAAGGGAAATATTTTTTATTTGGTTTCTAATGAAAATTAAAACAAATTAGGGTGTCTGTTCATATTTTTTTCGAGTTGCTAACTTTAATTTTTGCTCTATTTTAGAATATGTTAGAAGTTGGAAAGCTTCGAGTACCCCCAAATTATTCTAGTCATTTAAATTGGGTTACAGCTAATGCAGAATCTCTCCCTTTTGAAGACAATTCTTTTGATATTTACACAATAGCCTTTGGAATACGAAATTGTACACATCCAGAAAAAGTTTTGAGTGAAGCTTTTCGGGTGTTAAAACCTAAAGGTTTTTTTTTAATTTTGTTAAAAAATTGATTTTTAATTTTAGGGATGTTTTCTTGTTTGGAATTTGGAAAAGTTAACAATCCGGTTATTCAAAATATTTATGGTTAATTTCTAATTTTTTAAAAATTATTGAAATCCTATTTAATTAAACAATTTTATTTTCCCTTATTTCCTTGATTTTTACTAACTTTTGTTCATGCTTTTAAGTAGAGTTTGGGATTTTTTGGATTTTTTTCATTTTAGGTTATTTTTAATGTGAGCTGCTCCAAAATTTGGTTCAGTCTTCACCAACCTCTTTCCACTTTTAATTAAAAATTTAATTTTTGCACTAACTAAATACTCCTTTAGTTATTGTGATAAATCTTACCTTATAATGATTCTGGCCCTATCCAAAAGGAAAGCCGCCATCCAATATTTCTCCTTTCCTCCTCGAATGAAAAGAAAAAATTATACTACAGCCGAAAAATTAACCTTTTCTTATTCGAGAAGGAAAGGAAAAACTGGATGCCGGCTTTCCTTTTGGATAGGGCCATGATTCTCGTACATGGGGGATATTCTTGGTCAGCTATCCTTGTCCATTGGCTAACTAAATTTAAAAAATATATCTAAAAATGCGGGGTCTATTTTGTCTGAATTTTTGTTTTTTTTTATTCCTACGGAGAGTCATATTTGTAAATAAAATTTTTTAACCAGAAAATTTTTCTTTTTTTTCAGATCTTTACAGTTTTGAACTAATTCCAGTCATTGGACAACTTTTAGTCGGTGATTTTAATAGTTACAAATATTTAGTTGAAAGTATTCGTGTCTTTCCTGATCAACAAAAATTCTCAAAAATGGTTAAAGAAGCAGGTTTTAATAATGTTACTTTTGAAGAATTAAATTTTGGAATTTGTAATATTTTTTGTGGAATTAAATAAAAATTTTTATAAGAATATTTTTTGATTGCTTAATTTGTTGTTAAATACAAACAAATTATTATTTTATTTATTTTTAAATTTTTCCATGAAAACTTTTTCTTATAGGGAATCAGGCCCGTAGACAGGATTTTTTTCGGGGGCCCCTGGCTACGGGCCTGCAGGGAATCATTTTTTACTGTAAATGCAGGTTCGGATTTTTTCCCGGCCTAGAGACATTACTTTCATAATAGGAACTTTTGGCACCATTCTATCGAATGGTGCCAAAAATATTGAATTCGCATACACAGTAAAGGATGGTTCCTTTTTAAAAATTTCTTAACTCCATACATATTAGTTGACTGATATTAAATTTTCAAAAATCCTATTACCTAAAAAAATTTTTTTAAGATTGCCTTTTATATTTACATTTTTCTAGTATTGTTGACTTTGTTCTATTCATGTCGGTCATCTTTTCCTATTGTCTGAAAAATAATGGGTTTTTCCCTCTAAAATTTTTTCTTATTTTTAAGAGACTTTTAAATAAATATTTTAATCCAATTTAATGGTCAAAAAGATGTGTAAAGCTTTAGGTATGTTAAATGTACTTGCTTCTCGTGCTTTTACAACTTCGAATATTAGGGCTTTGAGGTTATTTTTAGTTAAATTTTCTTTTAATTTTCCAAATTTTGACAGATTTGGCTCACAAAGAACTCAACAATCAGATATTTTTCAAGTTGGAGCTTTTTTGCCTGAAAATAGTAAAAGTCAAATTTATCAAAAAGGGCAGTTATTTGTTCATAAAATTTTTGCTTATAGGTTTGTTGATTTTTTTAAATTTAGTCTTGCTTAGAAAATTGAGGGGGAATTTTGTACTTACCTAGGGAGCAAGGGCGTAGCCAAGGGGGGGGGGGCTTCTGGGGCTAAAGCCCCCCCCCCCCGAAATGGGAGAAAGGGGAGGATGATTAGGGGAAGAATTAGCAAAAAAGTGAATTTTTTGGCCTACGGCCTTCTAAAATTAAAAAAATTTTCGCCTGCGGCGCTGAAAAAAATAAAAATATGGTTCAAAAAAATTTGGGTCCAGAACGCCAAGGTAAACGCCAAAAATTTTGCGCACACCCAGTGTTAGCCCCCCCCCCCCCCCCCCCCCCCCCCGAAATCGACCCTCTGGCTACGCCCTTGCTAGGGAGTATACCTAGGGAATACTTACCTAGGGAGTATTGGTAAGGGATTAGGACAAGGAACTTTACTAGGAAAGTAAAAAACGACTTTAAGACTACTATGACCTAGGGACCTGACAAGAAACCATTCTTTACTTTGGCCATAATTTTTTTAAAAAATTTTTGCAAGAAAACGGACAACACTTTGCAATAGTAAGTCGGGGGTCCTCTATCGAATGGTATCAAAGAAATACCGAATTCGTGGTCACAGTAAACAATGGTTCCTTGAGAGAGGTATTCCAATATCCGCTTTTGCCATCGTCAATTTCTGGTATTGGCTTACTGAAAAAGCTTGGAGATGGCAAGCCAATTCACATGTATGGGAAATAGGGCTGGACGCAATTGCGTATTATGTAAAATTTAATGGTTTTGACTTGCAGCTGCGAAAATTTTTTTGGCTGCGTTCAGCCCTGATTAAAGCAACTTCTCCCGAAAATTACTTGTTGGCGTCAGAATTCTGGCAATACATAATAGCGGATATTAGAACACCTTTTGTATTCAGACAATGACCCATTTACTTTCCTCGAATTTTTGAATGATAAATTTTCTTCCACAATTTAGACAAAATTTTCCTCAATTTTTTTTTCGATTTTTATTATTTTTTGAATCGAAAATTAAAAATTTTTTTTCTTTTTTAGAGGAATTATCGTCAAGTCTACAAATTGTGTTATTTACTCTAGAAGAAGGTTTATTTATTTTTAATTATTTAAATAAATTTTTTGTTTAAGTGTGAATACACCACTCGAGGAATCCTTTTATTATCAAGTTCTGATTGATAGTGACGATTGGAACGAAATGGTTTTTTTTAATTTATTTTAATTTATTGGGATATAATGTCATCTTTTAGGGTTTTCTAGTCTTTTTTTTCTGTCAGCAAACTTTGTCCATAAGATGAATTAAATTTTACTAGGATCTGATTATAGTTAAAATAAGCTAGTAAAAAACAAGGCCGTAGCCAAGGGGCTAAAATGGGGGTGTGCGCCAAAATTTGGGACGTTTACTTTGGCTCCTCTCAAATTTTTCCCTTTTCCCCATTTCGGGGAACGGGGTCCCCTGAAGCCCCCTAGCTACACCCTTGGTAAAATGAATAAATTTTTTGAAGACTTGCGGACAAAACTTGCGGACTTTTTGGAGCATAATGTTAAGAAGAGGGTTTTTTTCTAAAAAGTTTAATTAATTCTAGTAGGTATCCTGTTCTTTATTTTGTATTTTTCTGAAATAAAAACGGGCTGACGGCTAGAAAATCGTATCATTTCTTTCCTCTACACCAGAGGTGGGTCGGAACAGTCAGAGGTGTCGGAATTCGGAAGAGTCGGAAACGGAACTGGCTCAGAAGTCGGAACTCGAAAATCAAAAATTTTTTGGGGAATTCCGTCTCATTTCTGTTCTACACTCAGAATTTTTAAAATTTATCTAAAAAAATTCCCTTTCAGCATTTTCCCTATAACTTGACTACATGCCTCAATTCTATTGGAAATATGGAACAAAAAAATAAAACAGAATATAACGGAATGGATATAGTTGCACATGATGAAATTCGGCCTTATTCAAATTTACAAAATTTGACTGATGAAACGCCACCTATCAAAAATGAACATATTTATCAATGCTTTCCTACGCCAAATTTGTTAGAGGAAGGTTTGGATTTTTGGTATAAATTGGGAATTTTTGATAGTGTTTTTTAATTTGAAAAGAGAAAATGGAATGTTTTATACAAGGGGGGGGGGGATCGAAAAAAATTAATTCTAACAATAAGTTAAAGGATTTAAGGGACAAAATTTTATAAGTTAATGGACAATACAAACTAGAATTCAAAAAAAAATTTTTGTTCTTTTGAAAATTTAAATTTGTATGTGAAAACCCGGATTATCTTGCAAGTTTATTTTAACGAAAAATTTTTCCAAGTTTTCAGACAAAAGTCAAATTCAAAACGGCATCCTTTAGACAGTAACATTTTCCTTTTTTTAAAAGGCGTGGGTCAATTTCAAAAGAAATTCCCTTTTATTTGAAGAATGAATCGCAACCCTTTTTTATACTTTTTTTTATTGTTTATTACAATTAAGTAGGAAAAGCAAATCCAGGCTTTGTTTTGTGTTGGTGTTTTTTAAGAATGCGTCTTTGTTTTTTCCCTGGATTCGGGTTTAAAATTTTTTCTAATTTTCCTCACTTACCTCTCCCAATTTAAATTATAATTTAAAACCTCTTCTAATTTTCTCTTTTAAGTTTTAGGTTATGAAACGGAAACATTTCAACAAGGATTGGAATTTAATCAATTGTTGGTTTATTTAAAAAAATTTTTTTAATTTTATTTTTCAGACTTCCCCAAGCTGTCTACAAACATTTGACAGATTTAAATGAAGTACAAGTTATTCCTTTTTATTTGGGAATTAATGGAAGAGGAGATGGACAGAATTTCCATCTTTGGCGTTGTCTTTTTCGAATAAGAAATTTGGGGAAGAAAGTGGTTAAACTTCAAGATATAAAATTGGATACATCTACTTTAGATGGTTATTATACAAGTTTGGAAGAAAGTTTAACTGAAAATTTGGTTTGTTTAAAAAATTTTTTATAGTTTTTTTTTGGGTATGGGTGAGGAACATAACTGAAGAACAAAAGATTTTTCATTTCTGGTCGACCAGTTTTCCGATTTCTAAGAACCAGTAAACCTATTTTGCAACATTACCATCTCTTGTGTTTTGATTTAATGTTTGATTAAATTGTAAATTTGAAAATTTAATCAGCATTGGACAGCTAGATTTTTTTTTTAATTTTTTTTGAAGTGTGTTAAGTTAAAATAGAGGGTCCGGTCTATTAAGCAAGTGGAATAGTTGTGGATCTATGTTCCATAAGACGCTAAGAGTGAAATTAATATGTAAAAATTGGTCGACCGCTTGATGATCAAGCATTGGTGTTGATCGAACACATAGAAAGATTGCAAAGTGTTAAATCCCAATTGATTCACAGCCACCTTTCTCTACTTTTTCTTTTGATTTTATAGTCAGTCTATGATCCTTTCAGTCCGGTCTCTAGTCAGCCTTATGTGCAATAGCCTTTAGTTTTTCTTCCACAAAATTCGCTTTAAAGTCTAACATTTAAAAAAATTTATTTGCTTTTTTTCAGGCAAAAAAATTAACTCCAACAAAATCAGTTACCCAATTTGCCCTTCATTTTGAAATGCCAATAAGATGTGTAAAAGGAAATACTTTGTGTGGTTATTTTATAGCTGAAGATGATCAAAAAAGAAAAATTAAATTAATTATTCCTTTAACGCCCTTAGACTCAAATCAAATTTATAGTCAAGAACAAATGGAGACTGTGAGTTTTTTTAAATAATTTAAAAAAAAGGAAGGCAATTATGAAATGTTTTGGTTTTTTATGAAAAATTATTTTTGGAGGTTTTATTCTTGATTTTTTAAATTTAAAAAGTTCTATGATGTTTTGAATTTTTATGAAAATAATTTTGAATTATAATAAGAGAGAAGTTAATTTTAGCCTGGACGGCCTCCAATCCTAACCAAAATCCTAACCTCCAATTTTAACCAAATTGCAAAATATTTGGAGTTCTTCTCAAGGAACTCTCACGAGTTTTCAGTAAAAATCATGAATTTTTTTTGCACCATCGTGTAGAGCATGGGCAATAACCTATTGCCAATTTTTGGCTTTTTTGGGCCTGACCTCACAATCAAAAAGTTATAGTACTTTAAAATTTACGTGGTGGCGGCTTTTAGTGTTAGAGACTCCTAGCAATTATTGCGACCTCCTAGAAATTTTACCACTTACAGGTGCTTTACCGTTTGAGTTTTCGTGGATAATATTTTTTTAGGATAATTTCTACCTCCTTTCTTGCAATGTTTTTATCCAAATTTTAAAATATTATGAGTTTTCTCTATTGAATCTAAACTTTTTAAAATTGCCAAAAATAATTAAATTTTATACTTTTTTTATTTTTTAAGGTTTGACTATCTGTCGTTATATGAATATTATTTTTTTGATATTTTTTAATAAATGTACACTGCTCCACATAATTATAAGTCTACCCCTTTTTTCGGGATTTTTCGACTTCCAGTGATCCAAATTTTCTGAAAATTTAGAAACACACCTTTTAGTGAATAACTAACAAGATGTGAATCGATTTTTGGCTGAATTTTTATTTAAAAAATTTTTAGTCCAAAATTTGCATTTTCGGCCTCCACAAAATTATAAGTCCACTTTTCAAAAAAGATATTTCCAAGTTTAGGAAAAATCTACAAAAATTCTTGGGAACATACATAATGATATTATGAAAAAATAAAAAAAATTAGACCCATATCTTTACCCGGAGCCGAGATCCTGAGACCCCAAAAATCAACGTAAACCTGGGGTAAGGCTCTTTAAAAAATTTTTTCGACCCCTTATCGATTATTTTCAATTTTGATTTTGGGCTCATTCGAAAGCCCTTGAAATTTGCTACAAGATAGCATTAATGATATTTTATAGAAAATTCGATTAGAAAGATACGGGCCGTTAATCTTCTGATGCAGCAAAAATCATCTAAATGCCCCATAAAATGCCCTCTAATGCCACTTAGAAAGTTTATCGTCTTGTGTCTCTCTATGGAATTTTTCTGAGAAATAAGACTATTGCTATCTTGTAGCAAATTTCAAGGGCTTTCGAATGAGCCCAAAATCAGAATTGAAAAATTATCGATAAGGGGTCGAAAATTTTTTTTAAAGAGCCTTACCCCAGGTTTACGTTGATTTTTGGGGCCTCAGGATCTCGGCTCCGGGTAAAGATATGGGTCTAATTTTTTTTTATTTTTTCATAATATCATTATGTATTTTCCCAAGAATTTTTGTAGATTTTTCCTAAACTTGGAAATATCTTTTTTGAAAAGTGGACTTATAATTTTGTGGAGGCCGAAAATGCAAATTTTGGACTAAAAATTTTTTAAATAAAAATTCAGCCAAAAATCGATTCACATCTTGTTAGTTATTCACTAAAAGGTGTGTTTCTAAATTTTCAGAAAATTTGGATCACTGGAAGTCAAAAAATCCCGAAAAAAGGGGTGGACTTATAATTATGTGTAGCAGTGTATATGTTTATTCTTTTTATTTGATAAAATTTAAATATTAAAATTTTAATTAATTCAAAAAAATTTTTATTTTTTGAAAAATATTTTTTTATTTTTTTTGTTTTTTAATAAATTTAACGAATTTCTAGTTTATTTTCTAAATGTCAGAAATTAATCAATTAATTCAAACAGCTCGTTTAAATTTTGTTGACAGTCAATTTAGTAATTGGTTAAATGTTAATAAATATTTTAATTTACTTAAGGTTTGTTTGTTTTTTTTGAGATTATTTTTTGGAGGGTTTTCTAAATTTATTTTTCATTTGATTAGAGCGTCTTTCCTGTTTAATTAAATTTGACCTATTAATATTTTTTAAGATTGTCCAATAACTAAAAATTTTAATTCTTTGCATTCGGCTTAGGATCTATCGTGTCAGGCTAACTCGCGGAACGGACAATTCACGGAATATTTTAAATATCCGAATTTTTTGAAAATCGGAATTTTTTGATCAATCTGAATATTTTTAAAAAAAACTAAAATATTTTAACAGACAGAATTTAAAAAAAAATCTAAAAAATTCTGATTTCTAAAAATATTCCGTGATTTGGTTATTCAGTAACTTGTCGTTCCGTGAGTTGTCCCTTCCGTGAGTTGTCGTTCCGTGTTTTGGAATTCCTCTAGTTAGCCCCCATCCGGATCCATAAATAATTTTAAATATTTTCGGCCTCGAATTTTTTGCCTGAAAAATTTTTAAGGAACTTCTCACCATTTTAATTACCCTCAATTTTTAAAATTTAATTTTTTAGAATGCAGACTTGTCATTAACCGAAGATGTTTATCGTGCTTATGCAGCAATAATTGATGCTTTATTGTTACACCATTTGGACGAATCTTGTCAAAAAAATTTTCTCAATACAAAAAAGATTGCTAATTTAATATTACAGTTAGTTTTGGAATTTTGGAAAAATACTGTCGTATCTACCAGAAACCGATTCGGACAAAAGATATGTCATTCGAAAGACAAAGAAAGGAAAAAGCAGTGGACTCAACCGTTCAAAAAGTCGAAAACTTTGAAGCCCTATAACTTTTCGAAATGGGGGTCAGGGCCAAAAAAGACAGCTACCACAATACGTTTTCGACCACGCTCTAAACGATGGTGTGTGTTTCATAAAAAAAATTTTGGTGATAGTTCGCGGTGTTCCCTTGTGAGTCGAACAACACCAAAATCAACGAAATGACCCCCTTATGGGTTTTTGGTTTTCAGGGACCTATATCTTGGCCCATAGGTGAGTCCCGAAGCTAATTTTGGTGTCATTCGACTCAACTCGAGGAGCTCTTTCGAATGACATATCATTTATCCGAATCGGTTTTTGTTAGATTTAATTTTTCGAAATTTTTCAAAAATTTTTTAATTTTTAGATTGGACACAATAATTCAAAAATCAACAAATATTGAAAATAAAAATTCAAAAAAATTTAAATTACTTGATTATCTGGTTAAATGCATTATTTATATGAGAACGGGTGATTTTATTAATGCTTGTGTGTTGGCTGATAAATCTGTTAGTTTTTTTAAATTAATTTTTTAAAAAAACTTTTTGGGAGGAAATAAGGAAATTGAACTGTTTTTAGACTTTTTTTGGTTTCCTGATTCAAAAATCTTGCTAAATTTTGTTTTTTATTAGAGGGGTTGAAGTTCAACTAAGATTCCTGCCATAAATCTACGATTTTGGGAATCGGAATTTCCGACCAGACAACTGGGAATTTTTGTTTTTGAAATTCGGGATAACAGGATTCCTAGTTTGGATTATTAAGGAGCAGGGCAACTTACCGCAGAGCTATAATTTCGTTCAAAATTGTCGAATCCGGTACGCCATGGTATGATTCGATGCGCCTCGACGAGCTGAATCGAACTATACCAGGTTGGGCTATACCCCTTTGAGCAGTGACTGATCTCATCACCGATCAGTCACCGATCAGTTATTAAATTTTACTAAATTTAAAATTTTTTGTCCAAAAATTTTAAAGTTTTGAGGAGAATTACCCGAGAATTAAAAAAACAATTTTGATAAGAAATTTTTTTTTAATTTTTCCTAAAATTTCAAAATTAATTTTTTTTTTCAATTTTTAGCCAATTTCTTCAAAAAAACAAAAACAATTAATTCTCGCCATTTATTCCTACAGTCTAGCTTGTGAATATGCATTTAAGGGGCTTGAATTGGGGGTTGATGTTGATCAAAATTTAAATGCAGTTTTGTCTCTTTATACACTTGAATTGGTTGTTTTAATTAGAAAAAATTGTGTTGATGAAAATTCTTTGCTTTTTTGTAATAATTTTATGGTTTGTTTTTTTGTTTTTTAAATTTATTTTATGGGGGGGGGGGGTGGGAGCGCTTAGGTTGGATTACCGTTTTGATATTTTGTCTTTATTAGAATGTGAATTTTTAAGTTTTCGATTTTGAATTGAGATTTTTTTGTCACTATCTTCCTCCAATATTTTACAAATTTTCCAAAAGTTTGGAACTTTAAAGTGTAACTTTAAAAAAATTATTTTTCTTCTTTAATTTGAAAAGAGAAGGACGATGGGGAATTTGTTTAAGATTTTAAATTTTCAAAAAAAAGTTTTGTTGGCAATGATGGGGAAATAAGTGATCTGTGGGTGGAACTCTGTTTCTAAAGGATTTTGCTAATTCCTGAGAATAAGATTTTTAATAAAAAATTTTTTAATTTTTTCAGTTGGGATCATTTGTCTTCAATTATACCCAAACATTTATAAATTTACCCAAAGGAAATAGAGAAAATGAATCTTTTATTTTTTGTGATCAAACAACAATTTTAAGACGTTCAAATGAATATTTTGATGGAGAAGCTTGTTTAAAAAGAGCATTTTTGTTGAGTGAAAATATTTATTTTTTGAGAAGATTTGTTTGGTTACTTGAAGAATTTGATGAATTTAAAGAGGGAATTTGTAAGGAATTTTTTTTAATAAACTTAAGCTTCCAAAGGATTTCCTCTATAATTTAAGACCTGTAAGGCATATAGTAAGAATCGGATGGAAATTGTAACATATTTTCAATACTGGTCTATTAATATCAGGGTGGCCCCTTCCAAAAAACTAAAATCGGGCGCAGCCACTTAAAAATAGGGCAAAACCGGCCAAAAATATGGCAAAAATTAGGGCATAGCTTTAAAAGCTTAAACATAATTAAAATTTCAAATAAGGCGAAAATTTTGAGAATTTTGGAAGGCTAGGTAGTCAGAAATCCTTCATTTTTACCATTTTTTTTACAAAATCCGGAGAATTTTTATAATTTTACAATCTGGTAAAAATAGGGCAAAAATATGGCAAATGAGAAAATAGGGGAAAAAATAGGGCGAAAAGGTCAAAAATAGGGAAAATCCTCTATAAATAGGGTCACCCTGATTAATATGGATGGGCTGGGTTGAGAAAACTTGCGCCGGGTCTTTGAAAATTTCTATAGTCCGGTTTTGGGTCTAAAAATGGTTCCAGGTTTGGGTAACTCACCTTAAGTATTATTCCAACTTTTTATGACATTCGTACGTTTAATTATGGCTTCAAGGGAAGACTGACCCCCCGCTCTCTGCTTAATCCTTTTCTTCTTTTCCATTATAAAATATTTTCTAAAATGATTGCCAATAGTTTGTCGATTGACAGTTGAGCATGGAAATTTTTTGTTCAAATTTTATTCCCGAATTTCCAGGATTTTTAATTCCCAATTAATTTCCAATTTCCAAAATTCCATTTCTCAGTCCGCGAATATTTGTCCGCAAGACTATTCACAAAATTTAAATTTTTTCCTCAAAATCACTCTGACTTTTAATTGTTTTTAAAAACTTTTTTTAAAATAATTTTTAAAAAATTTTCTAGATCCATTTATTGACGATTTATTCAATTCTATTCCCGAATTTCCTCAAGATGCTTTTAATGCTTGTTCACCTGAAAGTATTTCTAGAGCAGATATTAAGGTCTTTTTGAAGGGGATTTTTTTTGAATTTTCAAATTTTTTTTCTAGATTTTTTTATTTCGTCTTTCCCAATATTTAAAATGTGAATTTAATATAGAATTTACACTTCCCTGGATATTTTACAAAAAATGTAATTTAAATCATCAACAATTTTGGAATTTTGTTAAATGCGTAAATAATGAGGGGATAGCCAAGTAATTAAATTTTTAATTAAATTTTCTATGGGAAAATTTTAATAAAAATCCGCAAATGTTTAAATTTAAGTTTATTTTACAGTTATCTTAATTTTTAAAATTCTGTTCTGATGATTTTATTTGAATTTTATTTTTATTCTGATTTTTCCTCGAAAATAGAAATTCTGATTTTCTTTTGTTTTCTGATCTCAAAATTCTGTTTTTTTCTGAAATCAGAATTCTAGTTTTCTAAAAATAAAGATTCTGATTTTTTAAATTCTGATTTCCTTTTAATTTGAAGGTTCTGATTTTTCTGAATCAGAATTCTGGTTTTTACTGACTTGAAAATTCTGATTTTTTTACTCAAAATTCTGATTTTTAGTCAAAATTCCGATTTTTTCGTACTTAAATTAGAACTTCTGATTTTCCAAATTTTGATTTTCCGCATTTAGAATTCTGATTTTTCTGTAACTAAAAATTCTGATTTGTTCAGGTTACAAAATTCTGATTTTTATTTATTTTTTCTGAAATTTTTGGCTTTTTTCTAATTATCCTTTAAACTTCCTTTAATTTTTAATTTAAATTTTTTTCAGCATAAACTTGAGTATTTTAATTCAAATAACAACAGCATTAGAACAAATAAGAGATCCAAATATTGAACAAATATTTTCTGATGATTTAATAAATACAATAAATTTTATAAAAAAATTGGGAGAAGAAAATAATTTTTTAAAAATAATTTTGGAAAGATATTCAAATTTATTAAAAATGTTTATACCAGAAAATGATTGGATATTTGTTGTTGATAATGAAAATAATAAAATTGAGGCGAAAGAAAGGGAAGAAGAGGAGGAAAGAAATTTAATTGAAAGAGAAGTTGTTGCTGTTGATAAATTGGAGGAAGAAATTAATAAAATTATTGAAGAAGAAAAAAATTTAAATAAAAAGGTAGAGGGAAAATTTAAATTTTTTTGTTGTCATTGTAGTCAAGGGGCAGGGGGTCATTTCACGGTTCCAAAAATTAATCGGTTCCAGTTGTTAAAATTTTGGTGGTTCCTAGACTTGATTCCAATACTTGTGTCCTCTCTTCTTTATGATAAAAAAAGCTAAGACAATGGGTCGGAGTTTATGGGGGGAAACTACACAACTACTGGGAAGGGCCTTTGACTGTTCCAAAAATTAATCGGTTCAGTCTTAAGATATTTTGGTAGTTCTTAGAAATGATTCCTAAGACTAGGAAGTATTGGGCTTTAATTAGTTTTTTTAATTATCCCTTTTCTCCGTCTTCTTTTTAATTCTTATAGAATTCTGGTCATTGTGTCCCTTTCTCCTCATAAGGATTAACCGAAGCTTAACTTTTATTTGGTCGTTCTTTGGTATTGAGTCTTTCAATTTTTTAATTTCTGTTGAATTTTGAATTTTTCTAAATTTTCTTTTTAAATTAAAAAAAATTTTTTTAAAGCCAGAAAAACGATTATTGTCAATATCAACACAAACAGACTGCCACCAACCCCAACAACAAAATATCCAACAACAAATTAATAACCAACAACAACAACTAAATAAACAAATTAAAATCATTCAAGATTGGGGAGAAACTAATTTTAATATAAATAGATGGATATGTCACAATGCTATGCTTCACAAAATATTTAATCGAAGATGATTTTTTATTTAAATTTTGTGACAATTTTTTTTGATTTTGGTATTTTCATTATTTTATTTTTTCAAAAATATTTTTTTATTTTTGTCTTTAAAATTGTCTTTAAAATTAAAAATGAATTTTATTGGCTCTGGTTTAGTTTAGTACATACATAGTACATTCTAAGAGTTTATGAGTCCATTGAAGGTTTGTGAGGGAGAGAGTCGTGGAACTCGTAAACCTTTATGGGACTCAACTTTGAATGTTTCCGAATACATATTTAAAAACCGTGCTTTACAGGTTTTTTGCTCAAATTGTGAAGAGACGGGAATATTTATTTTGTACTAATTTTTTGAAAAAAAACTAATTTTGAAATTTATTTATAAAAAGTTATTAGTGAAGGGATATTTTTTCAATATATTTTTTAGAGACCTAAGAGAAAAAACCAACTAAAAATTTTAATCTCAAAAATAGTATAGTTTACTAATTAAGATTAAGGGCAACATTTTATTAAAATTAATGCTGAACGAACCCAAGAATTGGAAAATTCTACTTAAATAATTTCAATAAGTATTAAATATACATACCGTATTTATTCTAATAGTACTACGTCTCTATTTGAACCACGGTCTCTAATATAACCACATCGAATGGAGAGTTGAAAAATACAACCACAGTCTCTAATATAACCACATATCTCTCATACTTTTAAATACATAAGTACTATAATTCTCGTTAACCTTAACAAATCCAGGAAAGCCCATGGCATATTCAGTAGGAGAATTTATGAGAGCTAAAGTGTCGGGGGATTATGAGGAAAATGAGATAAAGTGGATTATGAGGAAATATAGAAAGATTTGGGAGGACTAAGAAGATGAGGAGAATTTGATCTATACGAGGATTTGGGGGATTGAGAATGATTAAGATAAATTAAGAGGTTGTGAATTTTTACAGAATTAATAGGAATCCAATTCTCTTGCTATACCAGTGTATCAACTCTAATTGTTCCCTTATAAATGCCTCCATTCCAAAACTTTAATATAACAACGAGGTAGGAGTTCTTAGTAAATTTCTTAGGTTCTCTTACTAGGAAACCGAGTTGAGGGTTAGATCTTATTATAGAAAATCGACATTCTTGTTAAATCTGGCGCCGCAGTCGAAAATCTAGAGAATTTTGAATCGAGAAACCACCAAATTGATTAAAAATTATAATTATTTTTGGAGAATATGACAAGAAAAATTCTCAATATTTTTCCTATTTTTCCTAAAAAAGATTGAAAAATAAAGCCACAGTCTCTATTTGAACCACAGTCTCTAATATAACCACAAAAATCGAAGGGTTGAAAAATAGAACCACTGTAGTACTATTAGAATAAATACGGTATGCTAATCTCAAAAATTTATTCTCCTTTAAACAAAAAGAAACAAATTGTATCGATACGCGGAAAGTAAATTGTTTACTCCGTACTCTAATTTCTCATATCCTGATATAGTATTAGATGAATGGGAGAACAACCCAAAGTCGATCCAGCTTCCCGACCAAGTCCACGCCTTATTAAATAGAAAAACAAATCCACTGAATCCTTCCTTTGTAATTAAAGATCCAATTGCACCATACACGTAATATATAATCGTTCCCAATGACTTCAGATTCTTGTGTTTTCTGAATTAAAGTTAAAATATAGAAAAAGAAAATATCTCTTAGTTCACGGGCTTGATGATATAATGTATGAGGGTGTCACTATATAAACTTAGGACCCGAGAATTTGACTAAAAATATATCAATCTATCAAGCAGAGTTCAAATATAAAACCTTTTCTAGGAGTCGAACTACAGAAATATAGGCACGGGCTAGAGTAACCTTCTGGGGATCACAAAGCTATTCTAACAAAATTATAAAGTTTTACGTAATTAATATTGCAAAAAGACCCTTAAAGGGAGATTGTTAAGGATATATGTTTAGTGCCGGCTTAATCATATCCCCCGTTCATCAAAAACAAGGAAATGATTCAGTAACCAGTAATAATAAGTAACCAATAACACTTACGATATTATTTTAGTAATATTATTGCCATTTTTTTCCAACCATGTATGTGCGCTTATTGCATGAGTACATATGAGGTTTGATTCGCTGACGGAAGGTCATCACATTAACTTTTTTAAAGTTAGTTGTTTTATTGCATTTTGAAACAGTATCATTAAAGCATATCGGGCCATACAAGGATTCATCCCCTTCTAGCCAATATGGGGTTATTAACACATGAAAATGGAATCTAAAACAAATTTGTAAATTTTATTTGGTACTTTTCCGTTTTCCCTACTACCTTGCAGGAATACTTTTTACGGAAGAAAAAATGCGAGCTGGACATTTTCCAATTTATTTTTTTCCCGTTATACAACCCACCCGGGTATAACCTATTTCTGTTTGATCATTCCCAACTTGATATTTCAACCAAAATCTAATTGTTGAGGCTTTATCTGATTCACGGGTGAAGTAACTTATTTAGTAGCTTACCCCGGCAAGCCTCTTTTTAGCAATTCCTTTCCAATTCGTTCCGCGCTTTGATTGTAACTTATTAATTGTATTTCTTCATCTTTAATTGCCTCAAATGCACGGGTTAGCATAACATTTGGCCAATAAAGATCCTTAAAATTGATTTTAAATTTTAAACTTTTCCATGTCCCGCTTAAGATAAATGAGTATTCTGACTTTAAATCCTAAGGAGACGGGAGCTTGCCAAACCATGTACATAATAAACTTAGAGGAGATGCGTTAAATAACTCATGAACAGTTGATTTTAGTTTTTTAGGCTCTGGGAGTATTTTTATTTCGAAATCTATAACAAAAAATAGATCGACACCCCCGCAGGATCAAACGCCACGGGAAGTTTTACATGTATATATTAGAAAATACCAATTTCTTCGTAATCCAACTTTTCATAAACGTTATAATTTTAATTCCATGATTAACGCTGCGCTTTTAAACCTTTCTATACTTTTTGGATCAATAAATGTAGTATTTGCGCAGATGAGTGCGAGATTTATCTAAAAATATTAAAAATCAAAATTAGTCTGTGTGACTAAATCTAATTTTTTACTTACAACTTTACTTATGTCTGTCATAATTTGCTCCGACATAAACTGGATTGCACTTGTTTGTTCCTTGTTTCCTGTCAAAGCACTAGATAGAATACATCTGTCAATAAAAGGATGGGTGTTTATAATTTATAAAAAATCCAACCCTGTGGCTTAATTTTAAGAGCCTTAATATAAATCCCTTCAAAAATCGCTGCCCGGTAAATTATAACTCATTTATTTAGTATACAAGCCTAGCATTCTTCCCTCACTAATCCTCCATTTTATTACCCTTTCTCATTGTAGGTTAATCCATAGTGCTGCAAGTATGTATTAGTAATTAATAAAATTTTACTGCGCGTTGTGGGAAGTGGCTTCTCTGATTAAATCAAACACCTCGTTTAAAAATACTGTCTTCTTTTTGAACAGTTTTTCAACGCTTAAAATAAGGCAATCATATGATATAAAAAAGAGAAATAATCTGATACGATTCCCACTATAGAGTGGTTTCGGACCCGGATCTCCGGATCCGAAGAAAGGCAGGATATCCGGAAATTTTCGGTTCTGATACATGTTCCGAATATCCTTACTCTAGACTAGAGTTGAGCAAAACGATACTGATATCGGCCAAACTGTACCGAGATTGACCGATACTCAAGAACCCGATACCGAGACCGATCGGTTCGAGACCGAGAATGAAAAAACCAAGACCGATATTGGAAAAAGTCGAGAATCTCGGTATTTGTATCAGTCTCGTCTTGTCCAACTCTACTCTAGACACTAAAATAGTTATTAATCTCCGAGTAGTTTTCCTCTGTGTATCCCTTTCTAATCTTACTGTATAACTAATTTAATTAAAATTCTAACACCCTCATAATTTTATTGTAATTAAAACATATCGTCTCTTAATGATGCAAGATTTTCTTCGGCTGTTGAATAGTCTAGAGAATATTGACCATCCAAAAATTCTTTATAAAAATCTTTGAACATATTTTAGTGATATATTACTGTTTCTGATTTTTGAGTATTCATCAAGGTAGTCTTTCTCTTCTAATTGGAAATAATTTTCAATGTACAAAAACAGATTTAAAGCTTCGGAGTGTAATTTCTCCATTTCTTCGCTTGTTGATTTGCAAGACAGACGAGTTATTCGACTGATTTTCTATTTATTAATTTTTAATTAGATCAAAAAGGTTTTATTTAAAGGTGATGCTGTTTAGGATTTATAAGCAAGTTTGACTTTACCCCAGAACTGAAAGTATTTAATGGAAATTGTGAAAAATGGTTTAAATGAAAAGTGAAAACCAATGAAGGTTTAGAATTTTATTAAAAGCGATCAGAGGTTGAACAAATATTTCACTTCCATTTAAACCTCTTTTCATCAATTCTCTGGAGAGAACGCAAGTTCCCCTCATTATATCAACCAACCATTAATATTTGCTCCGGTCCATTTTCTCCTACACAAGCATTTATGAAAGCCTGTTTAATCGGTACACTTCTGCTAAAGGCTGGGTTCGTTGCATAGTCAACTGACAGACTGAGAGAGGCGATGCGCATTGTTACTTGCTAAATTATTATAGACATTTAATCAAAATTTCTTTCTAAATTTAATTAATTTAAAATAGGATTGGACCCCGATCCTTCGTGTAAAAGTTTTTGGCGTCTCAGGCGAAAATTTTTGGATTCTCAGATTTTTAAGATAAAAAATTTTCAAATGAAATTTAGAAAACAAAACACTAATACTAAACTCGTTTATTTTTGTAGTATACAAAACAGCGTTTGAAGCTTAAGATTCGAATCAATAAGCCAACATTAACTGATTGAGGACTAACAAGTTAACCACTAGGCACTCCTTTAACAACAAATAAAAGAAATTTGGGATTTTTTCATTCTATTCAACTACGTACCAAAATCACCATTTATTGGCGAGATTATATGAAAATTGTGAATTTAACCGTAATTTAAAATTGAAGGGTTTGATGCAAATATATAGGAATTTAATATATTTTCTTTGGTATTTAAAACAACCTACATTTAAATAAGTCGAAATATCGAACATATCTAATACATTTCCTTGAATGTTTTGTAAATTAACATCCAAATTGTTGAAGCTATTTTTCATTCCTCTATTAAGATTCATCATTGCTTGGTACTCTTTTGACTCTTTCTAAAATAAATTGCAATTAATATACTGTATTATCCACTTTTTTAACTCTCGATATCCCCCCGATTTGACGAACCTTTCAAAATAACAAGATCTTCGGTCTCTTATAGTTTTTTATATCGAAAGTTTAGTATATACTAGGGTTGACACGCCCAGTGTTAAAACCGAAATTTTGATATTTCCTGCCTAAAATTAACCATTTTTATGAATTTTAAAACCCCAAAATTTGTGAGAATGAGTGATTTTTAAAAGAGTAACCTCCCAAAATGGAATTGGTATTTAACTTAAACTCAATTTTTTTAATTTGGATAAACAAATTATAAATAATCTGAAAAATAATTACAGCAAAAGCTTTATTTAGAGATGCTGCTACCAAAGCACTGACTGGGCCAGACATTTCCATTAAATCCAGTGTCGTTTGTTTCGCAACTTCAAGGTGCTCTAGCCAGTCTGTCATTGGACTGGCTAGGTTTGAAAAGGCCGACAAAAATTCATTCACTTCTTCTATTACTAAAAATTTTTTGAAGATATTTAATTTAGGTTACGTAACGAGGTTATGCCATCGAATTGATTAAAACGAAACTAGTTTTTGCATTATAAATATTAACATATATAAAATTAATCTAGCCTTGGGTTGGAGGATGGTTCAGTTTGTGTTCTTCTGGTTGAATTGCTCGACTCGAAGGCTCTACCTCGATAAACCCCGATCCTCAACACTTTTAAACTACGAAGGGTCGGGTTACTACTAGGGTTGTGCCCGTTCCTACTGGGGTTGTATCCAATATCTATATTTTATCCTCTATCTTTTTCAATTAAAAAACATAAATACCATCATTCTCGGATTGGTGTACTTCAGATTTAACATAAACACAAAATAGCAGAAAAATATAAAATTTAAAGCCCATTTTCTATTAAAAATTTTTAATGTTTAGCGAAAAATAAATTACTATATTTTGTGTATATAAACAATATTTGGAAATATTGAGAGAAAATAACAGCTCATAAACAGTGATGTCAAAGTTCCAGTTCCAGTTCCGGAACTAATTAGTTCTAGTTCCAGTTCCGGAACTAGAACTACGGAACTAACGATTATCTGGAACTAGTTTGGAACTAGAACTACGGAACTAGTAAATGTCTGGAACTAGCTTGGAACTGGAACTACGGAACTAGTAAATGTCTGGAACTAGCTTTGGAACTAGTTCTGGAACTAGTTCTTGGGGGTATATTTTTGGCAAAATTTCCTCGAAAATTACCTGCAGCGCGCTGAGTATGGAAGAAATCTGGCCACTTGAGCTCAAAAATTCTAAAAATTTTCGCCTGCGGCGCTAAAAAAGGAAGAAATCTGGTGAATTGGCCTTCCAAAATTCTCAAAATTTTCGCCTGCGGCGCTAAAAAAGGAAGAAATCTGGTGACTTGGACTTCAAAAATTCTTCAAATTTTCGCCTGCGGCGCCAAAAAAAGAAGAAATATGGTGGCTTGGTCTTCGCAAATTCACAAATTTTTCGCCTGCGGCGCTGAAAATGGAAGACTTCCGGCTTCTTGGCCTTCCGAAATTCTCAAAATTTTTGTCTGCGGCGCAGAAAATTGAAGAAATTTGGCTTCTGGTCTTCAAAAATTCTTCAAATTTTTGCCTGCGTCGCTGAAAATGGAATAATTATGGGGAGATCTAAAGATTTTGAGAGATACCTCCAAACCCTACGTAATCCCACGATAGCATTATCTTTTTACATATTTCCTAATCTCGGTATCTTACCAGACTGCATGGTCCACATCATGGATAAGGAGGATAATAAGAGGGAACAGAGATTTGGGTGGATAAGGAGGGATTTGAAAAAAGATAAAGAGTGATATCAAGGCTCAAGAGTTGTAAGTTGTATGTATATCAGGTTACTTTTTTTAACTTTTTGCAGTTACTTTCTTGTCACCCTGTATACTACAGCAATATTTTCATATTCAAAAAAAATTTAAAAATTTGGAACTAGAACTAGCTTGAAACTAGTTCCAGAACTGGAACTGGAACTAAGGAATTTCAAAAATGGAGTTCCGGAACTGGAACTGGAACTACGAAAATTAAAAACCTGGTTCCGGAACTGGAACTACAAAAATTAAAAACCTAGTTCTGGAACTGGAACTAGTTCCAGAGAAATTTTGGAACTTTGACATCACTGCTCATAAATATTTAATAAAGGCCAAAAAAATAGGAAAAAGGACTAAAGAATTCTTAAAAACATTTACTGATAAATAACAATGGTGTGTTGAAACAGATTTTAAAAAGCTAAAGACGAAAGGCGAGAACGAGAAAGTAAACTTAAAAAGCGAAACATGAAAGGCGAAAGTCCAAAAAAGGCTAAATTTTGACGAAAGCCACACCACTGATAAATAATTATTTTATTATAAAAATCTTTTTAAACCAAAAAATAACTGAAATGTTATAAAATATAAACAAAAATTATCAAATTTAATCAGTTGTAATTAAATATTTTGCTCAAATGCTCATCAAAAATATAATAATTATTTAATGGGAATAATTAATTCTTGCGACATTCGAGGACAAAAAATTATTTTTATTTTATTTTTTATATTCTAAAAGGAAAAAATGAGAACAATTAATCATCAGGAAAAATGAATAAACAAACAAAAAATGTTAAGTAGTGACAAAAAAAACTTGACAAAATTTAACAAAATTCCCCCCTCCCCTTCTCCCCTTCCTTCCATTTAAATAAATCTTTCCATTCATTTTTATTTTTCCAATTTAAAGCATTATTTGTATACATTGACACAAGTATTTTTTGTTGTTCTTCTAAATCTCTGAGGAAAAGGACTACCTACAAAATTTAAAATTAAAAAGAGCTTTTTCTATGGGTACCTAACAGGGATGGAAAATTTTGAATTTTTAAAAGTCGGAAGCGGAAATGAAACAGATCCCTGATACCTAATTTACCAACTACTAAGAATTTTCTTTGGGGATTCTAGTTTTTAAATATCTTTCTCGTGTCGGACAATTTAGGCAATAAGCATTAGAGTTCAACTTCAGGTCCGGGATCGGGGTTTCATGGTCCGGGTAATTCGAAAAGGGGATATTCTGCTAAAATCTGCTTTTCGGAGCTCCCTATTTTCGGGGTTTTAATTCGGAAAACACGGCCCGGGTAAGATTGAAAAAACAAAAAAAAACCGGGCCCGGCAATTTAAAAATGTGTTCAAATTCGAAAACATTTTCCATCAATTTTTTGAATTCTCAAAAAAAAGTTAGCCAAAAATTAAAAAAATATTAATCGCGTTACGATTCCTATCAAAATATTTTAAATCCATTGCCTTTCCCTTTTAAAAATCTTAAAAGAATTTTTTGGCATAATTTGTCCAAAAACTCCCTCCAAAACTTTGAATAAAATTTAAAAAATTAAAATTTAACTGGAAATATATTTAAATTATTAAATTGTTTTTTTCTTCTAAAATAAATAAAATTTGAAGTATTTTTGAGTAAAGCTAATAAATTAACAAATTCTGTATTTGTAAATAAATAATTAATTTCTTGTAATTCAATAAATATTGCTGAACAAGTAATTGAATTTATAAATAAAGTTTTGGTACAAAATAGTTGAATTGAAGAATATATTTGGTTATAACCTTTTTTGGAAATTTTAAAATTGAAAAAATTAATTGTTTTTTTCTCCCCCAACCTAGTAAATAATGTAAAAATTAAAGTCAGTGAATGGGATCAGTCATCAAAAAGTTTCATGGCTCCCGTCCCCGAAAGTAAGGGGAATTTGAGTTCTCTTAAAATTCCCCGTCCTCGCACGTGACGAAAGGAAAAAATTTTCCCCATCCATCCCCCTCATTGGCGTTGACTCCCCGAAAAATTTTTCTTCGTGTCCCTCCCACCGTCGGGGAATAATCCCACTGCTTAAACGTTCCACCACCAACTGACTGAACATCGAAGAACTTTTAAGGTCGGATCCCGTCCAATCTTTTGCTAATTTGATCGGGCACTTTTTAAAATAATGAACGAACATTGGCCCAAACAAAAAATGGCACAAAATCAAATGTCACCAAAACGTGCTTTCGAAAATAAGGGAACGGAAAATAGCTAAAATTCTGATTCATTTCTGAAACGAAAACCTCAAAATACTTTTGGTTTAGTGGGAAAATCTCAGATTTCTGTTGCTATATGGCTCTGGTTCGAGTCCAGCTTTTGAATATTATTTTTAAAAAGTTAGTTTTAAGTGCCAAAAAAATTTAAAATTAATTTTGAGTAATTCTGAGAAAGTTCTGATTTTATTCTGATTTTTTTAAAATCTCTTATAACCCAAGAAACTTTTGGTGTAGTGGGAAAATCTCAGTTTCTGTTGCTATATGGCTCTGGTTCGAGTCCAGCTTTTGGATATTATTTTAAAAAATACGTATTTGAGTGCCAAAAAAATTTAAAATTAATTTTGAGTAATTCTGAGAAAGTTCTGATTTTATTCTGATTTTTTTAAAATCTCTTATAACCCAAGAAACTTTTGGTGTAGTGGGAAAATCTCAGTTTCTGTTGCTATATGGCTCTGGTTCGAGTCCAGCTTTTGGATATTATTTTAAAAAATACGTATTTGAGTGCCAAAAAAATTTAAAATTAATTTTGAGTAATTCTGAGAAAGTTCTGATTTTATTCTGATTTTTTTAAAATCTCTTATAACCCAAGAAACTTTTGGTGTAGTGGGAAAATCTCAGTTTCTGTTGCTATATGGCTCTGGTTCGAGTCCAGCTTTTGGATATTATTTTAAAAAATACGTATTTGAGTGCCAAAAAAATTTAAAATTAATTTTGAGTAATTCTGAGAAAGTTCTGATTTTATTCTGATTTTTTTAAAATCTCTTATAACCCAAGAAACTTTTGGTGTAGTGGGAAAATCTCAGTTTCTGTTGCTATATGGCTCTGGTTCGAGTCCAGCTTTTGGATATTATTTTAAAAAATACGTATTTGAGTGCCAAAAAAATTTAAAATTAATTTTGAGTAATTCTGAGAAAGTTCTGATTTTATTCTGATTTTTAAAACGATTCTTCTGCAACTACCTACCGTAATGCAAGTGAATCATTGAAAGATTATTTGACCGTGGAATGCCTCCAATTAATTCTGGAAGTTTTAAACTTGGATTTGTTCTAAACCAATGAATCTTTAAAAGGAAAAAATTTAGAAAAATATTTTTAAAAAATTTATTTTTTTACATTATTTCCCCTATTTTCTGCCAATTTCAAAGATTCTTCAAAAATAACATGTAAAGGTTCTTCTGTATCCGGATCATTAGCATCAATAAAAAGTACAAGAATATTTGAATTGGGCACAGATTCAGGAGATTTATATGTCGAGAAATACATTGACAATTCACAAATTCAAAAATTAATCTAAAATTAATTTTTTTGTTGTGTGCCAAAACTTTTTTATAACGCGTTAAAACGCCAATTTTGGCGTTTTGTGTGGAAAATAAAATTGTGGCGCACAACAAGAGATGAGTAAATTTTCTAGAAAATTGAGGAAAATCGGAGAAAGGTAGGGAAATGATTTCAAACAAAAAACCAATCCTTGCCGTATTAAAAGCCCACTCGATGAGGGGGTATTGCAGAATAAACGTCCATGCCCTTATAGAAGCCAATGCCCCGTTAGAAGCCTAACCAGTGGGACATTGAAAAATAGACACCCAGGGCTTCTATTGGAACATTTACGGTAAACCAGAAATAAAGTCAAAAACACAACTAGTACGCAGACATATCGGGGCGGACATATCGGGATACTTCAATATACGAACAGTTACCCCAATGATAGGGCCACTGGGATAGTATATTGTCCTGATAAGGAATAGAGTTTTATGTCTTAGAACAAGTGTAAACACGCAAGAAATTATTTTTGTCACCCCAATCCCGTTATGTCCTCACTCCGTGTATCCATCCAGATTTTTATTGCACCCCAAAAAGCCAAAAAAAAAATATTTAATTTATTGTAAATTTCTACAAAAATAAATTTTAATAAAAAATCAGAACATTAAATTAATTTATTCATTCACACATTTTTTTGTTATTAAAAAAATTCTTTTAAAAAATTACAAAAAGTATTTTTATCAAATTTTGGGAATTTATTTAATTCATTTAAATTATTTTCTTCTTCAAAAAATAAAATTTTTTCCAAATTTTCAGGAATTGTACAAATTAAATACCCATCTTTTTCCAATTGTTTAGCTAATTCGAATTGGTGATTATTCATTAAATTGTTGTTAATTATTGCAATAAAAGGCTTTTCTAATTCTAAAACTTCCAAACAAGTACCGGCACCCGCATGTCCAATTATTAAATTGGCATCTTTTTTAATAAAAAAATTTTTTGAAAGTAGAATAATTGAAAGAAAATGTTTAACAAAATTTTTTAAGCCTAAAATGGGGTCTAATAGAAATCGACTTTGGATCTAGACTAGAGACCGGCAAAATCGCGTTTGCGGGATCCAACATGCGGGATTTTTTAAATCTGTGGGATAAATCCCGCAAAAAATGCGGGAATGCGGGACGGGATCCTGCAAAATCCAGCGCGTGATCTCGTCCCGCGCCGGTCTCTAATCTAGATCCAAAGTCACGGCCTTTTTCATTGTTCAAGGCCTTTTTAAATGTTCCTTAATTTTTCTTTGACTTGAGGTCAAGAATCTGGTTGAGGTTCTCAACAGGGTCAATTTTAAATTTCGGATCTCCAAATATCCCTCACATAGGAAAGAATTTTCACTTCTTTCCTACTTAAAATAGATCAATAATGATCATAAAAATTTTTTTATAATTTTCAAATTTCAGTTTTAAGGTCGAAATTAGTTTAAAAAAACTGAAAAGTACTCAGAAGAAGACTGAAAGAAATAGGAAAACCTAAATCTTTCCAGACTTACAAGGAGAGATTGCGAGGTGTCCGACCTAAAAACTGTCGAGACCAGGCTCATTCGATAGAGAATGTGCCTAAAATCTCATCTTAAAAAACCGTAAAAGTAGGGAAACTAGACCGGATCGTGATCCGTTTCAGTCTCCATTTTAATTAAAAAATCTCTTTAAAATAGTTAAACATAAAAATACCTTCCATTTCACTACGAATTGAATCCTTGTAACGAAATAGTTCAATCTAAAAATAAAATTTAATAAAGTTATCTGCAAACTTTTGTGGACAGAATTTTAATCAATCTACAACAATAATTACCCTTTCTGTCAAAAATTCGAGAATTAATCAATTTAATAATTTGCGGACAAAAATTGCGGATTTTATAAAATACCAAACTTTAAAAAAATTTCCCTCAAAAATATTTTTGAAAATATATCATTCGTTTAATTTAAGACATAATTCATGTCTTATCCCCAAAAAATTCTCACAAGGGAACCTTCCGAACTGTCAGTAAAAATTTTTAAATAAAAATTATACCAACGTGTAGAGCGTAGTCGATAACCTATAATGTTTCCGGCTTTTTTGGCTCCGACCCCCATTTCGAAAAGCTATAGGGCTCTAAAGTTTTCGACTTTTGGAGCGGTTCCCTCATTAGGTCGAGTCTCCCTCATCAGGTTATAGACTACGCTCTACACGATGGTATAATTTTTATTTGAAAATTTTTACTGACAGTTTGGAAGGTTCCCTTGTCAAAAAGTTAAAAAAATTTGTCCACAAAAAAAAATTAAAAAAACCTCAATTCCATTAATATTTCCTTCCCAAATTTCTTCTCCTTCTCTTTTAAAACAATTTAAACATTCAGGTATTTTCCCATTTCCATTTTGTATAATTAATTTGTCAATTCCAATTTTTAAAAATTTTTGTAAAAAATCCTCATTTAAAATAGTAAAAATTAATTTTTCGAATTGAGTACTTCCAACAGTCACAAAACATTTTGACGACATTTTCTTCCTTTAAAATTTAGAGGAATACCCAATTAATTCTTCGACTGGTTCGTATAGCCAATTATCTCTTCTTGTTATTAAAAGTTGATTTTGAATAAATGCGAGGGCACGTTCGTGGGCTTCTTCAAAATTAAAAAGAAAATTTATTGGATTTGGTAATATTGAGTAAGTATAGACCCCCTTTTTCCTCCCCTATTTTTCCCCTATATTTTTGGAAAATGATCAGACTTTTTACTTTCTTCCATCCAAATTGTCTTCCTAATTTTTGCCTTCAATCAAACAAAAAGATTACAAAAGTTTTCATTTTCTCAACTTTTTGTTTGATTGAGGAAAAAAGAAGTCTGACCGGTTCAATATTACCCTGGATTTTTTGAGGGGTTTTAAAGGTAAAAATTGGGTTTAAAAAAATAAATTAAGGTTAAAAATACTCAAAAAAATTTTAAGAAATTTTCTAACGTCTAATTATTAAATTTTGAAATAATATCAATGAGTGGGATTCGAACCCGAACCCTATAAAAAAAGAAAACCTAAACCTTTCCCACTACACCAAAGAAAAACAAACTCGTTTGGAACGAAAAATTGACTCTTTAAGTGATTGAAAGTTCAGAAATATGGTCTTATTGCTTCTTTCAAAATCTTCGGATACTCCCAACAGAACCGAAAAACGGGATCGAAAATTTTTTCAGTTCGGTTTGGTTCCCATAGAAGAGCTTCGTGTCTGAGAGTCTTTCAGAATCGTTTTTCATCATTTGAACCCAATGCACCGCCGAGTTATAACTAAGTTCAAAATTACATAACCCGGGACGCTTGGTAAAGTTTGATTCAGCTTGTCGTAGAATATCAAGCCATACCAGGACGTCTCAAATTCGAGTTTTGAAGGAAGTTATGGTACGGCAGTACATTGGACTGTTCTCCCATAGAAGGATATGGGGGCTGTTCGAATCCCAAGTTAATTCTTGAAAAAAAAACAAAAAACCTTTTTCACGCTTTGCAGAAAGTTTTTTCACAACAGCTTCGTCCTCTACTCCAGTCAAGTATTTACTTGCAATACCAGCAACTTCTAGAAAAAAAAAGATAGAAAAATTGGTTTAAAATTAAAAAAAAACCTTTTTTTGATGATTTAGGTGTAGATGCTTCTTTAGATACCAAAGTTATCCAATTACGTGCACTTCTTCTGGTAATTCTAACTCCGCTTGTTCCAGATGATGAATTATTGTTGTTATTATTGTTATTATTCATAAAAGTGATATCTAAATAAAATAGATAAAGAAGGTGCCTAAATTCGGGTTAAAAATCAGGTGAAAAAGTATGGAAAATAAGAGATGGAAAAGATCGAAAGATCGTGTCACTCTAATAAATTGGGGATATTGAGAGGTAAAGGTTTTGCCCTTGGCTGACCTGGGTCCATGACCTTCTTGATTTTGACCTTCTGGGTTGATCCCAATAAATTAATCCGCTTTTAGAAAAAGATTTGCGGCATATTGGGCTTGCGCCATATGGTTCGCGCCATAGTGTCCGTGTCCCCTCTTGTGCCCGCTCTCTAGTGGCGGCACTCTAGTGACCCCTCCTTAACCGTTTAATGATATAGTGTGGCTAGAGAAAAATGAAAATCGATATTTATTTGTAAATTTTTTGCAATTATTTTTTTTATTTATGTTGGCTTATTTCTATTTTTGATTTTTTAATTTTTATTTGTAGGAGTTATATTTTAAATTTTTAAAAATTATGGCGGATAATCATATTGTTGGTGGTTCCCCGTCATCTTCAGTTTCTAGTTCGGCACCTTCTATAGCGGAAAATGTCAACACTGTCTTTCTGGTCGGTCCGATCTCGCTGCAACAAGCAATCGATGAGATTTTAAACAACATGGAGTCACCTGTCATAGCCGTAGGATTTTACTAATTACAATTTGATTTTCAAATTTAGATGTGTTCGGGATATTCGGGTCATTTGTTAGACGTATACAATCGTTATCTGCATCCTCCTGGACATGCTAGCCTGGAACTTCCTTTTGATCAAGTTATTGCACAGCGTGAAGAGGAGGCACAACAGCTTGCTAATAACCGAGCGCAAGATCTTGTCAAAAGAGTAATTCCAGCAAGAGCTACAAGATTGAATAATGGACATTTTGAGTTGACGGTAAATTTTTCTAATTCTTCTAAGCTTTAACTTGACTTATTTTCAATCTCTGATTCTATATTATAGGACATCTGTGAAAAATGTGAGGATATTTCACTGGGAGACTCTGAGATTTGTCCTCACCATCAGAGTCAACACACACAAATGAAAACAACCGAATCACAACATTCAAATTGTGAGGGTGTTGGTAAAAATGTAGTAACACAGCGTAAAGCAAAAAAAGTTGTCCGTGTTGGCAATAGGAGGCGGATGATTGGCTGCCGAGTTAGATATAGTAAAGCGCTTAGGATTGGCAAAAAAATAATTTTATCGGTAAATATATATCACATTTATTGGCCTGTTTTAACTCATTTCTTTTAAAAATTTTATTTTTTAGGCTTCTTGTGAGAATGGAAATACGAGAGTTGTGGTAATTCTTTATTTTTAAGTTTTTTTTTGATATTTTTTATTTAGTGGCAACCAGGGCCGGAACAAGCCTAATCAAGATTGAAGAGGTTTGTCAGCTGTGGCATTGACTCTTAATTTATTTGAAAATATTGTTTATTAAAATAATCTCTTTTAAATTTTTGCTCATTGAAAAATAAATATTTGACTATTTGATTTTAAATTTAAATTGTTTCTGTGCAAATTTTTTTACTTGTTTTTATTCTTTTCAGTTGTTTAATTGATTTTTTGTTTAGAAGAAAATTTAACGTTGAAAAATGTCTAAAGGTCCGCAACATTTCATTGAGGAGGCTGCAAAAGCGGTTTTTTTATTTTTTTTTCTAAATTCGGATACTTGTGTTATGTTTTTTAAACAGTTCTGGGTTTATAGCGAAATATTCTGATTCAGGCTTTCAACCCCCAAAGTGATTTTCCTTTTATAATTCCTAGGCATCTATTTCCTTGGGGGAAGGGTTTTAAATTAATAAAACATTTTTAAAGAATGATGACGAAGACCCGTTTTCTGAGACCAGAAGAAAAAACATTGCCGAACGTCAAAGTCAATATCAAATGCGTGCACGAAAGCGACCAATTTCACCAGAGAGAGCTGATATGTTTGGTATCAACTTTTCAATTTATTTTATTTGTTTTGTTAAATTTTAGTTGATCAAACGCCTGATTTGCGTGACAGAACTTATGCCAAAATTATGCAAGAACAGTTGCTGACTGCCGAAAAGGTTTATTTTTAGAGTCTTTTTTTCTTGATAGAAAAGGGTCCAGGGCTGACGTTTTACGCAATTTTGCGTTTTTTCTATCGAAACGGTTTGAGTGAAAGAGCAGAGGAAATTCCCGGCACTTCAAAGAGACGTTCTCGTTGGGACTTTCCTCCATCACAAACACCGTCAGAAACTCCAATGGACGGTATTGAAATGGCCGTTCAACTCTTTCAGACCGAGTGGACCATTTTTGAATCCCCAGTCGTTAGGTCCGCATTCTCGGTTTTTTGGCCCCTCGATTTTCGGCTTCACTCCTTTGTTTTTCGGCTTGCTCCCTTCGTAATCATTCGTGCTTCAATATTCTTCTCTAATTTTTAGGAAAAAATTGAAAAAGAATTGGTCGACAAGCATCAATCTGGCGAATTAAAAATTAACAGGCAAGCTAAAGCTTTTGCTCCTGAAGATACTCCAACTGAAAATATTGAAAACACACCTTCACAGGCGCCAAGAAAGAAAAGGATTGCTTTGAGTGGGCATGCTATAACTGCTGTAAGGGTTTTTTTAATTTTTATTTTTAAGGTAGGGGAATTTCTTTAAAAATGGATGAGACTGTTTCAGAGAAAGTTGAATTGTGTTTGGATCTGATTTTCAAACTTTTCGTTGGATCGGGTTTCAGGTCAAAAAAGATTGGGTTTTAGATAACCCACCCAATCCCTGCTTCGTAGCGGCAAAAATCTAATCCCGAATTTGGTAGGGAATAAAAATTTCTGAATTTTTCTGTTACACTCATCAGAAAAAAAGTTACGTGAATTTATGGGGATTGGTTAGAAACGTTTTAAAGGTCCTCAATAATTGGACATCATTTTCCACACCTATCTACTTCTGTTTTAATTTTTTTTATTTAAGGATAAAACGCCAAACGTTGCCCAATGGGATGAAACTCCAGCACATATTTCTGCATTAGACTCAACTCCAGCAACAGATAAACAATGGGATGCCACACCTTCACAAACTCCTCGTCGCAATCGTTGGGATGAAACGCCAAAGGAATCTGTTCGGGATGGAGGAATGACACCTGGATGGGGCTCGGAAACACCCAGAGACATAAAAATGGACTTGAGTGAAAGAGCAGAGGAAACCCCCGGCGCTTCAAAGAGACGTTCTCGTTGGGACCTTACTCCATCACAAACACCATCAGAAACCCCAATGGCCGGGATTGACGCAACTCCAACACATTTTACACCAAAAATCATGCAGAATGGAGGAATGACTCCTTCAATGCTAACTCCTGGAGGAACAACACCAATTGGAACCCCAGCAATGGGAATGAAGACACCGGCTGTTCCTTTCATTCCAATGACTCCAGAACAGGCAGCAATTTACAAATGGGAGAAGGAAGTAGATGATCGGAATCGTCCTTTGTCTGATGAAGAATTGGATGCTTTAATGCCGCCTGGTTTTAAAATTTTGGCACCTCCATCTGGTTTATTTTTTTAATATTTATCCTGGTTTTGGGGTGTGGGGATAAGTTTCTTTTTAAATCTGTAAGGGAATTCTCTAGGACTTTTGGGCCAATTTTTAGGAATTTTTGGGAAATTTTGGTATTTCTTCACTTACCCGGGGTAACCTTTGGAATTTAACTCATATTTTGACGTGAATGAATACCATTTTCATTCAGTTAGCCTTGTTAGGATTTGGTTAACCAGTAAATTGCTTAAATTCTTCTTTCAAGGTTATGCCCCAATTCGAACACCAACAAGAAAATTATTGGCAACACCTACACCAATGTCTGGGATCGGCGGTTTCATGATCCCTCCAACTCCAGAAAGAGGAGGTGCTGGTGCAGATAAAGGAGTCGGAGGAATAATAGATACTCAACCAAAAGATCCAGAATTGCCAGCACTCAAACCTGAAGATATTCAATATTTTGACAAACTTTTGCAGGATGTAGATGAAAGTCAATTAACAAAAGCGGAAAGAAATGAACGTGAAATAATGGGTTATCTATTAAAAATAAAGAATGGAATGCCTTCACAACGAAAATCTGGATTGAGGAAAATAACAGAAAATGCTCGCCGTTTGGGCGCTGGACCTTTATTTAATCAAATTTTGCCACTTTTAATGTCTCCAACACTTGAAGACCAAGAAAGACATTTAATGGTTAAAGTTATTGATAGAATTTTATACAAACTGGATGACTTGGTTCGACCTTATGTTCACAAAATTTTGGTGGTAATTGAACCGCTTTTGATTGACGAGGATTATTATGCTCGTGTTGAAGGTTTGGGAATTTATTTTTTTTAGGGTTTTCTGATCAAAAAACGTTTGAACGCTTTTTGAGCATTTTTGGACGCGCTAAAAAATACGCTAGGAAAATAAATAAAATAAATTATAAATTTTTGGCTGCTTATCTTCTTGAAAATTGCCTCCAAATTTACTAAATCACCCTTATTGTTAGGTTATAAGATGTCCAAAATTCTCACGCATAATCACGACAATTTCTTGACTATTTACCAAAATCTTCCCAGGTTTTCTCAATTTTTCCAAAGTTCTGTGTTTTCCAACTCTAGAATTTTTGAATTAACATGGAATCCAAAAATTGAAAGGAAATATATTAAATAAAAAATTTTTAAAGAATTTAACATTTAGGCAGAGAAATAATTTCAAATTTGGCTAAAGCCGCTGGATTGGCAACAATGATCTCAACAATGCGTCCTGACATTGACAATGTAGATGAATATGTTAGGAACACAACAGCCCGTGCTTTTGCAGTTGTAGCCTCAGCTTTAGGGATACCTGCACTTTTACCTTTTTTGAAGGCTGTTTGTAAAAGTAAAAAGAGTTGGCAGGCTAGACATACAGGTTTGTGTTTGTATATTTTTAATAAATTGGGAATATTGAGATGTAAAGGTTTTGCCCTTGGTAGGCATCGATCCTCCGACGGCTAGTTTCTTTTCCTGGATTAGGATTTCTGTATGTGAATAAGAAATAGTGACCTTGTTTTTAGATACCCTTAGAATTAGGTACAGCCTCAATTGCTAGGCGCTTTCGTTCACCACGTACGGGTGCTCTACCGACTAAAAAATGCCGGGCCTGCTTACACTTTCTTTTTTAAAGAAAACCCCCTACCCACCCCAGCCTAGTACCCCCCCCCCCCCTACTTTAGCCTAGTAAGTGTTTTGAATGCTAGCCAGTAGGATTATCTTTCTTCCTTACAAGACAAGGATTTTTTAAGTGAATAAAAATACCTTTAGAATTAGGTACAGCCTCAATTTAGGATACGTTTTTTAATTTTGTTGAACACGTATTTTAATAAAGACACAATTTTAAGGTATTAAAATTGTCCAGCAAATTGCAATTCTTATGGGTTGTGCTGTTCTTCCTCACCTTAAACAACTTGTTGAAATTGTAGAAGGCGGATTAGTGGATGACCAACAAAAGGTTAGAACAATTACTGCCCTTGGTATTGCTGCTTTGGCAGAGGCTGCCACTCCTTATGGAATTGAAGCTTTTGACTCCGTTTTGAAGCCGTTATGGAAAGGTTTTTAAATTTTTTTGTTAGAATATCTGTGTGAGATGTCCTTCAGCAGGAGTGAAAATAATTTCTATATTTTTGGGTTTGACATAAAATTTTTTGATCTTTCTGTCATTGAACCTTTTCTAATTTTCCCTACCTCTTTTTGGTTACTTCTAAACTTAAATCCGAAAAAGACACATTACATAGGATCACTGATCAGAGAATTCCTCATAAGATTAATTATGGGTTCCTCTTCAACCTGGAAACTTTAGATGAGTGGAATCTTTCATAATCTCTCACATATCTCTCATAATTTTAAGGAATTCGTACACACAGAGGAAAAGGATTGGCTGCATTTCTCAAAGCTATTGGTTTTCTTATTCCGTTGATGGATGCTGAATATGCTAGTTATTACACAAAAGAAGTGATGCTTATATTAATTCGGGAATTTGTTTCTCCCGACGAAGAAATGAAAAAGATTGTTTTGAAGGTTTATTTAAAATTATTTTTGCGTCTTAATTAGGGTAATTCACGAATGATTTTAAACCCCAAAGTTTTTGTCATTTTGACAAAAAAATTAACTGTTCGGAACGACTTATGATACTAAGAGCTTGAAAGCCAAGGGCTCCACAGCTTGGTATTTCAAGCGTTTTTTGGGGCTTGGATTATTTCAAGATCATACCTAACTGGTTCATGAGCCGCTTGTTTCTGAACACGTGTGATTTTTTTTTAAATTTTTCCTTTAAAACTTAAAAATTTATGTATTTAAACTAAAAATGAAAACCGAAATCGGGTTAACTTTAAACTAGTGAGGGTTAATCGTAAACTGATGATTTGATTCAATAAATCTATCGTGAACTAGCTTGAATTAAATTTAATATTTTTGTCTTGATTTTTCATTTTTACTTTAATTTAAGGTAGTAAAACAATGTTGTTCCACAGATGGTGTAGAACCTCTTTATATTAGAGAAGAAATTTTGACTCCTTTCTTTAGAGCATTTTGGAATCATCGGATGGCTATGGATCGACGAAATTACAAACACTTGGTTGATACAACAGTTGAAATAGCTCAAAAGGTTTTTTGAAAGAATTTTTAATATATGGTCGGTCCTCACTAGGAATTGATCGGTTATCCGAAGCACCTGTTTTTTTCGATCCGAAGAAAATCTTGGAAACCCGACCTGAAAACTGACTCGCATCAGCTTTTTTCTCAACCCAATCCAAACCTATCTCACTATAAGATACCCACTAAAGACTGGAAAATTGGGTAGTAGGTATATCTCTTGATATTGTCTCCGACATTGTAAGGAAGAGAAAGATCCAGCTGGCTAGCATTTAAAACGCTCGGCTAGGCGGGGGTTTAAGATCTATTAAAAGAGAAGGTGATAGCAGCGTCCCGGTAGTTCAGTTGGTAGAGCACCTGTACGTGGTGGTCGAAAGCGCCTGGCAATAACTGCCAGGAGTCGCAGGATCGAAGCCTGCCCAGAATTAAACTTTTACCTATCTCTTACTACATGATTCAATTTTTTAAAATTGTTTTGTCAACGATTTTATTTTCGAAAAATTTTCCCTAAATTTCAGGTTGGTTCTGTTGAAATTGTTAGTAGAATTGTTGATGATTTAAAAGATGAAAATGAACAATACAGAAAAATGGTAATGGAAACAATTGAAAATATAATGGCTTTGATGGGTGCAGCAGAAATTGATTCTCGTTTAGAGGAACAATTAATTGATGGAATTTTGTATGCATTTCAGGAACAAACACAAGAGGTTTTTAAATATTTTTTTCGGGATTAGAAAGTCTTTTTTGACTCTTCCGCCTTTTCGAACAAAACCTTACCTCCCCCAAATTCTTTAGCTTTTACAAATTCGGAATGGCCCATCCCTGCTACTTATAAAGGAGAGGCTTTTGGGTGTCCGTGGGACTTCGGGATGTAATTTGGTAGACAGCTAGATCATACCCTTTCTATTGTAAAACTTGAAACCATTTCAGCTGAATGTTACCAGGGACCGAGAGATTGGGTGTGCGATATAATTTTGTCGTCCCTTGGGTGTGCGACATAATTTTGACGTCCCTCCAGCCCTTTGCCTACGCCCTTGCAGTCTTTCCTAAATATTTCGCCTAATGGGACTAATTGTCACGCCACGTCTATTTAATCGTAGATAGCCTCTTTTATTTTTTTCTTTCTTTAAAATTTTTTTCAATTTTCAGCGCCTTTCTTTGTTTGTCAATTTCCTTTCCTAAATATTTTATTTTTTTATAGGACCTTCCAAATTTACCAAAAACAATTTTCTATATTTTCTTTTTCAGGATCCAATAATGCTTGAAGGTTTCGGGACAGTCTGTAAAGCTTTAGGACGTCGAACAAAACCATACCTCCCCCAAATTTGTGGAACTATATTGTGGCGTTTAAATAATAAATCTGCTAAAGTTCGTCAACAAGCTACTGATTTGGTTTAATTTTTGAAAAAAAAATATTTTTTTTAATTTTATTTTTTTTCTAGATTGCAAAAATAGCCCCAGTAATGAATGTTTGTCAAGAAGAAAAATTAATGGGACATTTGGGAGTTGTTTTATATGAATATTTGGGTGAAGAATATCCTGAAGTACTTGGATCTATTTTGGGGGCATTAAGTGCTATTGTTTCTGTTATTGGAATGACTAAAATGACACCTCCTATAAAAGATTTATTACCTCGTCTTACACCAATTCTTAAAAATCGGTGAGAGTTTTTTTTCAAATGACATTAGGTCCCATTGGTTATTATTTAATTTGGAGACAAATCCATAGCTTTGGTCCCTCCTATTTCTTTCAATTTTTCAGCTAGTTTAGAAGGAATCAAGACATTTCTCCCAACAACTTTAGGTGTTGAAAATATTGTAGACTCCAGTATAATATAAGGGAGCTGAAAGTTACGAGGGTTTAAGATTTATAAGTACTAAATCAGAGTAACCGGCCTGGCAACTCCCTGGGCCCGTAGAATAAATTCGGGGTTAAGTTACCCGAGTAACTTTTCCCCCACAAAACGAAAAAAAGAGAAGAATCCTTGCGCCGAAGAACTTGAGAAGAAAAGAAAGAGGAAAAGGATACGGTAGAGGTCGAGGGTAAAATTGTTACACTGCTAAGGGGCAGTGTAGACATTTTATTTAAAAAATCCTTAAAATTTGAAATTTCATGCAAAAATTATAAATTAAATTTTTTTAGATAGTTTGGAATGTGCTCTATTTTTTGATATAAGTTTTAGAATTTTTTCTTTGGAAATTAATTTATGACAATTTTTAACAAAAAGGACCTCATTTTTAGCCATTTTTTAAGGAAAAAGTAGTACCTTGCTAGAAAATTCATAACTTTTAAAAAAATCGGTCAAAATTTTTAATTTTTTGGTATTCCATAGTTAACACTCCCATCTATAATTGACCAAAAAATAAAATTTTTAACTGCATTTTAAAAAAAGTTATGAATTTTTTCCTAAATAGGGAGAATAAGAAGCGGGTAGCGGCGCCAAACCCTTTGCCTAGGGTCAAGTCGGCGCTGCCGCTACCCGGGTAACCTTACCCTTGAATTTATTCTACGGACCCTGAGGTCTATTCCACAAAGTGACATTGCTTCAGCAACATTAGGCGATTGCTTGATTTCTCGATCGACATTTGAAGTTGATGTCGTTTCGTGGGGTTAATGTCACTCATGTGATGCATAGTAATAATTTCTACAGGGTAATAGGTTCGAATCCTGTTTGCTATAAAAAGAATTCATTACTATACAAATCAGGGATGGGACGAGTTACCAGAAACCCGGACTTTTTTTCGACCCAAAACCCGACCCGAGAAACTTTCAACTTTTTTCTCAGGTCCCATCCCTGATAAAAAATTCTTTAATTTATTTCAAAAATATTTTTTTCAGACATGAAAAAGTTCAAGAATTTTGTATTGAATTAGTTGGTAAAATAGCTGATCGCGGCTCAGAATTTGTTTCTGCACGTGAATGGATGCGTATATGTTTTGAATTGTTAGAATTACTTAAAGCCCACAAAAAATCAATTCGGCGGGCAGCAATAAATACTTTTGGGTATATTGCTAAAGCTATTGGTCCCCACGATGTTTTGGCAACTTTATTGAATAATTTAAAAGTACAAGAACGTCAACTTCGTGTTTGTACAACTGTGGCTATTGCTATTGTGGCAGAAACTTGTGCACCTTTTACTGTTCTTCCTGCGATAATGAATGAATATCGAGTACCAGGTTTTGTATTTTTTAAATTTTTTAAATTACATTTGGGAAGATTTGGGAAACCTTTATGTGTGTAGGATAAATTTTGGGTTTTTCTGATAAATTTTGGGTTTCAACCATAAATAAGAAACCTCTAAACTGTCTCTAGTTGGGGATTGTCAATTTCACTTGATTCTCCGATCGAAATGATATTTGAAGCCCAGTGTATCTCGAGAACTTTGAGTAGAGGCAAATAGGTTTGTTCAGGACCGATTAATTTTTGCCTGTAGCTGCTCAAATGAATAATAAGAGCATTTGAGTTGCTACTGCCACAAATTAATTGATCTTGAACAACTTTAGTTGTTAGAAATTTGATTATTTACATTGAATTCTTGATTTAGGCAAAAATTAACTGATCTTGAACAACTTTAGTTGTTAGAAATCTAAAATTCACATTGTGTTCATGACTAATCTTTGGTCTAGAACCTTCAGTAATGGAGGTTAAAAAATGGCTTGTTACTTTTTTGTGTAATCCTTCCCCCATAATTTTCCAAATTAATTTTTTCATTAAAACTTTTAATTTCAGAAATTAATGTTCAAAATGGTGTATTAAAAGCTTTCTCATTTATGTTTGAATATATTGGTGAAATGGCTAAGGATTATATTTACGCAGTTACTCCTTTACTTGTTGATGCTATGATGGAAAGGTTTTTAAATTTAATTTTTGGAAGATGATTATTTTGATTGGGATTTAGGAACGGGATCATGGGAGAATCACTCAATTCTGCCCTCTACCAATTACATAGAAATAACTAGTCGAATGATTTTTGATTTGAAAAAAAGATAGATTTTGGGGGCGGAAATTAGGAGGAAAATCAGTCATAAAAGTCTCACTTTTGGCTAGTTTATGGGTCAAATGAAAAATAATGAATCTAACCAATATTTCGGGCGTTTTGTCGTTCGCTCATAAATTTTGGTATGCAAAAGTCCACCAAATCCCAGTCCTATGAAAAATAAATCTCTGGGCACAGGAAAAGCCCCTCACGCCTTCCCTCATACCCAAAATTAATCCTAATTATTTTTTTACTTTAAAGGGACGTAGTTCACCGACAAATAGCCATTGATGCTTGTGCACATTTAATTCTCGGAGTGCATGGATTTGGTTGTGAAGATGCATTAATACATTTATTCAATTTTATTTGGCCAAATATGCTAGAAAATTCTCCTCATGTTATTCAACGTTTTGTTTTTGCATGTGATGCTTTGCGTGTTTCGCTTGGACCAATTAAAGTTTTGCAATATTGTTTACAGGCTCTATGGCATCCTGCGAGAAAAGTTCGAGAACCGACTTGGAAGGTTTCTTTTCTTTTTTAAATTTTTTTAAAATTGTCCGCAAGTTTTATCCGCAAAAATTTTTGCGGATGTCCGCAAGTTTAGTCCGCAGATTTTTTTAAATTGTCCGCAAGTTTTGTCCGCAAAAATTTTTGCGGATGTCCGCAAGTTTTATCCGCAAAAATTTTGCGAATAATCCGCAAATTTTTTTAACAAATTTTATTTTTAAGGTCTTCAACAATTTAATTCTTGGATCTCAAGATGCGGTTGTTGCTGGATATCCCCGAATTCAAAATACAGACAGAAACCTTTATACCCGTTATGAACTTGATTATATCCTTTGATGGCACACAATTTTCACAAACATTGTATTTTTTATTTTTTAGAGAATTGGGGATTGGACTTAAAAATAATTAAATTGATTATTGGATAAAAAAGTAATTGTCCGCAAGTTTTATCCACAGATCTTGGTTCAATCTGTTGGGTGTCCACGACCGGTTAAATTTCACCAGGCTAAAATGGAAGGAATTTTAAGAACCTTAGGGCTCCACTAGCGAAAATTAACCGGTCATGAACAACCCTAGATTGAAGCACCTCTAGAGTTCAGTCCAGGGTGCGGCCCGATACCCAAAACCTATACCCGAAATTATTGCAAACTCGTGACCCGAAATAAAAACGCTCCAACCCGATGCCCGTACCCGAAGATTTTTGTGCCCGCGGAAACACTGGCTCAGTCCAATCCTTAATTTTTAGAATGAAAAATAAAAGTTGGCCGATTAAATATACCTATTTGTTTTTATTGGATAAAATGTCCTAATAAAATTAAAAAAAAATTTTCTTCAAATTTTAAAATCTAAATGAATTAATCAAATCATTAGAATTCATAAAATCTGTAGTACAACAAAATATTTTAAAAGGTAAAGAATTTAAAATAGACATTTCTGCTCTAGTTATTCCTCCAATAACAAAAATTAATGTTTGTTTATTTTCTTCAGAAGAATCTTTTTGTTGGAAATTTTGGTTGTTTTCTGTTGTTGTTTCCATTAAAGTTTTGTTAAAATCTATCCATTCTTTTTGTAATCCTTCTTCTATTATTCTAATTAAGAGGGATGGCTTGCCTATTTTGACTTCAGTTTTTCTCTAGAAAATTTTTTAGAAATGATTAGAATTTAAGTAGACGTGCTATTTTTCGACGGGACACGCCCAAGTAGACGCGCGGCCATAACGGCGCAAAGCCATAACTTGCTGGAAAATTTCTGGCACTTATCAAGTTTGATATCAATCTCTTTAGCTAGATTAGAGGAGTCGTTTAGTACTAAATTTTGAAAAATTAGGAAATCCTGAAGCAAGTTATGGCTTTGCGCCGTTATGGCCGCGCGCCTAAATGGGCTGTACTTCTTCGACTTATATCTGGGGGGGGACGTTCTGTTGCTCGGAAACATTTTGCAATTTTTTTACTCATGGACGTTTTACAACTTTTAACTTCTAGACTTTTTACTATTCTATGACACGGTAATTTTGTCACCTTTTCTGGAAAATCTTCGGATATACGGTTCTATATCGAAATTTTTATTAAAGTAGTGAAGGTTGTCCAGCGACAGAGAGGGTATTGAGAATAATTTACGGCAATTTTACTTTCATCTTTGGATATTCCAGTAATGAGTATCCAAATAAAATTTAAATCAAAAATTTACCAAATCATCCAAATCAGCCAACGCAAATTTGTATTTTCTAATTAATTGATTAAAATTGCCAGGAGTGTAAGAAACGTCCCATCTCTTTTCACAAAAATTTTCATCTTTTACTAAACCAGCAAGTTGCAATTTTAATAATAATTTTAATTCTGATATTCCATAACTCTGAAAAAAGGAAAAATATTTTTAAAAAAATCGTTCAGCCTTGTTAAAGTAAAAAATTAATCCATGGAAGAAACAAAAAGACCCTTTTTGCAGATTTTATAATTTGCGGACAAAACTTGCGGATTTTCCCAAGTTAAGGGAAAAATTCAGGGCATTCATGGAACCTCCAAAATTAATATAATCGGGCCCAGTCCTTACCTAAAAAATTGCTTCTTAAAAATATTTACCTGAACGATCAGCTTTGTATAAGTCTGAAGAACAGAAGATTTCAACCCATTTGAAATTAATGACTGCAAAATTATTAGACGCAAAATTGAATTAATTTCTCTCATTTCAATAAGTGAATTTTCAATAAATGGATGGGTTTTATCATGTTGTGGATTGCGCATAATTTCTTTAAAAAATAATTTTTTTTTAATTTCCTAGGAAAGGGATAACTTATAGAGAAAAAGTCCTTTGGTTAAGTGGGATAAATTTTGGGTTTGTAACAGATAGAGGAAAAGGTTCGAATCCTGTCAGTGGAAATTAATTTTTTCAGAAAAGGAAACTATTTAAAATTGCTTTAGCGAATAAAAAGTTACAATTTAAAAAAGGAAAGGTGACATTTGATCCAAAAAATCACAAAAATTCTCTCAAAAAAATTTTTTTCCTTAAAAATAAAAAAACCTTGTTCACACCGCAATAATCCTCTATAAAAATCATCAGATTCTCGCTGCTGCACAACTCCTGCAAGGCGCATAAATAATCCCGTTGATTTACGCTTAACAACAACATTGGGCAATTTTGCTATGAAATTTTTGTATTGAGCAACAGAATCGAGAGATTTTCTTTGCTAAAAATTAAAAAAATTTTCCCGTCCTTATTTTAAGAAAATAAACCAATTCTTCCCCTTTCAATTCATCAACAATTTCTCTCAATTTTAAAGCAACTCCCCCAACAGACAAATCTTGTAATTGTTCGTAAACTTGATCGTTTAATTGAATTTCTTCAAATTCCTCTTTCTTTGATTTGTCAGGTTTATCATCAGAAGATTCTTCTGCAGGGATTTTTATTATTCCTGAAAATAAAAAAATTATTTTTCTACACCCCTTCTTCGTCCCCCAAGTAATTACTAGTCAGAGGAATCGAACCCTCCACCACCCAATGAAAAATCTAAAACGCTAACCACTACACCACCAAGTAATTAGCCTCAGAATTATTAACTAAAGCCTTAATTAAATTGAAAACCTCTCGAATCAATTCCAAACAGCTCATCACAAACTCCACCAAAAGTAGATTGTCTCAACATAGGAGTAAGTGGATCAATCCATCTATCAATTAGAACAACATCAGAAATATTTCGAAATTCGTTTTTGGTGGAATCCAAGGCTTTCTTTGGTGTCTAAAAAATTTAGAAAAATAAATGATCAGACTTTTTGGTTCTAATGGACTTTGCTTTTCCTAAAAATAAACCAAAAATTCTAAAAAAATTTTGGAAGTTAGATAAACATAAGAGAATATTCGGATAAAACTTTAATGTTTGTTCAATAGCTAAATAAAAAAAGATGACCCGACTTTTTTTCTCAACCCTTGACATCTGAGTGAAACAAGTTATCCCGTCAAATAAAATAAAAAAATTGGTAACAGATTCACACACTAACAATAAGTGTGCGTAACTCCCCCTGGTCCTAAAAATGTTACAACAAGAACAGACTAATCTCTCCTCAAGGGAACACAAAAATGGGTAAATTTACAGAATGAACAAACAAATGTTTTATCAAAAAATCCCTTCCTAATTAGTCATAATTTTTTGTAACTACTATTCGGTGCGGATATAATTATTTGCCTTTTTATGAATAAAATAGTAGTAAAAAAACGGCAAGTGAATATAACCCCACCCAATCAAGGGCGTAGCCAGGGGTCGATTTCGAAGGGGTGGGTCTCGCCCTTGCTAATTATTCAAAATTACCCAAATATTTAAATAAACCTCCTTCCTACTTACACTTTCAATTTGTTTCTTCATAATTTCCAAAATTCTCAACGACCATTTTCCTTTCGAATAAAAATTAGGCAAACGATTAAATTGGTCAACCAATTGTTTCAAAGCTTTTGCACATTGAAAAAGAAAATTCCAATCTCCATTAATAAATAATTGTGGAGGTAATTGGGGTAAATCCATTGAAATTAATGATGATTGTTCTGAAGGGAACCAATTGACTGGAAGACTTTTAATTGTACAAATTTTGTCCCAAACTGATTTATCGTCTTTTAAGCGTTCTGTGAGTGTGTAAGTTTTTTCTGGAATGAAAAATAGATGGACAGAGCATTGACACTGAAAAATAAAAATAAGAAGGGTTCAAGGGCGTAGCCAAGGTGGGGGGCTTCTGGGGCTAAAGCCCACCCCCCCCCCGAAATGGGAGAAAGGGGAGAAAAATTAGCAAAAAAGTGAATTTTTTTCGCCTACAACCCTCAAATTTTAAAAATTTTCGCCTGCTGCGCTGAAAAAAATAAAAATATGGTTCAAAAAAATTTGCGTCCAGAACGCCAAGGTAAACGCCAAAAATTTTGCGCACACCCAGTGTTTGCGCACACACTCAAAAAAATTAACAAAAAACCCATTCAACTAACCCTATCATCCAATTTTCTTAACCAACTTTTGACCAATTCAATAGATGTTTGAGTTGCATAAAGAAGGAATACAAGATTTGCAGCGTTGGAATATCCAGGATTATTTAAAGAATAATTCTTTCCGACATTTAAATTTTGTGACAATAAATTGGGGGTTACAATCTTTAAATTAAAAAAAAATTTTTAATTCAAGAATCTTTGCTTTGTTTTCAGGTTAGGGTTGTCGGTTTCACTAATTTTTCGGTTAACCGGAACTTAAAGATAAATATCTAGGGGTGTCTTAAACTGTTTCTAAAAAGCGAAAGATGGAAACGAGAAAGTCAATTTTTAAAAGGCGAAATACAAAACTGGCACACCCTTGACAGACAGATTAAACCATCTTAATTTTGTTGACATTCAAATCCCCCAGATACTCTTATTATTAAGCTGGGTCATAAAAACCTGCGTTTTTTATCAGAAAACATACAGTAAATAACAGACAACCTTGGAAAATCGCATGTTAAATTATAGAGATCCAGGGCCACAAAATGACATAATAAAACAGGAATTGTGCTATTCTACTGTATATTCGCCTGATAAAAAACGCAACTTTTTATGACCTGATCTACTATAATATTTAATGCCAAAATTATAAAAGATCTCCTCTGTCAAGCTATGAATGAAAAACAAGGAAATAAAACTGTGAGATATCGTTTCTTTCAAAGAGCGGAGTCTTTAAAAAATTAATTTAAAAAACCAAATTCAACAGCCTCATCATCTTTTTTCCATCCCAAACCAAATCAATCGTTCCTTCAAAAGACGAAAATGCATCCAGAAATACTCTTTGAGTAAAATGTCTTGTAAAGTCAGAAAATTTCATTTTTCTATTTTCTAAAAAATCAAAAAATAAAAGAAATAAAATTTAAAAAAATAAAAAAAGACCAAAAACAATCTTTAAATAAACCCAAAAAATTAAAAAAACAAAATTTATAACAAAACAAAAACAATTAAAACAAAAATAAAAACCCGTGTCAATAAATATCAAATCAATTTTCGTTTCTTTTTTGTTGTTGAACATTTTTTGTTGGAGGTCGTTTTTGTTGGAGAAATAAGGGTCGAGGAAATACAGCACTAGAAAAAATAATAATAAAATTTTGTATTAGGAAAATTTAAAAATTATTTTTCGGATTTTTTTGGCTTGTTAGACTTTAGAACAGTTAAAAACCGGAAATTTTGACTTCACAATGGGAATATGGCATTTATAAAGACAGGGGTATTTTATGAATTTTTATGAGTCCAAAAATAAATTTTAATAGTTGAAAAAGAAAAGGTATCACCCCCAGACTTTACAAATGTCAAGAAGCCTTTGGAAAGTCCTGAAAAATAGGAACAAGGAGAAACCAAAAAATACGAGAATAGAGAAACGTAAAATAAGACCACAAAAGGGAATTAAACCCTCAAAAAAGAAATCTATAACAAGGAAACCTCACGAACTGTAAGTCAAAATTTTGGACTTTTTTTGATACCAATCGATAGAGCATCATCGATTTACTATTGCAGATTTCCGGCTTTTCTAAAAAAAATTTCAAAAAAAACAAACTTGCAAATTTTGCAGAAAGGAACATAATTACAGGTAACAGACAAACAAACAGAGCACACCCATCCAATACTCAAAAGTTTATTATGACAGTGACAAACAGCTCTGTAATCAATGTCTTGTTGTGGGTGGGTAAATAGAGAAGTTTTGGAAGCAATTAGGCATTCACTCTGAAATTTATCTTACTCAGAAATTAGATTATTGTAAAAAATGTCATTCAAAAAATGTCATTCAAAAAATTTCCTAACAAATGAGAACAAAATTTACTAAAAAATCAATCATGTATTGATTGATTGAGCCACGGGATTGTCTAGGCGTACCCCAAAATTCAGAGGTGTGTTACCAAAAAAAGTTGGTGCACACCTCCTGAAATCCGATTCTGATTGAACCACTGGAAGGAGTATCAAGGACATAATTAAGAAAATAGAAGAAAAGTTTCTAGTACTAGAAAGTAAAAAGAAAAATCAGTACTTAATTACTCCTCCCCCAGGCAATTTTTTCGGTAAATATGTAAAAAATGGTCAGTCAGTCATAAGTTATACCTGACTGACTGACCATTTTTTGACATATTTACCGAAAAAATTGACAAGGGGGGGGGGGGAAATCAAAAAGTACCAAAAGGCCCTCCTTCCCAACCCAACTCCTAAAAATACCCAAAATAAAAAATTCCAAACCAAAATAGTCTGTGCAAGTAATTTAATATTGTCTAAAACCATATTAGTTCCACCAGTTATATCACTAGCTTGTTGAAGAATTGGAACATTTCCATTCAAAGAAACAGAATTTACAACAAGAGAAGAATGTTTTGCAGCAAAAAATAAATTCATTAAAGTGCTGTGTTCATTTGAAAGATTTTGGGCCAAATTAACTATTATAATTGAACCAGAAGAGTTGGGATATTGTTTAGAATATTTATTGAAAGCTGAAAACTGAATAAATAAAATATATGAATTTTTGAGTAAAACCCAAGGGGAAATAAATAGGGAGCGAAAAACGAAAAAATCTGTCCGAAAAAAATTTTTTGTCCGCAAAAAATTTGCGGACAAAAAAAGTTACTTACTACTATAGAACTACTACCATTCCCAAACCTATTTACCCTCGGGCCATATTTTTCAAATCAAAAATACTTACCACAAATGCTAAGCGAAATAGCTCCAGAATACTGAGAAGAAACCGGCTCCTCATAATTCACATTTTCTTCCAATTTTTTTCTTAGAAAAATCTCAAGTGATTTTGCAAAATCCAAAGCTGTTTTATTCGTTTCAACTTCCTGAAATTTTTTGTTTGCCAATTTTGCCCCACCGGCTAATACAAGTAGTTTGTTATTTGTTGATAAGAATAGGTGAGTATTACATAAAGCTATTACAGCAGAGAAAATATCTTCTAGAACATTTGTTTCTGGATATTTTGAGATCAACATACCCCAATTTGTTGAGTCACAATCAACTATCACACTTGTGAAGCTGCTCATAATACAACTGAAAAAGGAAAAATTAACGTCGAACACTAAAGGGCAACTATACAAAAGTTAAAAATCTTCACTATATGGCGTTTTTAAAAGTTACCATTTTGAAATTATTAATTAAGAAATAAAAATACATAATGCCAAAAAGTGTTTTTATTTGAAAACTTTATTATCACGGTAAGCCCAAAACGGCGCGCGGCCATAACGGCGCAAAGCCATAAATTGGTTCAATATTTCCAAATTTAGCATTAAACGATTCCTCTCGACAAGATAAAGAGATAGTTACCAAAATTGATAAGTGCCAGACATTTTCAAGCAAGTTATGGCATTGCGCCGTTATGGACGCGCGCCTAATTGGTTGTGTCCCTCATTATCTCACTCTTTTTCTTTTATCAGAAAAGAGTAAGAACAAAAAATAAGAGTGTTAGTAAGAGAAACAAAAACCAAAAAGAGAATGAGAAAATAGAGAAAACCACTTAAAAATAGTAACCACAAAACAGTGTAAATTTCTCGTTTTTTTACAAAAGACCGTTGTAAAAAAAGACCGGAACGGGCAAAAAAGGCAAAAAACCCCATTTTGCCCGTGCCTGTCTTTTTGTGCTTCGGTCTTTTGTACTGGAGCCAAATCTCTTTCACTCTTCCCCCCAAATTTCTAACGATTTATTTTAAGCACGCGGTTTCCTTAAATAATTCATGTGTAAATGCTTTTTTTGTTTGTGTTGTGACTAAAAGCAAACTGGAATTTTAGTGATATTCACAAAATAAGTGAAAATTTTATTTTACTATGCAAAGTTCTACAAGCTCTAACGAAGTTGGTATTTTCTCTCTCCTATTGATTTGATCACAAAATTCCTTTTCTTTTTCAGTTAATTTACGGAGGAGCCAGTTCCGCTTATGGTTCAGAAGAGGCCTCTCACGTTATGTCAGACAAAGTTCAAGCAATTGCTTCAGCGGTTTACAAAGAATTTGAATCGATGATTCAAAAATTTGGACAGGAGAGTGTTAAGGTTTGGTTAATTAATTAATTTTTTTGTTAAAAGCTCATTTTTTCCCATAATTGTCTGGGGTTAGTGACTGAATACGTTAAGGGCATTGCCAGTTGGTCGATTTCGTGGTGGGGTTGGGGGCTAACATTTTGGTGTTTACCTTGGCGCTCAGGACGCAAGCCTCCTCTCTGGATACGCCCTTGGAATCCATATTGAATTTCACTTGGATACGGTCCTTGTATTACGAAGCAGGCTACGTCCCTGGCTACTTGCCTGGTAGGAGTTCTTGTCCGCCAACACATTGGAAAGCTTTTAAAGTGTCACGGCGTAACGTGTTCATCTCTGTTGGTTATCCCCTTTTGTCGCGAAGCGACGAAAGATGAGGAAAATAAAATAAATATATTTTAATTTATTTCTAAATTAATCATCACTTTTTGCAAATTCCTTTTTCGGACTTTCACCTGGCTAAAAACCATTTTTGCTGTAAACATCTATTCAAAACCTATTTACATTTTTAGTCCTTTTGTTCTAAAACTTAACTTTATCTTCCACTCTTTTGTATCATTCAAATATGTGCATTTTTATTTAATCGTTCCTATTATGCCTTTAATGATCGAAATATTTTTCTAACTCTACCCGCCTATTTTTATGGCCTATATAATCTCCCCTTCCAAACCCCAATTAGCTTCATTCTGTTTTAGCTTCTTTCTGGGTTGGCTGGCTTTCTCATTAGCTCATTCTCTGTTGGCTTTATTCTGTTCTGGTTCTGTGGCTCCTGTTCCTATTTGTGGCCTTATCATTAATCTATTTGTTGGACTATTTATTTGTGTGAAATAAACTTCTTATTATTTGTTTGGCTTAATTTGTTGGTAATCTGTTGGAATTAAAACCTAGGCCAATTGTGTTGGAATCTCTTGGCCTAACCAATTACTTTGACGGAATCCTTTGGCCTAACCCAGCTCTTGCGAAACCCCTAATTGGTGTATTGGCTCTGTCCTTTCCTCTACACCTTTTACTAGCAAAATTTCAGAGAATTCTTTAGAGTTTTTAATATTTTCAAGCACCCCTCAGCGGCTCATTTTCATGATACCTATCAAAAATTGCTTTAATTCTTGTCTAATTTACTTATTTTAAGGATTTAATGCCTTTAGTTGTTAACGTTCTCGAAAATTTGGATTCTGCTTTTTTGGAGAAGGACGAACTTGCTGTGGACAATGAAATGTTAAAAGAAGAAAATGAACAATTATTAAACCAATATGAAAGGGAAAGGCAAATGAGAAAGAGTCAAGACCAGGTTTTTTTGTTTTTAAAAAATTTTAGAAAAAAAATTTTTTCTAAAGAAATATTTGGAAGTGGAAGAATCACTTTTGGAGCAGAATCGGGAACTTGAAAATAAAGTTGGTAGTATGGCTAGTATTGTTAGAATGTTGGAATTGAAGACAAAAAATGCTTGTGATCATGGTAAATGTTTTTGTTTTTAGTACCGTTGACGAAAACTTGGGAATTTTTATGATCGTAGTTCACGTTTTTTTATCATTCCCTCTCCAAATAAAATTTCCGCCTGCTGCGCTAAAAAATTAAGATATAGGTACAAAAGAATTTGCGTTCGTATTACCAAAGTAAACGCCAAAATCGCCAAAAGACGCCAAAATCTACCAAGTCCCCTCCCGAAACCGGCCCCCTGAATATGCCTTTGCTTGAAATCTTATGCCTTGGCCAATTTCCGATCAACTTCCAGGGTTTTCCTCTTCTCTTTTATTTTTGTTCACATTATATTTGAATTTTTTGTGTAGCCTTTCTGTAAATTTTAATTTTATTATTGACATTGTTTTCCTTCTTATACTTTTTTATATCTTACCGATTCTTCCCATTTAGCCAGCCGTCTAGAGGAACGCGAAGCGGATCAAAAAATGGAGTATGACAAACTACATGAACGTTATAATGAACTTTTACGTACTCACATTGACCACGTTGAGCGTACAAAGTTTTTAATGGGAACAGAAATGTTTGATATGGCTAATTCTTTACCTGTTGCTTCCAAAAATAACAAGTTCGTTTTTTTTAATTTCGGTTATTAGGTATCGGCTGTACTTTAGTATAGGTCCACCGAGATCGGAACTCATAGTATATACCATTCGATTCGTCTCGCCGAGCTGAGTTCAAATATGCAAGAATTTTCTGCGGGACGCGAAAACTCGCAGAGATACAGGCGAATGAAAATCGAAAAACCAAAGGGGGGACCAAGCACTTTTTTGGGGTGAAAAATTCGAATATGCAAATTATACCTCATTCGAAAGAGCTCCTCGAGCTGACAAGGGAACATTCCGAACTGTGACCAAAAATTTTTCTATAAAAATTATACCATCGTGTAGAGCATGGTCGATAGCCTATCCCTATATATTTCTTTTTTGGCCCTGACCCCCATTTCGAAAAGTTATGGGGCTTCAAAGTTTTAGACTTTTGGAGCGGTTGAGTCGCCCCCACTTCTCTTATTATTTGTCTTCCTAAAGGGAAAAATGAGACTTCTTTTCTCCATTTTTCCTTTCCTTTTCTTTTCCCATGTTGGTTAAAGAAAGAGAACAAGAGGAGAGAAAAGGAAAGGAAAAGAGCATCTCTGCCTTGCGGCTAATTTCAATTAAAAAGGAAAAAGGAGGAGGCAGAGATGCCTCTTTTCCTTTTCTTTTCTCTCCTCTTTTTCTCTTTCTTTAACTAATATTGGAAAAGAAAAGGAAAGGAAAAATGGAAAAAAGGAGTCTTATTTTTCTCCTTAATAAAAGAAAATTATCTCTTTATGAGGGCGACTCAACCGCTCCAAAAGTCTAAAAGTTTGAAGCCCCATAACTTTTCGAAACGGGGGTCAGGGCCAAAAAAGAAATATATAGGGATAGGCTATCGGCCATGCTCTACACGTTGGTATAATTTTTATAGAAAAATTTTTGGTCACAGTTCGGAATGTTCCCTTGTGAGTCGAATGACACCAAAATCAACGAAATCCGACTTGATTTAACAAAGTTATGATTTTTTCTTTTAGCTCCTTACCTATGGTATCTGAGGAGATTTTTACTGCAACGAAGGCCCCAAATAGTCCAGAGAAGGGAGATAGGAATAGGATTATGTTACAAGCCCAGACCCAACGCCCGTAGACTCCCCGCGAGGCGCGTGCCGCAAAACCCCGCGCGAAGCGCGGGGTTTTGCACAAGCGCCTCGCCTATGCCCCATAGGTTTAGGTTTTAGTTTTTCTATCGTAACTTTGTCCAAACTTGTAAAATCACGATGATTTTGGTGTCATTCGACTCAGCTCGAGGAGCTCCTTCGAATGAGGTATAATTTGCATATTCGAATTTTTGACTCCAAAAAAGTGCTTGGTCCCCCCCCCCCCTACGGTTTTTCGATTTTCAATCGCCTGTATCTCTGCGAGTTTTCGCGTTCCGCAGAAAATTCTTGCATATTTGAACTCAGCTCGGCGAGACGAATCGAATGGTATATACTGTGAGTTCCGATCTCGGTGGACCTATACTAAAGCGACCCCTAGGTATCCTTTTGAGAATATTTTTTGCTAAAAAATAAGATTATATTAGAAAAATAAAATTTTAATTGGGAAAGACTTCGTACTTTCGTACAGGCCTAATTTTATTTCGTACTTGTACTCGCCAACTTTTTTTCGTACTCGTACACAGGTATGAGTACAAATTTTGGTACGAGCTTCTAAACACTGCTTCTGATTTCAAAAATGAAATATCCTTCTTTTTATCCTTATATGTACTGTTTTAATTCCACTTAAGATTTGTATCCAAAATATTTAATTTTTGGGATATCTTTTCCTTAAAAAAATTTTTTTTAGAAATTCAATGGCAATGAGTGCAATTGATTCTAACGTTAGAGGAATAAGTGATATTATAAGTGCTGTTCATATGTCTCAGAGTACTCATGCAGATTTAAATTTGGCTAGTCACATTAATAGCAATGAAAGTTTGTTTGTCTTTAAAGATTATTAAAAAATGATTTTTTTGTAAAGGAGATTGGCACGAAGAATTTGGAGGTTTACAAACAGCAGCAGAAATTTTGGCAACTCCAAGAGAAGAAAAACCGGCAAATTCCCCTCTTCCTTCAGTTGTTGAATCGCCTAAAGAAGTTGTTACTTCGGAAGATGTGGATGAGGAGGAGGATGATGAACAGAAAGTGCCGGAAAGGTTTTTTATTTGAATTTTATAAAGGGAGGTGATTAATGGGAGTAGATACAACCAGGCCCGTAGCCAGGGGGGGGGTGAGGGGGGGGGGAATTCCCCCCCCCCCCCCGAAATGGGAAAAAGGAAAAAATTTGGGGAAGGGCTGGGGCAAAAAAAGTAAGTTTTTTTGGCCTACGGCCTCTGAAATTTAAAAAATTTTCGCCTGCGGCGCTAAAAAGGAAGAAATCTGGCTTCTTGAGGTCCAAAATTCAAAAAATTTTCGCCTGCGGCGCTGAAAATCAAATTTTTGGCGCCTGCGGCGCCGAAAAAGTGAATTTTTTTTGGCATACGGCCTTCTAAAATTCTCAAAATTTTCGCCTGCGGCGCTGAAAATAAAAATTTTTGGCGCCTTCGGCGCCAAAAATTTGGCGCAGAAAAAATTTTCCCCCCTTGGCCCCCCCCCCCGAAAAAAAATCCTGGCTACGGGCCTGGATACAACCCGAACTATTCTGCTTAGGGGTCATTAATTATTTTTACGTTGGTAAAGTCTGGTCATCTTTGATATGATTTTGTCAGGTTGTGTCGGATTTTGTAACCGGAATTAATCAAAATTTGGTACTTGAATTCCTAAATACCTCTGCTTTGGAGGGAATTGTTTTTTACATTAATAGTTAACAATAAGCTACAAGGACGTAGCTAGGGGGACTTCTGGGGTTACCTCTTTTTTGCCCTCCCTGAAATCGACCCCCTGGCTACGCCCTTGGTAAGCTATTAGTTTAGTAATATCGTAGACATTAGTTCAAACTTTTTATGCTTGTAGGATTCTAACAATTCTTTAACTTTTGATTTATTTTCAATTTAGAGAAATGAATGATGATGGCGATGGAATATCTCTTGGTGCTGATTTGACAGGTTTGTTATTTAAAAAAATTTTTTTTTAATTTTAACTAATTTTTAAAAAAATTTCAATAAAATTAGGGAATCTAGTTGACCCTGCAGAATTTGCTTCAGCTGGTATATAATAAAAAATAGCTTTTAGAAAAAAATGAATTTTTAGTTAACGATACTTTTATTGGTTGGTTTAGAAAATTTAAGTGTAGTTTAGTAGTGGTTTTTGTTGTTGTTTTTTTAATTTAATTATTTTTTGTTTTTGTGGTTGGTCCTTTTTTCCTCCTTGCCGTTATTTTTTTAAGAATTTTGTCTTGTGATCTGTTTAGATCCGAATTTTTAGTGAAAAATTAAATATAAATACTCATAATTTGATTCATTTTTGTCTTTCTACCTCTAGAAAGGGGTTAGGCTTCTGGGACTATATCCCCTCTTGACCTCTAGTCTATAAGTAACAAGCGCGCGAGAGGAGTTCGGCTCTGAATTTGTCGAATCTAGCTTTTGCAGTCTTAATTTTTTTATGGGAGAGAAAGGTTGCTCGATTGATCCTGCAAAAGTTATTTCAAAATCAATTTTGCCGACTGCTAATTAAGTCCTCGCACCCCTCTTATTGGGACACATGCGACGCGTTTGGATGTTTTGTCAATTTTCTTGTTTTACTTTTTTTATTTTTAAAATTCTACGTAAAAACTAAAAATTCGGATCCATTAAAAATAACTTTCAACGCAAAAATATTCAATTTTTAGGAATGGGCAGAGAAGTTGAAAATCTCATTCGTGAAAACACTGAATTGCTTGAAACTAAAAATGCTTTAAATATTGTAAAGAATGATTTGATTGCAAGATTGGATCAACTTAGCAGGTTATTAATTTTAATTTTTAAAAGTTTTTTTCAAAAGCAAATTTTTATCTAAATTTGTTTACACCAACTAATTAATTTTTTTGTTTTCTATGGCGTGATTAGGAATTTAAAGTTTTTCGGCTTGTATTTTCTATTGAATTCCCCTTTTAACAGTTCTTAGTTTCTCATTAACTTTTCTAATTTTTTCCTTTATTTTTTAAGTGAACACGCAGTCTACAGAGAGGAAGCACGAAGTCTTGAACTAGTCAAAATAAAATTAATTGAACGTATAAGAGGATTGGAAGATGAATTGAAAGAATTAAAAGAAGCAAAAAATCAAACAGAAACGCCAGAGGTTTTTTCGTTAAAAAATTTTTAAAGAAATTTTCTTTTAAGGAAGACAAAGCCCAAGGGCGGCGATTTACTCGTCTTGAAATGGCTAGAGTTTTGATGGAAAGAAATCAATACAAAGAAAATTTCTTTGAACTTCAAGAAGCTGTTAAATTTACAGAATTGCAAAGAGCGAGACGGACTACGTCTTCTAATAATCAAAATAAATCAATTATTTGGAGCTTGTAAGTTTGGGGGTTTTTTAAGGGTTTAGTTGACATTTTATTGAATATTCAAAATGCCAAGACTAAAATGCCATTATTTTAATCAGTCCCGTAGCCAAGAATATTTTCGAGTGGGTGGGATGGGAATCATTTTCTGTACCGAATTTTGGTGCCGAATCGTCAAAAATTTTGATTTATGCGCCGTAGGTGGGAATTTTGAGGATTTCGTAAGGCCATAGGCCAAAAAATTCATTTTTTACCCCATCCCCTTCCTAAATTTTTCCTTTCTCAATTTTGGGCTGGGCAGTGTGGAATTCCCCTCTGACTACGGGCCTGCTTTTAATTATCAAAAATATTTAATTTTTTAGTTTCTCCAATCTTCTCGGTGACAGCACATCAACTAGTCATATAGGACAAAATGTGAAAAAATCCCAAACTAAAAAGAATATTCCATCATCTCCATTAACTCAAAGGAAAGCACGTTCTGGAGGGGATAAAGAAGACAAAACGTTTTTTTAAATTTTAATATTTTTTTAATTAAAAATTTTTTTTTGTAGAAATCAAGACAGATTTAATGCTGAAAGGCGACAGCATTACCACGAAGTTAGTCAACATATGAAACAAGAAGACTTTCCAACGGCTTATGGTTTTTTTTGAAATTTTTCGAATTGATTTAAACTAAATTTTTGTTTGTAGGTTGGTCTATACCCTCAACTAAAGCAGCGGCACAAAATTTATCAATTCCAGTTCCAGTCAATTGTCGACCATTAATTGAAAATGCTTCACCTTCACTTAAAGTATATATAATTATTTGAATGATTTTTTAAAATTAATTAGGGTCCCAAGTTATTCCGTCCTAATAAGGTTGTTGGTTCATGGAAAATCTTCAGATATCTGGAACCGAACCGAAAAATCATCGTTTCTTTGGTTCGGTCCAGAACTGGCAACCATAGTCTTAATTATTGTATGATTCTGCCATTTTAGGCAATTCTTTTTTCCCATTAGAGCTTTTCAACAACAAAAAAATTTTCCAAGATTCGAAAATAGACCCCTAACTATAAGTAAGATCAAGACTGAAAGGAATTGAAAAATAAAACTCATTTTTAATCTTAAATCAAGACTCAAAACCCTTAAAAACTAGGACAGTTTTGGGCTTCCTGCTTTCAATTACACAACCTGGAATTGAGTCCTACACTTCGCTTGGCCACTATTTTCCTTTCCATTTTACAATTTTCTTTTTATTAATTTTTTTTAATTTCTAGATTTGTTGTGCTGCTTCTTGTTCCCTTCATGGAGGATTAAGTAATGGTGAATATATTGTTGGCGATCCAATACTTGGCTGTGATCCTTATTTATTTTTAAAAAACAATTTTCAACGGAGTAACAATGAAAATGGGGGGAGAAAATCTGTAAGAGAACTCTTCAATCTTTTCAAAAAATTTTTCAGATTGGCGAAATCAAAAAATTAAATGGTTCGGAATTTTCTCTTTTGGAATCTTCAAGTTTAGTTTGGATTTGTAGTTCCAGTGAAATTCAAAAGCCTTTTGTGACTATTTTGGATGTTAATTGTCCAAATTCAATACTTGAAGGGTTTGAAATTAATGAAATTGGAGCTAGAATATTTTGTATTGCTAGTGTTTCTGGTAATGATTTTAAATTTAAAAAATATCAAAAGGGAATTTTAAAGAATTTGAGCCACCATAGGCGAAAATTAATCATTGGTTAACAATCCTAGTTTCCGCATTTTTATTTTTTCGTGATTTTGGTCTTGGAATTTTGGTTGAGAATATTTTTGGAATTTAATGTAATGACATCTTCATTTTTGAAAAATTAGGTTTCTAGGCCCTCTATTTACAAAATAATTTTAAAAATAATACCACAACAAATTTGTGATTAAATAGATTAGCCCCTTGAGTTACATTCTGGGATAACTTTTGAATTTGTTCTTTTTGCCTAATTATTTTGGAGGAAGGATCTCTTGTATAGGATTGTCGGATTCACCAAATTCTTTAGTTAATCACAACCGAACTAAATTTTCGGTTCGATTTAAAACCGACCCACCATAGTCTTGTAGGCTTGCTCTAATTCTTTTTTATGAATCTTTTTTTATTTATTCTTCTTAGAACCACAAAAAATTAATTTAAAAATTTAAAGGCATTCATTATTCCGATATTCGAATAACTGAAGAAGGTTTAAATTCTGATTCAGAATTATGTACAAGAGGAGGTTATTTTGAAAAGAGCAAAACTTTAATTGAATCAATAATGGATTTTGAATTGTTTGGATCTGTTGAATTTATAAAATTGCAATTATCTACTAAAAAAGGAGAAGGAGAAGCTACTCAAACATTAATTTGGGAAGGACAACAAAAAATGACTTCGCCTTCCAAAAGAAGAAGAGATTGTAAGAGGGTTTTTCTTTTGAAAAATTTTTGGAAATTATATTAGTAGGATGCGTATAATTTAATCTCGAATTTAGAATTTTTTGAATTTTTTTAAAAGTATTGCCCGGCTTGTCTGAACCTTTAGATTTTCTCCTTGCACTCTACTTCCCTTCGGGAGTTTCGGAATTTTTCGGTTCCGATTAGTTCCGGTTCGAGTTCTTTGGTTCTGCTTAAACCAAAACTTCCCTACATTCCTTACTTGCTTTAAAATTTTCGGATCTGATGAACCCCACTAACTTTAGATAATTTTAAATTTTACTCTTTTCAATAATTATTTTTTAGCCAGTATTAATGAATCACTTCAATTGAATGATGCTAGTATTGTTAATGTTGAAGGATGTAAGTTTTGTTTTTATTTTTTAGTGGAAATAGAGAAACTATAAAGTCGTACCTCTAATTTTTTATGCCTTAATTTGGAGCTGTCTAAGACCGAAAATTTTTCTCGAACTTGAGACTAAGCCCAAAACTTTATCCAAAGACTAAAACTTGACCTCAAAACCAACTGAAAAATTCTAAGAAATGTCTTTAATAAAGTCTCAAAACAAAAAGTCTTGGACAGCTTTACCTCATTTTAAATGGTTTTGTCTATCCATTGTCAGTAATAATTTTTTAAATCTCTATTTTGTCATTTAGTGGTTCGACTTTATTTTTTAAAAAAAAGGTATATATTTATTTAATAATCCCAAAATTTAATCATCAAAGTGGCCACTCGTTCGTCTCTGTTGAGACAAAAAACAGCACTCCATAGAAATTTGGCAATACCCCTCCAAGAAGATAAAATAAATAATAATAGTGAAGGTGATGAATTTAGCAAAATTAATTTTGAAGAAAAAATTTTTGGAAAAATTGAACCAATCTCTGAGCAAATAAACAAGCTTGGAGAAAGTCAGGGTGAAAAAAAATAAAATTTCTTTTTGAAAATTTCTCTTTTGTTCATTATTTTTGGTTCTTTTTCTTTCTTTTTGAGTTGTGTCACTTTTTTGTTTTTGGGGTCTATCACTACTATTTCTAGAAAATATTGGTCAATAAGTGCAAGTTTTGTACTTTTAATATCCTCCTGCAAAAAAATTTTTTTTAGAAAAATCCGGTGTCCCGGATCCCGCAAACACGATTTATGCCGACCACTAATTCTCACTAAAAATTATTCAGTGTATTTATGGTCAGTGAGTAATTAAAATAAATTATTGACCAATATAAACGCTTAACTTTCTCCTTTCAAAGCTTTTTTGCTGCTAAATATATAAAATTATTTTAAAATTCCAGATCCAAGCCCTTCTCCTCTCGACAAACTTTCTTTACATATCCGAAATACTCTTAAACGTTATGAAGCTTTACCTGATGAGGATATTTTAACACTTCCTTTAATGTGGATTGGAACAGAAAGCGAATAGTAAAATTTAAAAAAATTATTATTTTTTTAACCAAACTTTTAAGTATTTATATTTACTCGTCAGTCAAGGATTGGAGAAAATGTTTAAGATGTATTAAAATGCCTGATGCTGTTCTTTCAATTTTGTGAGTTAAATGCTTTTAGAAATGGGTTTTTTGAACTAGAAAGGATAACCAGAGGTCGAAAGTTTTTTATTGTAAATTTTTACGGATCCATTAGTCAAAGAAATTCGTCACGAAACACGAACATGTCATTCGTATCGGGGTACTTAACCATTCTGCTACCTCCCCTACATTAATGCTAAAAATGTCATATAGGGCAATAAGAGGTGTTGGGTCGAATGGTACCACTTTATTCCGGAGATACTGACATTAATGAAGGGTATGTGGCAGAACGGAAAAGTACCCACGTCGCACTCTATCTTCGCATTTTTCTGCACTAATCCGCTTCGGAAATAATCAGGAGATAACGAAAAATCCCGATTTGGGACCCGGACACTGAAAAAGTCCTGCCTGATCTGTTCCGGTGATGGACACTAATTTTAACAATTTTAGACATTCAAATGGTCGTGTATTTGTAGCTTTAGCAAATGGATGTGTAGCAGTATTTCATCGAGATATGAAAGGACGTTGGTCTGATATTGGTTTTCATTTAATGCAAATAGGGCCGTCAGATGCTTCAGTTTGTTATTTACACCAAGTTTATGGAAAAATTTGGGCAGCTTGTAAAAATTGTATTGTTGTTTTTGATCCGGTTACTTTGCGGGTTGATGTAAGAGGAATTTCTATAAATTTAAAGATTAAAAGTAGGGGGTTATGCATGGTTGGACCTAAAGGCGAGGGTCAAAAATCGGCGATATCCGAAAACTAGTGGGCAAATCCGACGGGTTTTCAGGTTTTTTAACCCCCTAATGACAAAAATTTTTGTTTCATTTCTATCAAAACTCTTTGTTAAAATAAAATAGGTTTCCATTGGTGGGACTCGAACCTTTGACCTATAAATGTTGAAAGCTAGAACCTTCCAATTACTCCAAAAAACAACCGCTAGAGCCGTTATTTCATTAAATTCACCCAAATTTTTAGAGTATTTTCCCTGCGCATCCAAGAAAGGACAGCAAAATTAGACAATTTGCACATTACGGAAGTGGTGTTTGGATCTCTATAAGATTGGATTCAACAATTAGATTATTTCATGCAGAAACATATCAACATTTACAAGATTTGGATGTTGAATCTTTTATTACAAAAATGCTTGGTTAATGAACATATTATTATTATTTTTAAATACAGGCTGATGACCTGTTTTTAAATAACCCTTTTGGGGCTAAAATGTGGAGTCTTAAAGTGGAAGTATCGAGTAGATATAGTTCCCCTTTCCTAGAGATATCTTAATTTAAGTTTTATCTAGTAATATATACCTTGTATATCTAAATAACATGTGATGCAGGGATGGAACGGGTTAAAAATCGGGGTTTTAAAATTTTCCTTGGAAGAGGGATAACGGGGGAATTACAGGGATTAAGGCGAATTTGAATGGATTAAAACTAATATCAGTGGATTTGGAGATTAAAGTGGATAACAAGGGATTAAAGGAGGGGGGTCGAAAAAAAATTTTTGGGTTTCAGGTAACCCCCTTCCCATCCCTAATGTGAGGTATTTAATAAATTAAGATTTTTTTGTAGGTCCAAACAAATTAGACTTGGTACTTTTACGAATTACTTCTTTGAGTATTTTGGATAAAAGAATTTGGATTGGTATTGGCTCTGGAATTATTGTTTCAATACCTTTTGGTTGTGAAGGTGATTGAATTAATTTAGAAAAATCAAAAATTTTCTTTCTTCCTTCAGATAATTCTTCAAATAATAAATCTACAAGTGAAAAAGCAAAAGGACCAGGTCAAGTAATTAGAGTAATGAACACAACAGAAAATGCGGAGGGGGATAAAACTTCAATAATTCCTTTCTGTGAGATATCAAATGCTCAATTAAGCTTTCATGGACATAAAGATCCTGTTCGCTTTCTAGTCCCTGTACTTGCTGGTTCGTTTTTAGTTTTTTGAATTTTGTTATTGTTTTAGAAGGAAACCTTCTAGTCACATAGGAGGGATTTAGATAGGGGCTTGTCCTATTTGCGAATGAGGAGGAGGGGGGGGGGAGTGGTGGATGTGGAGGTGCGTTCCTAGAGGCGTTAAACCGAATTAATTAGATGAAATCGGTCTACCGCTTGGTCGATCAAAGGCTGATCGAACACAGACAAGAGGGAGAAAGTGATTCACTCCCTGCTAGCACCCCAACCGATTCTTCTAATCAACCTCCAACTTTTATTTTTTGGATTTTTATAAGCAGTCATATGGGCGGGAGCTCAGTCAGTTTTCTATGAATTCACTTTAGAGTATAAAAAGGAGGTTTCAGACGTTGCAGGTTTCCCTGGGTTATTTGAAGAGAATTGATTATTTAATCATCCCTTACTAATAAAATTATTTTTTTTCAGAAGGTTTCTCAGATTTAACTTACAATTCAGAACAAACAAAAGCTTATATGGTATCTGGGGGTGATGGATATATTGATTTTCGTTTAGGTAAAATAATTTGGGGAAGAAAGGAAATTAAATTATTTTTTTTAGGTGATGACACTTCTTGTGAAGAAAATACTAAAAGTCCATCTCAAAATAACAATTCGAATGTTAGAGATATGTCTCATTTACTTATGTGGGAAAATGATTGTTCCTTAGAATGGATGAAGACTTGAGAAAAAAGAACCTCATTTTAATACTTTACCCAATATATATTCCATTTAAAAAAATATATAATCCCGAGTAAATTTTTATAGATATTAATAACAATTTATAAATAAATAATTATATAATAGAAATTTAAAATTTAAAAAAATGCTGAAACATATCAAAAGAGATACAAATTAAGCTTTCGAATCGTATACAGCACAAGGAACGAGCCGACAAGAAAATTTAAATTCACGATTTCTGGGAATCGGGAAGGCTCGTTCCCTTGTATATACATAGAACATGTTTCAAATAACCCGCTCAATTACTAAACAATGCTCACCCTAAAGTTTCGAAAACCCTTTAAATAATTACTTGAAAAAAGACTGAGGGAATTTTTAAAAAATGGAAAAGTTGGACTACTCCTTATCAGAGCTGTTCCAAAATTCAGAGCTGTTCCAAAATTTCGATTTTCTAGGTTTTTTTCTTCGACTTTTTGGTGATATTTTCGATTTTCGAAGATTATTTTGTTTCGAAACAGCTCTTTTCCTTTTTTATACAACAAAAAATACACAAAAAATTTACATATTTAAGCAGGTCTCGAAGGCATAATTAAAATAGCTGGAGGGGAGTGTTGTAAAGCAAAAGCTGCCAACATTTGACATAATTGAATAAATACAATACAAGAATAAATTAAATTTTTTTCTTTAATTGTTAAATATAAAAAATTATTTTGCCCTTCTAAAGAAGCTATTGTTGAAGAGAAAAATAATTTATTATTATTATTTCTTCTACCCTCTCTTTGTTGTTGAAAATTAGAATTTAAATTTTTAAACAATTTATTATTTTTAAATATTCGAATTAATAATTGTTCAAATAATTCTTGGGAAATTTGTTTGTTGTTAATTACAGACAAATCTATTTGATTTTTAACTTGTTTTAATATCTAAAAATGAGGGGAAAATAAAATTTATTTGTGAAAAATGGAAGGGGGTTTTCCAAGTAGATGAGTAAAAATGTGGGTAAAATAAACAAAAAAATTAATTTTTGGTTAGAGCTGTTCCGAAATTTCGAAAATTTTTAGTTACGAAATAGCTCTAATTAATAGACAAAAAACTTTTAAAAAATCAAAATAGAAACTGGAAACCCCTGGTAAGGTGAAAGCTCTCAATAATGTAGCCCTCCTTCTCATATCATTCCCTTATTACGTCATAAATTCTGTCCTGGAGAACATGCTTTGACTGATTTGATGCCCTCATGACAATTCCCAAGCAAAATTCAACCCCTAAAAGATGCCGTTATATAGAAATACCTCATATCCTTAGAAGTATTCTATATAATTTTAATTTAAAATCCGACACGAATAACACCAACCTAAAAGCAGTTGTTTCGAAATTTCGAGTTTCGAAGTTTTCTTTTGTTTCGAAAAAACTCTACCTTAAAAGTAGCAACAAAACCCCCTATCAAAAAATTCTAATAACAAAAGAAAAAAAACTCACATCATTAATCTTCAAAAGAGGCAAATTTCCACGTAAAGAATCAACATAAAATAAATAGGCGGTCAGTAAAGGTTGAGAATATGAAAATAATAAATTAAAAACTCCAAGTAATTGAATATTTGTATTGAAACTGTTTTCGGTTAAATTAGAGAGAATATCAAATAATGATTCTAATAATATTCCAGCACCTTTAAATTAATTAAATAATTCTAGTTTTTAAAATTATTACAAAAAGGTCAACTCTGTATTAATTCTCAAATGGTAAATTCAAAAATGGCCAGAAATAGAATGATCGTTTATAAACGAAATTTTTTCTTAATTTTAGTTAATAGTTTATAGTTTATCGATAGATTACGACCATACCTCGTTGAAAGCACGCCATCCCGTCCGATCTGGCAAGTTAAGCAACGCTGGGCTTCCTTAGTACTTGGAACGGAGACGTCCTGGGAATCGGGGGTGTCGTAATCTTTTTTATTCTAATTTAGAGTGCCTGGTGAAATTTAGGGAACTTAGGAACCCTATTGCTTGTTTTATAACAAAAACATAAGTATAATAATTTGACAATTTTAAAAAATCCAAGGGTTGACCATTTTGCAACCAATTCTATTATACTCTTGAATGTTTTTAAATACCTTTTTCCTCAGTTGATTTCATCAAAATTCCCCCATTAATATTCAAAAAGACTTCTTCCCCACCACTTTCCCCCTCCAAATTTAATCTAAAAGGATTTGGCTCTTTAGACATTTGTTGTGTTAATACTAATTTTTCAATTCTCAATTCTTCCAAATGTTGCCAACGAGCGTCAATTAAAGATAAATCTTCAATTAGCAATTTATTTTCATTATTTGAAGAACGAGTAGGTAATAAATTCAATAAATTGATAAATTTGTTTCTATCCTTTAAAAAAATTAGAAAAATTATTTGGAATTTTTTTTAGATTTTTTTGTGGATAGAGGGGATCCTACCGACAGAAAAATTAAATTCCCGATTTTCGTAGACTCTCTATATGTATAAGATTCCATGCAACTGGTAGATCCTGGGAAAGGTCGTCTGGGTGTTTTGAGAGTTGAGTTAAAAAAAAGGGTGTCACAAGGCACACAAAACAAACAAGCAAACCAGTTTGTGATGGGTGGTGAATATTTTTTTATCAAGGGTTTTATTAGGGTAAAGAATCCAGGTCTAAAAAAGTCACGATATACGGAAATTTTCAGTTCAGATATAAAAGATAGAATTTCCTAGGACCCAACAGATGTTATGAAAAATGGTTATAAAATAAAAATGATCCCTAATTTTGATTCGGCAAATGTACATTTCCGAGAGTACCGAAAACTAAAGGTCCAGACTACCGGTAGTAGTGACCTTTGGAAAAACAATAGTTTTAATCTGCCAATATTTTAACATTATTTTGAAATTTATACGATTTACCATTTTGAACCCCTTTTTAAACAAAATATTGAACCCTTCGTCTATCACTGATAATTTAATTTTTAAATAAATACCAACATTTTTAGCCTCATTCCAATTTGTTTGAACAACAGCAGACATGAAAGGTGAAAGTGTTGGTTGTTGTTGTTTAATTAAATTAATAGATAAATTAGATTGTCTTTTTTCACTATCAGAATTTGAATTATTGTTTATTTTTGTTGCCAAAATATTTTTTTGTTTTTTATTAGACAAAAATTCTTCTTGTGAATCTTCTTCAGAATTTCTTCTCGAAAAACTATCCAAATCCGATTCAGAAACTCGGTCATAAATAAATTGAAAATAGTCGGGTCTGTTGTCTTCGTTTTCATTTAAAACACTGTAAAAAATATTTTTTTAAATTAGGTTTGAAGGAAGGGGAACAGCTAAAAATATTTTAATTTGTATTCCGCAACCATGCAACATGCCCAAAATTTGATGAACGGGACCTACCTAATTATTTCGTATTAAGGCCAGTAGCCAGGGTAGGAGAGGGTCCCGCATTGTGTGTAACAGGGATGTGCCAAAACAGATTTTAAAAAGCGAAAGTCGAGATTGCGAAAGCCCAAAAAAGGCGGAATTTTGGCGAACGACGAAATGGCACATCCTTGGTGTGTATGTAACATAACTCTGGATGAATTGAGCTTTCTATTCCCATATATTTTGTGGTACTAAAATGCAGAACTGGGTACTTATCGCCATTGAACGCATAAAAATTTGAATGGACGCATAAACTTTTCATTAGGCGCGTATTCTGGACAAGAAACAATCCTTTTTTCTAAAAAGTGTTTTTTCTAAAATCCCATTCTCCAAATAATTTATAATCTCAAAAAAATATTCTACCTCGCCTCCCCAAATTCTTCTTGTGAAGACAAATTATTAATTACTTCATTTCCATCTTCTAACCGTTCAATTAAATTAGTCAATTGTTCATCATCTTCCCCCAAACTATTTAAATTTGTATTGTTTGATTCCAATTCTCCTTCAAGTAAAGTCCCTCGACCTGAACGGTTTGAATGTCCATAACGATTCCATCCTGTTGAGGCAAAAGAAGAACGTGCCGAGGAATGGCGAGTAAATGCCTTTTTGAAAATAAAGAAAATATTTTTGGGGAACTTAATGAAGGATGAATTTTTCGTTAACCAACAATGTCTGCAAGTTTTTTCTAATTACACATGATTATTTGTAAAATTATTATTTAGGTTAAGTGAGATACCTCTATGACTTTAATAAGCTGCTGGCTTTCCCGATATAAGTTAAAAACCCATCATGGCTTCTCAGTATCTTATATAAAAAATCGCAAATTTTGTGAATTTACCAAAAAAATTATAGAATAAAATGACGGCATTTCTTCCTTTGTTGAGGAAGGAGGGGATAAATAGCTAAAATAAATTAAATGAAAATGTTGACCCAAGTGAGTCATTTCGGAAAATAGGCGGGGGTTATCTTACATTTTACACGTACCGGTAATAGATTTCCTTAATCTTATAACAAAAGAAGGTAATGAGTTTTCAATAATTTATTAAAACCTGTCTAGGTGTAACAATTACTCCTTCAGAATTTATTAATTTTTGTGGATTACACAACAACAATTTTGGCAGACTTCCATCATATTTTAATGCCCAACAAGAGCAACATTCTTCACAATCACGAATTGATTTGCCTGCTTCTCGTAAATATGTTTCAAATTGTTCTTCCGAACAGAGCTGAATAAAAATGTTATTTTCTAATAGATTGTCGGTGAGGGTGAAATGCGACAAAATGTAAAAAAGACAAAATTCAGATCATATAAACAAACAGACAGGTTGTGATTAGAGGTCGGCAAAATCGTGCTTGCGAAATCCCGCATGCGGGATTTTTTTCCTAAATTTTTGCGGGACAGGATTTTGCGGATAAATCCCGCAAATCGCAAAAAGTGCGGGATTGCGGACGCGGGATCCTGCAAAATCCCGCGCGGATCCTGTTCCGCGCCGAGCTCTAGTTGTTATATTTGGGATGGAAATTAAAAATAACAACAAATTTCCCGTGTGTGGTATTTTTTCAATTGGCATTTTGTCGCTTTTAACGCGTATGGGCATTTTGTCTAAAAATACCCATCAATCAAAATATTCTTAAAAATTAAATTCTCTTTAAAATTCTTAAAAATAAAAATTTTATAAACCTCCAAAACATTTTTAGCACATTCAGGAATACATTTAAGAAAATAATTTGCCGAATTTAACGAAATATTTGCATCAAACCGTCTACTCTGGTTTGGATGTCTTAATTGAATGAAGGGAAGTAAATGACGAAATATTGTAGACCAAAGAAAATCTTCACAGTGTAATGATAATAATGTACGGATTAAAGAAAGGGTTACTCTACAAAGCTGAAAAAATACAAAAATTTGAAAGAAGAAAAAAATATTGTTTTGGGGCAGTTTGGTGTAGTTGGATAAGTTTTAGTTTTGTGGGTAAAAGGATGAGGGTTCGACCCCGGTGGTAGGAATTACACTTTTTAGTTTTAATTGTTTATTCCTTTTCACTTTTTTTTGGTTTTTGGAGGATATAGAGATTTAAAAAAAAATAAATTTGAATGTAGAAAACCCTCAAAAATATTTTATAAAATCAAGTTAAAAAGGTCTCGAGTCTGTCTAGATCATTTGAGCAAAAGAGTTTTTTAAGGTTTGACAAAAAGACGTGGAAATAAATTTTCCTTGTCCTTCTTAATTTAGTTTCTAAGTCGTTTTTAATTTAGGTGAGCACAAAAAAAATTTTTCCAATAGAATTTGAGGGACTAAAACTGTTCCAAAGATTTCTTAGTTTTGCCTAACAAAAAGACTTTCCTTTGGATTTTTTTTGGTTGTGAGGGGGAAATAAATTTTCTAGATCCTATGAGTAATAAACCCCTATTTTCCTGTGAAAACCTTAATTTTTTGTTATTAAATAATTAAAAAAACCACAAACTCGATCACTTTCATGCATTTTAACCAAAATTTGTTCAAATAAATTCATTTCTTCTTCTTCACTATTTTCTTCTCCATTTGAACTAGTAGTTAACAAAATTTTTATAAATGCTTGTAATAAAGCTGAAGCAGAAATTGTTTCAATACATAAATGGAAATAAACTATACGAGAACATAATTCTTCTTCTTTTGGTTCTGACTAAAAATTAATAATACTGATATGAGCCAGAGTTGGGGCGGAAGTAAGGGAGTAGGTATACTAACTAGTAAACTCCAATAGCCAGAGGAGCTAAGGGAGGGTTAAAGCCTCCTTCCCTCAAAATGGGAGAAAGTTGTCGAAGTTCGACATTTTTAGTAAAATATTAATAAATTTTTATTTATTTCACATATTTTTCACGTGTTCCATTTTCTTTCTTTTTTAATCTTTGTCCCCTTATCTCTTTAAACTTAATCATTTTTTTCTCTCTTTGTAGCGATTAAGTTTCTTATTCATTTGTGCTAATATATTTCCGCCCTTAGTGGCGATGACTAAGCTTGAGAATAGGAAAGAATGATCGCCCTTAGTGGCGCTAATTAACTTCATATAAAACTAAATGTAATTCTCCTATTCTTTGGATTTCAATCATTCATTCTTTTATGTATTAATACTCCTTTAACTAATAATTCTCTATTGTTTATTATTGGAATTAAATTATTTGAAAAATATTTGGATAAATATTTTTATTTATATTTTGGAAAAACAAGTGTTGTAGGACCTAATCGAATCGAATTTCGACAGTTGGCGAGCACGGCATCAAACTTGGACAACACTTGCGGGGAGGTGAATTTATTTTTAAATAAATTTAATTAAATTAAAAGGCCTGGAAGAGCCAAATTTAAAATTTTTCACCTAGAATTAGCTTTGAAAAGCTAATCTAAATTTTTGGGGGTAGATTAGAATTAATCTAAAAATTGGGTATAAAATTTTTTAGAAAATATCAAATTGAATAAACGGAACTTAGTTTCCTGAATTAATTAGCAGAATGTCGGTATTTACGATTCTGCAGGTTGAAATTTTAGCAGGAAACTTGAAAGGAGTATTAGAAAGGGAAATTCCGCCGGCGTTAGGGCCGAACGCTACGGAAAATCAGCTAAGAAGACAACTCTACTGGACAAAGGAAACGATTAGAGAATTGGAAAGAAATATAGATGAATTGAAAGAGGTATGCAGCAACAGCAAAGACGACTGTCAAAAGCTTTCAGTCAAGGAAAAAGAACTGAAAGAGAATCAATTTCACCAAAAACTGGTAGAACTGGGCGTTAGTGCCATGATAGTCGCAACAAAGCCAAAGTTAGAATTATGGAATAAATTTCTGGTTCAATTAGCACAAAGATTAGATGTGCAACTAGATTTTACAGAAATACCCAGCACAACTCAAAATGCTGCTGCACAGCATACAATTCGTTTGGAAACGAATAAATTACAACGTCCACCCATACAACTACGCCGCTTTGACGGTAGGATAGGAAACTGGTGTGCATTTTGGGAGACGTACCGTGTTTTAATACACGAAGATAGTACTCTTAGTCATGTTGAGAAGTTCAACATTTTAGAGTCTATACTTGACAACGAAGCTAAAGACCTGATAGAAGGTCTACAGATGACAAATGAAGGGTATTACACAGCCATCGATCTTCTTTTATCGAGGTTTGGCAACGATAAAAAACTAATTCGGTCTCTGAACCAAGAATTATTAAATTTGCCAACTAGTGAAACTTTTGAAGAAGATGAAAAACTTCATTTGAAAATAGAAAAATTATGTAGGCAGCTAAAATCATTAAAACAGAATATTGATGACGCACCTTATTTTATGACTTTAGAAGGAAAGGTCTCATCCAAGGTTCTAGGTAAATATCTCACGATAAAAGATGCTGAAGATAGAGATGACTGGAACACAGCAAAATTCAGAAACGCGTTAGGGCGTGCTATAAATCAAATTAGAAATAAATTGGAGATAAAACAGAAACATAATCAGGTCGTTAGAGACTGTATAGAAGAACCGACTATGAATTTCGCTGTCAAGTGTTCGAACAAATCTACTACTAAAAGATTCTCACACGAAAGAGTCGAAAGACCTAGAGGTAGAGAAGAAAGTAGTTTGAATAGAAGTAAAACCAAATGGCCTTGCCAGTTCTGTGGTAGACCGCATACACCAGTAGAATGCAGCAGTCTTAGGACTGCAGAAGATCGACTAGGCAGAGCAAGTGAACTAGGTCTTTGCTTCAAGTGTCTCAAAAAAGGACATTTCGCCAGCAACTGTCACGTACCAAAAAGATGCCTATATTGCGGAAAAGCGCATCATCATTCAGCATTGTGTGAGCGCAAATTTGGCGAAGCAAAAGAAAGACAGGAGCAAAACAAAAAAGGCGTTAGTGCCTCAACTACACAAAAGGAAATAGTCGCAGCCTGTCAGTCAGTTGAAGGGGACTACTATGATAGACCCTTAGAGGTCTGCGGTGATCAACTAGATAATTACGGTGTTAGAACCGAAACGGTATCTCAAAAAATTTTTAAGGGGGGAGAGATCTACGATGAGACAAATACGCCATCGGTATTGAAGGTACCCATCAGTAAAAAATCGAATACGGAAATTGAAAAAAGAATTAATGCTGGAACTAAGAAAAAATTAGGCCCGAACCTTCTTAGTAAGAAACCTTTGGAAATTGAAAGCCAGCTAGAGGAGGAAATTAAAAACGATACATGCGAAATAAATGCAAATAAGGTTGTTAGTAACCAAAAATTAGAACATGTGAAGACTAAAGAAATTATAAGTCCTTTAAAGGACGAAAAGCGACTATCTGATTTCAAATGGAAAATGCGTGTTAGAATGCAACCAAGTGGCAAACGAAGACCGAAAATTTTAGGGAGGGAAATGATTTTAGGGAGGGAAATGATCAATTAAATGCACTTTTTTCGCCCACAACCTCCAAAATCTCCAAAATTTTCGCTATCGGTGCTGAAAATGGAAAGAAATTTGGCTTTTGGCCTTACAAAATAATATCACCCCTCAATAAAAATTTTTCGAAAAATTAAAAAAAACCTCAACAATAGATGATTTAAACACTTTTAACAAAAATCCAGTGTAAATAAAGTGAACAATTTGACGGGTAATTGAATAATGGGCAATTTGTGCAACAGAATTTGTAAAAAGTAAAGCGTTGTGGAATTCATAGAGTTGAGGCTAAATACAAAAGGTTTTAAATTTTAAAAATATCCGCACGTTTTGTCCGCAAATAATTTGCGGACAAAATTTGCAGATTTTCGGAAAGTAAAAAATAAAAACAAACAAACCATCCCTTTAACATCGAAAACACTCAATTTGTGAGCTTCGTTAGAATCTAAAGCAAACTCTGAAAATACACATTTTGGGAGTTGAGAAAAACAAGCAGAAAGACCAGCAGACATTACATGACATAAATCTCCCTAAAAACGTTGAAATTAAAAAATGAATAAATTAAAGGTAGGGTCGGTTTATTCCAGTATTTTTATTCACCATCCTCCTGCTTCGCTCAAAATTCGAAACAAAACAAGGGACGGACAGTGTAGCGCGCCGTTATGGCAAAAAAGCTGTAATGGCAAACCACCAAAAGCCGCCAAAATGGCAAACCCCCAAGAGCCGTCGAAAAAACAAAACGGATAAATGACGCAGACATGGCAAAGGGCCCTAATAGCATGTCGGCTGTTTGCCATTAGGGCCCTTTGCCATTTCGGCGTTTTGTCATTACGGCTTCATACTTCGGAAAAGCGGAGGTCACAGGTTAGGTGAAAATTCCAACCTTTTCCAAATTAAAATCCAATCCGACTCCTTTCTCAACCCAAAATATATAAAAATAAATAAAAGACAAAATATCCCCCCATTAAAAATAAAAACCTTTTGAATTATATGTTCAGCAATAAATCCATTTTTGCTAGAAGCCGACATAATTAACAACAAAGCATCTCTAGCAATTTGGCTAGTAAATTCAGGTCCATAAAGATAGGGGACTAGCATATCAAAAATTAAAAAAGGTTTGTGTAAATTCTGTTCATTTAGTAAAATTGCTTCGTTTTTTGGAGAATTACTTCCTTCTATTATTGCCCAATCTTCATTTAAAATTAATGAGGAATCAAAAAAGAAGTGTAAAAGAGTTTCGTGTTCTGCTATTTGACGAAAAATCTGAAAAGAATTTTTTGAGAACAAAAAGGAAAACTCTTTGACAAGGGAACATTGTCTACTTTGTAAAAACAAAATCAAAGTCTTGCACACGGATTCGATAAAGGACCAGGGATTTGGGCTAAAAATTTTCGAGTGACGCGCCAGACGCCAAAAACGGATGCCAAACACAAAAAATTTTGGGAGAGACAATAACTTCTTTCGACCCGAAAACTCATCCGGAAAAAAATTTTGAAGCCCGATCCGAACTGTGATCCAATTCTTTTCTCGACCCGGCCCATCTCTGGTACACAGTAGACAATGTATCTTACAAGGGAACCACTCAAACTGACACCAAAAAACCGCTCCAAAAGATTGAAACTTTAAACCCCTATAACTTTTCAATTTGGGGGTCAGGGGAAGAAAAACCAAAAATTGGCAATAGGTTATCAAACATGCTCTACAGGAAGGCATAAATTTTATTTGAAAATTTTTGGTGACAGTTCGAGTGGTTTCCTTGTTAGTATCCAAATCTAAATCTAGCTACCAATTACCCCCCCCCCTCCAAAAAAATTTAAAAAAAGAAAACCTGATTAATTAAATTTAACAAGCAATTACTAACAACAGAATTTGGATATTTTTGTATTTTTGTAGAATGTCTAACATTAAAAGATTGTTTACACCATTGCAAAAGTTGTAATAAAGGAACAAGTATAGGCTTATGTACAAGTAAAGATTGTGGACATTGACAACAATTAACCATATTTTCGTATAAATGTAAAAGAAGAACCTTAAAAATGGGAGGAAATTAAAATTTTAATGTAAAAATGGATTGAATAAAAATTTGTTTAACCCAAAAAATATTTTTAAAAATAATTTTTTAAGTCAAAAAATGATTTTGAGGAAAATTAATTTACCCAAGTAGGAATCGAACCCTCATCACATAAATGAAAAAACTTAAAACTGTCCAACTACACCAAGCATTCCAGCGACATAAAATCCAAACTTTTTTATTTCAAAAGTTTTATCTGAATTTTGTTAATAGGATACTTCGCTCCAGAAAGCCGGTGAAGATTATTTAAAAAACATTTTGCTTCTTGCTCAAGAATAATTAAAAAATTTAAAAATTCTCTCAAACCTGACAAGACTGCACATAAAAAGGGGAAACTTGCACCATCCAATTGTGTGCCAACATAAGAATTGATTCCGTAAAGAATTGTTCTAAAATTGGGCCAATACTAGGTTCTGCTTGGGAATTGACTTCCATAACTAATAATTTACACAAAATAGATAAATGCTCGTTGACCTGGATAAAATGATAAAAAAAAGTTGAAATCCGCAAGTTTATTGCGGATGTCCGCAAAAGTGTTTTCGAAGCCAGTAGTTTCCAGTGGATTTTAGAGTTGGACAATTTATATGTTAATCGAAAAAGCTCGAGCTGAATCGAATGAAAACACTTTTGCGGACTCGTGATTTCTAAAATTTATTGCGGATGTCCGCAAAAAATTTGCGGAAAATAAAAAATTCTAATTAAAAAACCTTCAAAATTGTATTTTTATCACGTCTAGTTTTATTCAAAAGTCCCTCCAATTTCTTCCAAGTAAAGCCAAATTGATTCTCCCATGCAGACGGATCTGAAGCAAAATCCACATTCATCGCCCAACTTTCATCACTCCACTTTTTATTTATTAAATCGTCAACAAAAAAATCGAAAGAATTTTGAGAAGAATTTGAAGGGGTTGTTGGGCTAGTAGAACGTTGTTGTTCGTCTTCAACTGAAGATTGGGGGGAAATTGTATGTTGTCCACCATGCCTTTCTCTAGAAGTAAACATTGAACGAAGACGACGCATTTAAGGGATTTCCTAAATAAAAAGTTTGGACGAGTTATTTTGAGAGAGGGAATTTTGAAGTTTATTTCTGTTGCCGTTTCCGAATCCGGCTTTTTAAAACAAAATTAGAAGTCTGTTCGGCAATCCCTAAAAATAATAGAAACTGACCCTTTTGTAATTTAGATATTTTAATTAGAGATTATGTTTTTTCGTTTTAATAAAAAAATACATTTTATCTAATCTACAAGAACACGTACAAAAAGGCACACTCGAAAAGGCACAAGGTCAAAACGGTTCACGTCCAAAAAGGCACAAATCCAAGGCTGCTCAGTGATAGAATGATCAATTGAGTGAACAGCCGTGAATATGGGACTTTGGTCCTGCCTAGGTATAAGGAAAAAGTGGAGGTGAGCGACAAATAAGGCCTCAGGATAAAAGAAAAGGAAGAATAGTGGAAAAAGTGATTAGTCGACTAATTCGTAGTTGGAAAGTAATGAATAGAGAAGTAAAAGTCGGCCTAAGAAGCTAAAGGCTTATTCATTAATATTTCCTCGCGAACGCTTATATCTCGGGAGAGTCTTTCTCGTTACTGACCAGCGATATGCAAGCAAAGAAAGGCCTACTCTCCCTTCCGCTCATACTCACCAGAGGGTCGGAACAGTCAGAGGTGTCGGGAATCGGGAGAGCCGGAAATCGGAACTGGCTCAAAAGCCGGAACTGGAGATCAAAATTAAAACGTCGGAAATCGGTATTACGACCCACCTCTGTTACTCACCCGCATCGCCCTTTGATTCGAACAAAGAAAAAAACAGCAAACAAAGTATTTAAATATACACACAATTAAATAATTACAACACATTATTATCACACATTATTAACACAAATCTATTTATTTATTTAATTACAAACTTCATTCTCACAACATAGAAATACTTTCTTTGTTTCTTTTGTTTACTGGCAGATGCGCCTTTGATTTTTTACTAGAAAAAAATTTAAAATTTTTAATTTAAAAGCTTTGCACTTTTAAAGAATTGACAATTTTTGCGGGCAATTTTTGCGGATTTTTCCGCTTTTTTGTTTGTAATATCCTATTTGACATCCAAACCCTGACTTTAAATAAAAAAAAATAAAATGTGAGGATGGACTTCGATTCCGAAATTTTTTTATCAAGTTCCGAAACATTTTTATAGTTTTAATGCCCAATTTTCTAAAAATATGCTAGAAAATGCTAAATATAAAGATGCTCAACAAATACCCTAGTAGGCTGAGTATCCAAGGGCCCTCCCAAATAGGATTGTCGGGTTCAAAAAACTTTCGAAAACCACAATCACTGAAAATGTTTCGGACCACAGAACAACAAAAAAAACAGGAGCCGTCTCAAACCATAGCCAAAATCCGCAAAACTTGTCCGCAAAAATTTCATATCTTCCTTAAAATGTGCAAAAACATTTTTTTAAATTTTACTTGATTGTTGACTTGATTGCTGATTTCTCTCTGTCACTATCAGTAAGAAGCGAAGGTGGCAACCTATTTTTGAAAGGGAAAAAATTTTTTTCTTTAAAATTCAAAAAAAAATTTTTTATACGCAGAATATTTTGTAAGCGGAAAATCAATTTTGCTGCTGCCCATATCTGTTTTGCTAGCATTATTCTTGTTGTAAACATCTGCTGAAGGTTGTGTCTTTTGGGGTTTTGGTTTTGGTGGTTTATAATGATATGTTGAACTAGCAGGAACATTATATTTTTTCTTAGGCTTTTGTTTCTTAACACAAAAGCATCGCCAAACAAAACACAGAACAACGACTAGAACAAAACTGGAAAAGAGAAAAAAAATATTTTTGAAGTTAATTGAAAAAGATGAAATTTTGGTCAACAAGATTTAGGGTTTTAGGAAATGTACTATGGATGCTAGAGATGTCCAAAACCGAAAATTTTCCAAGATTCAAGACTCGAGACCAAATTACACCCCAAGACCAAGACCGAGAAAAGCCCAAGAAGTCTTGATCAAGACCAAGAGTCTGTTGGATGGGCCGTCCAAATTATTAAAATCGAAAATGGAAGAGATCCCATCCCTAAACTGTCCCTACACAAATATTCATCGGTGCCTTTGACATTTGATTGGAAAAAAAGTTATGAAGTTTGAAAAAGTCATGACCAACTAGCCGAACCAAAACTTTTTTGTGGCGCCCACAACCCCTCTTGATGACCAAAACTCCCAGCCACTTATTAACCAAAATAAACTCACACAGCAATAATAGCCAAAGTTGCCATACCCATATCCGAGGAAACAAATTCTTCCAAAAAACTTTCAATACCATCTCCATTTCCCGTTGTCATCTCAACTGTTGTGGTAGGCGGCTCTGTTGTTGTGGTGGTTGTAGTAGTAAGGATTTGTTCTGTTGAAGTAACGTTTGTTTGATCAGGCATATTTTGAGGGGAAAGGATTTTGAAATGAGGGAGGGCTCTTTTATAGTAAAAAAATTAGAAAGTCTTCGGTTAGGAATAGGGCTTTTTCAAAATTTTAATTTTCGTTTTCAAAGTTTTGTCAAACCAAATCTGGGTAATAGTGTCGTTTCACGGCCCCGTTACTTAATGGCAAACCAGATAAACAAATGACGCAGCTTCTCTCTCATTTTTCCACACTATTTTCGAAGGAAAACGCTAGCTTTTGAATTAAATTTGTATATAGACAATTTTGGCATAATGTCTATTTATTTTATAGATAATGTAAAAGACATAGAAAGGAACTTGACCTTTTTTTGTTTTTGTTTTTCAAATTTTAGTGTGTATTATTTTTTCATTTTCTTTTAATTTTTCTTGTTTTTAGAAATTTAAAAATCTTTAAATCATGATATTGTCTGCTCTACCATTCTACTTGAGTTGGAGGAATTGCTTCATCGTTTGATGATGACAAATTCTGGTTTTTAAATGATTAGCTGTTTCGAGTTGTTGCGAGGTTTTTTTTTTAATTTTTGGATTTTAGAATACTTTTGGCCCTTTACGCAAATAAGGGTCGAATCGTTTTTTCCTTCATTTTTTCCTTTGGTTAATTTTCCTTAATAGTTGATGTTTGTTGATATTTGTTACAAGGAAAAATGGAGATAACTCCTTACCTATGATCTACGTGGATGTTTTTGCTGCTGCAGAGGAAGGCATGTATGCCCATCGTGCGAAGATAGGAATAGGTTTTGTTACTGGTACAGACCCCAGCGACCTTTGACTCCCTGCAAGACGCGTGCCGCAAAACACCGCGCGAAGCGCGGTGTTTTGCACAAGCGTCTCGCCGACTTCCCGTAGGTTTACGTTGCTTATTGTTGTGTAAAAAACGAAAAAAAATAAAATTTATTTTTCCATTCTCATATGTCCATTCAAATTTCGGAGTTGAATATGCCACGGGCAACTTGAATTGAGCAAGGGAGAACCTTACCATTATATACAAATTAAGGAAAACTATGGAAAGGAAAAAATGCCGGAAAAAACGATTCGACCCTTATTTGCGTACACGGTCATACTTTTTACATAGTTTTTACTCCCCCTCCCCTCACTTGGAAATGTATCAGGAATGGGTCGGGTAACCCGAAACGGGACCTTTTTTAGACTCGAGTTCTTCAGGAAATTCGAAATCTGTCTTTTTGGCCTCCAAAATTTTACCGAGTTTTTTTCTGAGAACATGGAACCTACACAAATTTTTTTAAACCGACCCATCCCTTGTATATTTCTGTTAATGCATCGATTTGTAATCCACGTTTTGGCGTGTAAGGATTTGACGTTGGTTACATTCGATTCTAAATTTGTTGGGTACTTATTTGGGTAGTCAATTTAATTTTTTGAATGAGGAGAAGGGCATTCTTTTCCTCCATTACACAATCATCTTTATTAAGGATTAATTTTCAAATTAGGTTACAAAAACATTTATGTCTTAATGCAAGATTTTATATAAATGTGTGCTTGTACGAGAAAATGCCCTTTTCTACATTTCTGCAAAGAGTAATACGTGGAATAAGGTTATTTGGATAAAACGTTCTGGGGATATTTAAACGTCCATAGACGTTATCAGCGCTTTAACTCGATCACACCAAAACATTTTCGGGACAATCCCTGCACGCCTAAACAATACTAATCCATTTTTCTTGGTTTAATTAGTTTAAATTGATTCCTTGTTCGTTGTATTCCGAAGATTGCCTGCGGCCAAAATTGCCGGGTTAGAGCCTTCGGTGTTCGGGTCGGGGTTTTTGCCCAAAAAATCGGCGGTCAGGGGACGGGATGCTACCCTAGTTTTTGGAAACAAAAACCCTATTTTTTATCATTGCGATAAAGTTGGGCGAAAAAACAAACCCGCGACAAACTGTCCTGCCCTAACTTGAAAATGAAATAGTAAGGGGATTAGAGAATTAGAGAAAAACCATTCTTTTCCGTGTCCCTACAAAGGATCGTCACATAAAAGGATCGCCACGGCTAAAAACGTTCAAAGGATCGTAACGTCTAAAAACAATTAAAGGATCGTCGCGGGCAAGAAGTATTAAAGGGTCGCTCATCAAAGGATCGTCCATCAAAGGATCGCCACGGGTAAAAAATTCAAAGGATCGTTTTTGAGTCCCCACCCAAAAGAAGACGTTTGAGTCCCATATTTTTTAGAGATTTTTTTTCGTTTTTTTGCTTAGGGTCCAGTTTCTTCATATTTTTCAACTAATTTTTTATTAATTAAATGCAGACCTGCTCTTGGATATGGATAATGTCCGGATATCCGCGGATATAACCGGATACGGACGGATATGGATAATGTTTTTTGATGGATACGGATGAGCACGGATATGATACTCAAAGTCCGTGGATATCCATCTCGAAATTTTGCCTGTGATGCAAAAATTAATAATCACTTTAATCCTTTCAAATCCCCCGATATCCCTCTTAATCACCATTATCAGACTGGCACATCACTGCAACCAAACTGATGGCACTGAACTGGCTTTATGAAATTTTTAAAAAAATGACGACCCTTTGAACGTTTTTACGCTTGACGATCCTTTGATGGACGATCCTTTAATGAACGGCCCTTTAATACTTTTTGCCCGTGACGATCCTTTAACAGGGCGACCCTTTAAAAAACGATCCTTTGTATAGGAGCCTTCTTTTCAAATTCAAAATGGCTTCTTTTTTTACGTAATGTTTTCGACTATCTCTGTTTCTTTTTTAGGATTTTTTAATTTTTTCACCTGATCTTTAAATTAATTTGTTTTTTTCAGATAAAACATTAATTTTATTATGATTCTTCAATTCCTTTAATTATGTTCAGAAGGTAAATTTGAATTTTGGCAATGCTTTTCTAACTTGTTAAGAATGGACGATCAACAAGGTTTAGTTTAATTTGGTTTAATTGGGGATTTTGGATTTCCAAAAAATTAAAATGCCTTACCTAGATTTTATTGGAAATTTTATCCTTTCTCTGATTGGTTTGGGAGATCGGTTGGGGTACCCGATGTTCTGAGCAGTAGTGATAGGTTTTTAATCCATTATCCGATGAGATTCTCTGCTTTTTCGAATTCGGCTCAAGCACTTACTCTTTTCGGTGAATTCTAGGTTACATGCTATACAGCTTTTAGAGTGCGACGCTTAATTTAGTCTAAGTTGTGTTAGTTGAGTTTAGTCTATCTTCAAGCAATCTCGTATATTTTATTAGACATGCTAAAAATTTACTCCTAGGATAGTAGATAAAAATTTTCTGGGGAATAATTTAAATTTTTGTGTTTTGTGTTCAAAAATTATCTTTTAATTTTTTACTTTTAAATTTAGGTAGAGGTGTGACAAACTTGAATCGCTCCTTACTGTAATTGCGCAATTTAAATTGCTGTCTGTGCTGCTGTTGGTGGTGTTTTTTGCAAGTTTAATTTTAAATTTTTGGGTTATTATGGCTATAAACTGGCAAGGGAACATTGTTTACTTTAACTGTGAATTTGATATATTTTTGGTACCATACGATAGAGGAACCCCGTCTTCCTATTGCGAAGTGGTGTTTTATGTTGTGTAGTGGTATTGCTATAGTATAAAAGCCAGTGAAAGCGTCAGTCTAGTGAATCATACTAGCGCGGCTAGTCCCTGATTCCCTTCGTCTGTTCCAACCCTTAAACCTTCGGGATATAGTTTAGTCGAGGGCCTGCACCGAACCGGGTCAAATGATATGTCATTCGATTCGTCTCGGCGAGCTGAGTCGAACGGTACCACTCTCCAGGTGCGGAAATGCCTGTGGACCGAGATATAGGTCCCTGAAATTTGAAAAACCAAAGGGGGGAGTAAGCACTTTTTTGGGGTGAAAAAATCGATTTTCTGAATAATAGCTCATTCGAAAGAGCTCCTCGAGTTGAGTCGAATGACACCAAAATCACTGTGATTGGACGAGTATGAACCGAGATATAGGGCTCGAAATGGTCAACTTAACCTATGGAGCGTCGGCGAGGCGCTTGTGCAAAACTCCGCGCTTCGCGCGGAGTTTTGCGGCACGCGCCTCGCGGGGAGTCTACGGTCGCTGGGTCTGGGCTCGTAACTTCATCCTATTCCTTTTTACTGATTCTCAGCCTTGAATGCCGACCTACCCTCCGTAGCAACACCAAAACTGTTATTCAAGCGAAAATTGAATTGTTCATAATTTTGTTCAGAATGATCGGATCGAGCTGATTTTGGTGTCATTCAACACAGCTCGTCGAGCTCTTTCGAATGAGCTATCATTTGTACAACCGAATTTTACCCCAAAAATCACCCCAGAAAATTTGACCATTTCGAGCCCTATATCTCGGTTCATACTCGTCCAATCACAGTGATTTTGGTGTCATTCGACTCAGCTCGAGGAGCTCTTTCGAATGAGCTATTATTCAGAAAATCGATTTTTTCACCCCAAAAAAGTGCTTACTCCCCCCTATGGTTTTTCAAATTTCAGGGACCTATATCTCGGTCCACAGGCATTTCCGCACCTGGAGAGTGGTACCGTTCGACTCAGCTCGCCGAGACGAATCGATTGACATATCATTTGTCCCGGTTCGGTGCAGGCCCTCGACTAAACTACAGCCAACCTTCGCCTACATTGCTTCGCCTACATTGTTAATTTCTACGCCGGATAAATTGTTGTTCTTGTGCACGTCAACATCAGTCAAATCTCGGACACCTCCGGTCGTAACATTTTAGTACAAAATCGCGATAGGAAGTCAACAGTCCTCTATCGAATGGTTCCAAAATAGATATCGAATTCACACTTAAAATAAAAAGGATTCCGGTAATCCGTGTTTTTACTGGACAAAAACCTATTATAATTTAATTTTAGTGACGAATAAAAGTAAGGATTACCGGGATTTCTTTCAGAATTGTCAGCTTAGAGTTTTTATTTAGTATTTTCAGTAACCGAGAGTAATCGAATGAGCTATAATTTGACCAGTTTTTGAGTAGGTTAGATTAAAAATAACTTGTCGTAGATTAAGAAATAACTGCCTCGATTAAACTATATCCCTATCTAATTTTATTTTTACGGACTAGTATACGACCTGATGAGTCCATTGGTGTTTATAGCAGG